GGTTAGATATCTAGCCATCCGACCTCCCCACAGGGGATAGATTTATTACTCTCGTAACTTTTATTAATTGACGGTTTCGTATTCAATTGGCAATAGAGTCCAAGATCCTGGAGGGATTTTTGTCCAGCGTCGTGGTCCACCAGCAGCACGGTCCCCGATTCTTAGCTCCTTGTTACATGTAGTCTCCATTTTATTCACCTGCAACCTGCAGATAGACAGAACCACACACACAGAAAAGATGAGCCATACATACGTAGTGTGATTTGTTGGAGGAATAACGTCAAAGCAGGAATAGAATGGTAAGAGTTAAAGGCCATTTGATTAGCATAAACTTCAACTAACAATTCACAATCCAATCCACTAAGGTTTATGTACGCATTTGGTTAAGCACTGCAAGAAGTATGAACATATTTATTTGTGGCAAAAGTAAAGCCTACTACAAAATGAAATACGTGTATGAAATGTCTTCTCCTTCACAGTGGAAATTCCACTTGACAAATACATTGGGCAGAATGCGAACGCTGCGAGTACACTAACGCGAGATGAGGAACATGAGGATTTAAGCTGTAAAATAACTCACGAGTAGTCCAATCATAATTATCATTAAAAGCTTTGGGCATTAACGTGCCTTGTTTTTCAGGAATAACTGGAGTTGGGAGGGTACAACTTGTCTCCGAAATTTATTAATGGGATTTATTTACATTCTATATTCAAATACATTGCGCAACCATGTAGGGATGTGAGCTGCATACCATTACGTAGAAAAGTTGACTATGCTGCTCATAAAATTTTGTTGCATTAAAGTGTAATGAAAAATTTGAACTAGTTATTCAGAGCCCATTATGCATACATATTTCTATAGATAAACTATGGTGGTGGTGGTGTTAATCGTAATGTAATGACTGAACAAGCAGGGATATTTTTGTGTATTGCATAATTACGTTTTTATCTAGATTCGACTCTTATCATGCAGCAGATGAAGTTGATGAACGTGAGTGATATTGCTGAAGTGGCTGCTTTTGCCTGCTACATTTTCGTCGTGCTCTGTGCGAGTGGTTGTTGTCTCAGTCGTCCACGAATTGGGCAATATATGCTAATGACGAGCGTTTTTTGGCACGCCAACACCAGCAATCCGTTTAGTCTCCATTCCTTGTTGTTGGCTAGTTTTTGGTTGTTGTAATGCAATAATGCAAAGCAGACAGCTTCCAAGTAACGAAATACACGAGTAGATGTGCACAACATTAGACAAACAAGAGTCACTCACTACAACTACTACTGCGTAGACCTATGGGGAACATGACATGGATTGAAATTCACGTAGAGTTGAGTGTTTGTTACATCATTATTACGTCGAATCGCGTTAAGAGATGTGCTTTATAATTATTTGTTTATTCGAGAAGTTGATAACACTTTCGGGGGAATAGCTTATGAATTGACCAATGATTGGTTTCCTGAACTTATTTACTCATAGCTATTTTCTAGATGTGAGTTCTGAGCAGAAATAAAAAGTAGGTAGGCTCAAACGACTCAAAAACTTGAAGCTGTATTAGAAAGAGGAAACAAGTAAAGTGAGGTAATCAGAACTTTTGTAAGACAAATTAGATTGGAAGATGGAACTCATACATAATAGTTATCATTTTTAAGGATATAACGGTCAGCTATTTTAAATGAGATGACCATGAACGGATTCTCCGGCAGAACCTGAAAAAAACTGAATTTTCGTATGTTACACATATGGGGCTATGTGAGACACTCTGATTTTTATTTCATTTAATTCGGAAGAAAATAAGTAATTGATTCTCAGTGAGAAACAGCTTTGAAAAACGAAAGAAAATGCGAAATTGAGAAATTATGTGTTGTGAGATGCATGGGTTGTTCAGAGCTTGAGTGGAGGTTGTGCTCGCAACCAGCCGAATCTCACTCGACTTCTCGCTTGTTTCACGTTCAAACTGCTTCGGAAACTTATCAACTGCACGAAAACGGATTATAAAAATGCGGGAAATTTTATACCATTTTGAACCCTGGAAAATTTCCGTTCTTCTGATGTATTTTTGAAAGAGATTGAGTAGAAAATACGCCTATAACATGGACTGAAAGAAGGCGGAGCTTGAGCGTTTGATGGACTCTTTCCTCACTTTTGAACAAGTTGAACGGTTGCTTTCTTGTGAATAATTCCCTGTTATTCATTAACCAATTGTCCAAAATTAATGCTTTTTGCACCATAATACGGCTCGAGAATTTGGTCATATTGACTCATAATTTAAAAGTCTATAGACTGTGTACTATAGGCACCACAGAGCAAAATCCAACATGGACGCGAGTCAAAATAGAGAATGTGTTTCGTTCTCATTTTTACTTTTAATTCGTTTATTGTAAATGGCTTGCATATTCTATTCTATTACAGTTTAAACAAATTACCAATTCCAATGATCTGTAATACTTGAATTTTCAATAATCTCGAAAAAGTAGTAAAATTCGTGAAATTATAAATATGGAGGAAGTAGCTGAGCTACATATGTCCAAATTTGTTAGTTTCAACGATTCTTCTATTTCCTGAAATACCTTCTAAAACACTTTACGCGCAGTATTACAATTTTTGACGTGTAATATGGCGGACTTATCCTGTACGATGTTTGATGTTTCGTACTGTTCACTTTTTATCACATTTATAAAACAAGACAATTATGGAGAAATAGATATTTCTAGTAATTTCAAGTCAGTTAAACTTGATAAATTTAGTTGATTTAGATTTATTACAATTTTTGTTGTATTTTGTTCTGCTAGTATTCTTTAATATCGTCAATGCACCCAATGTTTTTTCCGTGAGATTAAATCGAATCCACTATCCAATTTCGTCATGTTTACTTTGGAATTTGTTGTGCAAATAATTAGTAGGATTACTTGTCTGGTACTCACAGATAGGGGGCACATTTACTTGCACTTGGTCATGTGCATGAATTTCAACTGTTTGCCAAAGTGCCTACAAATATTTCCACCCTCGACACAAGTCACGATGAGATTTATGATTTATGCGTGTTGCAGATAAAACCATGTAAAATAACGAGGTTTTCCCATTCTTGTGGTAACAAGAGCTTGCATTCAAGCAAACTCTGGAATAAACGATATCAGTTTTGCTGACCCTTTCTCCTCTCTCTCTTTCTCTTGCTATGCAATAACAATTCGGTTCTTCCTACTCAAAAATAACTGCTTCGTCCAAGGAGAAGAGAGGACGTGTTCTCTGGAATAAAACTCGATCTCTCCTCTTCTGGTTAATGGCACTTCCATTTTAAGACGAGATCTTATTCGATCCGAGCTACGCACTTATTTCTTAGCCTGGCTTTGAATATTGCTACTCTTTTTTTACATGGATAGAAGACGACGAATGTGCCTTGCCTACCCCTCTGGGGCTTTATCAACTGTTTTTTTTTTAATTTTTTACACTTAACCGCTCAATTACTGTGTGTAATCACCAATCATCAAAGTTTCAAATATGGATAGAATTTAAAAGAGATCACAATCATTCCTTAACTTTTTTCTGGTATTCGTTGTCGTAATTCTGTATGGAACAATTACGGCAATTCACGTATAAATATATCCAACATTTCACCATTACACTTACACACCACAGTCTTTGATTGTGATAAAATGGCAATGTCACTCTTACGACAGGCTTATTGGTCGTAGGCTCCTTGAGAATAAAAGGAAATACAGATTAGGATTGGAGTTTGAACACAATGGGAATTCTAATGACATGCAAGTTTATTGTGGCGATAAGCCTCTTGGATTAAAGTTAAATTTTCGGTGCCATTCTCCAGCGAGTGTGGCTATTACTTGGCCATAATTTTACAGCTTTTTTCGTCTCCAACTTATTTATTCGGGAATAATATATAACGTGAATAGAATGCGTTTTGATATAAAATAAACCTGTCTTTCCGAGTGTGGCACAAGCCTGAAAAATGGGCGAGGAGAAGATTATGTAGTTCTTTACATCACATTTCATCATAAGGTGAGGGACACGATGGGAGAAATGAAGGTCCATTTATGGACATCTGGTAATGAAACTTTTGTCTTGGAGGAGAATTGTCATTTCTTCCAAATTCAAGTCCAGTTTAGTTTAGTGAAGTCAACGAAGCCTCAAGATTTAAAACGGGAGCACTTTCCTTTTCCCATAATGATACTCGTGTCCGTTGCTATAAAGCTGTCGTGCTCTAGCTGACCAGTTGGTCCTCTGTTAATTAGTGCATGTTGTTTTAATTAACTGATGATTGGGCCTTGTCCATGAAGAGGGACACACCCCACGACCTCCTCGAAATTTGTGGCTGGACGGGTTTTCTCAATTTCTCTCTCGACCTCTCTTTTATGGTCTGCTCTCCTGAGTTTGGTCGTCTTTTCCTCCTTTTCCCTCCTGCTGATTAATGGTCACTTTCGTGTTACACTCCAGTGCTTGACATTTTTTCTGTGACGTAATGGTCATTTGGAATGCGAGATTTGACATTGTATGTAAGTAATATGGATGGAATATATGCGCGTACAAAAAGTTAGCAACAGGGGTCATGTGATACGTTTTAATTCTACACCAACAAATGGGCATGGTTGTTGGTTTAATTCTGTTAGCCTTCGGATTAAGTAAACTACAATTGAGAATTAATACATTCGGTCATAAAAAACGTCAGCAACGTTTAGTTTTGGCAAGAATTCTGCATGGTTGAGGACGCAAGGAGGAAAAATAAAAATTGTGCCTAATTCTACAACGTATTTACGTGGCATGAAGTGAAGCGATAAGCACAATAGTACCAGAGAGTCGTTCCCAATTCTCGTAGCTATCAGTCAACCTCGGAAAACACATCAGTGCTTTACAAGAATCCAAGCAGAGTTTTTGTGAAGTGAATCCAATTCAACAACTCAGACACCAGATTATTCTCTTCTGTTGCGAGAGTTTGGCAGTAAAGGAAAAAAGGTAGGACAGCCGTCAGTCAGCCAGGAAACATATTATTGAGCTACGTTTGTTAAGTTTTAGTTAGTGAGAGAAGCCAGTTTGTGTGGTTGATGTGTGTAGCAAGCAATAGCAATAACACAAAGGTGACTGAGGAACGGGAGGAATATTTTATCGCAGCAGTAATACAAATCTACACACGAGACGTGGTGTGAGTTCCAAGGGAATAAATACAGAGAGAACAGAAACGAGGACAAAATCTGTAGAGTTGCTTCAACTTGCTTGGAAACAACATTGTATGAGTGGATGGCAACGTAGCGTTGGATGGATAACCAACGCTTTGACATCGTAAGAAACAGCGCACTCTGAGCTGGGGGCTCCACAAAGCAGCGAACATTGATGCGACCTGAGTACGAGGCGAAATGCGGTGAGTGAGAAAATTCTCGTCCGTTTTTCAGAGCTCCTCATCCAACTGAGAATCTCAAGCCCCCCGAAAGCGCAGTGGATTTGAGAGAAGAAAGGTCTCGCCCAGTTTGCTGACGTAGAGCACGATCACTGGGCGAAGTGGTCGTGGGGTTGATCGATTCCTCACTCATGATATCCGCCCTCCTCACTTGGCTTGGCTTGCTTTCGTGGCGTCCTTTTCCGACCATGCAGCGATCCCCTCTCTTTCCGCGGCGGGATAAAACTGGCGACAAAAAATCTCTCTGTGACTGGGCAACTGAATAAATTTCGTGTATTTTTTGATTGCCTGGTCCTCCAGAGAGAGGGAACAAAAACGAAACCAAACATGACAACGTGAAGGGTTCTTCTCCTGGTGGAGTGCAGCTATCTCATTAGCCCGGAATTTAGATGTCCCTTCGATCTTGGTCCCAAAGTAAAAATGTAATTTCGAAAAGCTTCTCCCTTCACACATTAGCCATTCAATTGGAGTGAATGCTGGAGAGAGAGAGAGAGGACTGGGTGAGATGATGGGGCTATTTGAACCGGAGGGGAGAGATTTTTAGCCCGACCGAGTTGACAGATCCTTTCACTCTTTTGCTCATTACTTTACTTTATGAAACCCAACAAAACTTTGCTGTGGATTTGCTCACTCGAATTGCTGCATAAGAATTGAACGAGATCCAACCCGACATTCATTTCACTCGATGGGAGAATACATTGCATTACTTGAATTGCAATCAGAAAATGCTTCACTTCCAACCAACCCTCTTTTCTCTTGGTAGAGGATCCCCGAATTTATCGTTCAACAATTTATAAGTGAGTGAGGCTTGGATTTGGAAAATGGAATTTACATTGGAAAACTCATATTGGGAGGGAGTGAAAATCCAATCGGCATTTTCAAGCTCGAGGTCTCACTGAGAACTTCCCAGTCGATACACACATAAATATATCGTGGAGTTTGTCAATTTTACAGTAAATGTTTACTTCATTCGAGTCCAATTATGTTCGTTAACTAATAAATGCATTCAAATTGTACATTTCCTTGATTTTTAGTGGATTAGCACCAGTTTTCAATTGAGTTTCGAGTTGACTTGAAACGTGTTTATAAAATTTAGACAGACTTTTTCTACGTTTAACTATTAATTATTTGTTTTTGTCAATTCATCATGATGTCATCTTTTTTGGTAACAGGAAGTTCAAATTGTCGAATAGTTGTGATATTTAAAGGACTACAGAGCATGCTTGAATAATTACTAAATATTAGGAATGACACATTCATCATTGTACGAAAATTATGCATCTACTTTCATCTTCTTCGTTGTAATCTGTGTTTCAATTTTAGTTTTCGTGCCCACGAATTTCGACTTGACAGACGTATCGGTTTTGTGTGGTTGGATAGATGGTGGCTGTCAACCGCGTTATGACAAATGTGTATGTACTTATTCGACTAGTGGAGCACACCCTCTCATCTCTGAAATAAATGATACTTTTATTATGTGACACTGTTTAGTGCACGTGGCTTGTGCTTGTGCTCACGGTTAGCGATTGTCATTAGGATGACACTCAGCTCCGTGCTCATGATGTTTTAATCTTGTTTGGTTTCCCGTTGATAATCTTTTTAAAAGTAGAGAGGTTTTGTATTCAATTTTGCTCCTTATTATGCATAAACCTCGCTCTTGCTAATTCCAGCATGTCTCGCTACAGTGCAAGATAAACTTGGTACAGATTTCTCACTTTGCTTGCATAAGTATCTTGGAAATTCTGAAAAGCCCCAAGGATATCTTATTCCTCCCTCTTAACAGAAAACTCTATTCGTTCGTTAGTTAGTGATTACGTCCAGGAATTCCACTTCATTTACAAAAGTGCAGGAACGTGCGAGTGGCATTAATACAACACATTTTTCTCAGCATCTCAATCTCACTCAACCAATGCCCAACTTGAAACCTGGAATTTTAAGAGTTGACCAATTCAAGCTGCTGCTGCAGATGTCTTCACCAAAGCCTGATTCATATTTCTGCATTATTTCGTCCAAGTTTTAGCCTCACAAGTTTGTCAAATCTCTCAAAATACCGTTTGAACCATGCATAAGTCTCAAATTCCCCGCAGGCTTGGGCGAAGGCTTTATGGTTTAGAGTTTCTGTTGTTGCAACTTATTAAGCAACTTATTATTCTGTGCAGGCATCCCATTCCGTAAAATTCTCTCCTCCACCACTTACTTCTCTCGTGTGTGTGTGGGTTTGAATTGAGTCTAGAAGAATTGTTTGATAGCACACAATAACCAGCACATACAGAGAGAGAGAGAGAAGACGGAAACACTATGATGATGATGGCACTAAAAAGCAGCTTTTACACTCGGAGGAGCAAGCTTTGGTGTAGGAAGAGAATGTGGTGTTATGTTTTACAGCAGATAGCTTCAGCAACTCTCTCGCAAAGTCATATAAAACCAATGCGAGGTTAGCTGAGCCAGATAGCGGACAGACAGATAGGATTTATTCGAGAGGATCATCCGAACACATTTTGTGAAATACTCCCACTTCTTCAAGTGCGGTCAAATACGTCGTCTCAATTTTTCATGTGAGACGAGCCTTGAATTTAGTTAGCCAGATGTACTAGCTCCCAGTTTTGATTGATCTTACAACTCATTTCCAGAGATTGGGACTGGTTGATGTCCGTCCGTCTTAATGTTTGAGAGATGGACGAGAAGGACGGCTTTTTTATCGGGTCGAGTGGCTGCTTGATTAGTTTGGTATGGGTGTCTTGATAAGAGAGCTGTGACCACATTGGGCCTGTGTGTCCCGTCATTTAAGGCAGCAGCAGGAGTAGAGAGAGCGAGAGATTGAATGGAAATGAGACCCAAGCGGGTCACCCCTCCTCCCCTCTCTCGCGCCAGGCAGTGAACTCTGCCATTTTTATTCATCGGCTTTCTTCCATCCATTCCGTCCACCACTCTGCGACCGAAAGGAGAGAGATATATTTATCATTCAGCCCTTTATTATTGTGGACGAGGCCTCACGTCGTCATTATTATTATCATCATCATCATCATCGTTTTACTCTATAGGATGGATGTGTAGAGAGTGGAGAACCTAAATTGTGAGCCCGTAAAAACATGGCACAAATTATTGCATAACTTTGTAATATGGTGATCATCATGGAAAATGAGCCCATTCCTTGTCTGTCAGTGTGAGGGATTTGATCCGTTGTTATTACCAATATTGTGCTACTTTGATTCTCATCTGGCTAAATAGCACCCTGCTGGTGGTGGTGAGGCTGGTGGGAGCGACTCTGATTACCCGCTTGCTCATGTCCAATCAATCAGAGTTTTCTTTCCTTAATTATTTTTTGCTCTAGTAGTAGCTCTTTCATAAAGTTCCAATCGTGCGAAAATCTCAAATTTAAGTACAGTATGGTTGATGACTCTTTTTCGGGTTTTCTTGAGAATTGAAAATTATTCTACTGTTCAGAGATTTTGCATATTATTTTAATTATGGACACGTAATAAGATTGAGCTTAGTTTGGCATTTTTTTAACTTTCTGCTTGACTCGAAATGAGACGACGTCAGTCAGTTTGCTGCTGATGTTGATTTGTGCTGAGACTGATGATAGTGAGACAGAGTGGAACTCGTAAGTAATAAGAAAAGCGATAAGTTTGCCAACCGTTTTCTCCCCTTGCTCGAGTCTTAAATATAAAAACCGCAAGTTTGTAATTCAATCCGTAAATCTGTGATATGCACAAAATTGAAAGTTGTGAACGTGACGAACAAAGTTGTCATATTAGTTTTAAATATCAGAGTAGATTTATGCATATCACATGAGTAAATAAGTTGTATGCAAGTAGTATATCTTAATTGAAACTTAATTTGTCGTGTTTTATTTGCATACCAAGTAACTGCAAAGTTTGTTTTGGTTTTGAAAATGTCAACTGCATTTCAAGGGAATGCTGGAGACTGGACTTCGGAATGGATGGAACTTTGACACGTTTGATTAATATACTTGATTCTACACTCGAGATATCTTCACTTGAGGAACTTAATTCCTTCGAATCAATCAATGCATGATGGATGCTCAGAATTACAGTCTCTGATTTGTCGTCGTGGTTGGATGGATATCTGAAGTATGGTCAAGTCCAGGGGAAGATCAAGTCATCGTCGGTTGTTGGATCATGGTTGCTTTGTGATAGATAGTTCACATTCCCCCTTTCCTTCCTCCAGTTAACTTTTACTTGGACTACAACAAATCCAATGCTACAGTAAATGAGCAAGTTGCATGTGGCCGTCAGTGTGTGAAGCGTGTAAATCAATGGAGTGACAACCCGACCAAGGGTCCCATTTGCATGTATCTTTGGTCCGATCTTTAGGAGATGCATTTTTGGGTCCGTGCCTTTCCTTCTAAGGACTGATTTGATTGCAATGTGTTGGGTCATCCAAAGTATTGTCGAAAAAGAATTCCTCTCCTCGCTCGTCTCGTCTCCCTTTTCCTCGGTGGTGAGGCAGAGTCACTTCATGATGACGATAAATAAATGCAACACGGGCTTTACTAATAGGCTTAGCTCGTCGTCTTCGTTTCCAAACCATTATCACCTCTTTGTTGAAATGAATGAGTGGCCAGTTCACATTTCGCCCATTCCCCCACCAAATGGACTGGACCCTTTTTACAAAGTGCACAAAAGGAGACAATGTATCCCCCTATCATCGCTCTATTTGTTATCTAATAATGGTCATTGTCACTGTGGTGTGGTGGTCATCGTAATCATTCGTTGAATCACTCTATAAGCACAGAAATTGTGACAGAGATAACATTCGGTCGTGTCAGTGTTCCTATCAAACGTTGTTAGACAAAAACTCTGAGGTTAGAAAGAAACTTGGAAACATTTGCGATTTGAAGTAGGTCTAAATGTAGTCTAAATATGTATGTACATTGGACTACATATGTTAATTAATTTTGAAGCTTGAATATAGTATACAATAAACCGATCAAGGTGTGGCACAAAGTGGTCGAGTTCATCCAAGCTGTTTTTTACGAATGCTATGTAAACTATTAAATAGTGTAAAATTTCATTGATCTGTTATTTGCATTACACTATTGACAAGCTGTTTTTATGCTAAGCAGACCACGAAGAACTTGGGGGAGTCTTTCTGTGCAAACAGATAATAAAATGCTGCATGTGGAATAATTTTTCTTTGCTATCGATATGCAACATTTAACGTGTTCTGCTTATGACAAGAATGTAAAATATGCTCTGCCTGCCCGAATGCCGACAGCGTTCGTCGCTCGAATACGTTCAGATAGTTACTGCTCGCATCAGATCTTCGTGCTTCTTGCTTTGCCTTCTTGCTGGGTGTGAGGAGATGTGTCAGACCTGTACAACATTTAATGAAAAATTATTAGTTGCGTCCATTTGCTTACGAGAGTGAAAAAAATCTCAAACTCGCTTCCAGCTAAACCCACCCACCTACTACATACTGGGCCTCCTCAGACACACGAAAAAATCGTCGCTTCGAATTTCGCTTTGTTTTTCGCTTATCGATATCATGGCCAAAATTATGAAATTTGCAAAATTTTGTTGAGACTTCAGCTAAGCGACCTTAACCCCACTTCTGAGTTGAGTTTCTGTTCGCTTACCCCAGAGCTCGCCTATCAGGAAGTAAGCGAAAAACGAAGCGAAATTCTAAGCGACGATATTTTCGTGTGTCTGAGGAGGCCCACTGTTTATATGGCTCATGTAAGATTTGAGTTGTCAAAGTAAAATGACTGACCGGCGTAAATTTTTATATGTTTGCAGCCAGAAATGTCATCCCTCGCGGTAGACGTCTCTTAGGCCGGAGGGATTAGCAACATTTCCGAGTTGCTTTCTACTACATTTCAAAAAAGCATAAAAATGGCAGCGGATCAACCAAGCCAAAAACAAGGCAAGACAACGGCCACCGCGGCCACGTCGCCCAATAATGCCACCAAAAAGCCAAAGGAGCGAGTTCCTGTCAAGGAAGAGTTGACTCAAATCAATCAGTATCTCATGTGTTCATTATGCAGTGGATACTTGATTGATGCCACTTCGATAATCGAGTGTCAGCATACCTGTAAGTGTCGCATTTGAATTATGACTTTGCCTTTCTGAATGCATGATCACAATGAAAGAACAACTTTTTCAAGAAACCGGAAAGAAAACATAAATTGAGAATACATATCCTATTTGTTTGTTTGTTTCAGTTTGCAAATCTTGTATTTTGAAGTACCTCGAGACAAATGGTAAGTTTTTTGGTATTGTTTAGAAATTGACTCGTGTATGTTATAACAAGTTGAGAAATCTTAACCTACATATTACACAATTATTTTTAACCCTCATAGGTTATTGTCCAATTTGTGACATTGAGTTAAACACCGTGAAGCCTCATTTGAGTCTCAGGTAAGAAAATTTTACTAAAATAACCTACAGCAATATAGGGCTTTAACTCAGGCTGGGATAAACAGAGAAATTTAGCTGTCTGTTTGAGACTGACCAATATTTTACTAAAAGTGGTATCACTATTGTACATCAATTTTCCAAGATAAGCTCAGTGTGTAAAATTTCAGCTTTTTCTGATCAATTTTAAAACTAGTGTGAGTTTAGGTCCTTTTTGTCAAACAATTAGTGGACTGAATTCATATATTGCATTTCCATATCCAAATTCATGCCAAAATTGAAGTGTCTACTATAAATGATAAAATTTGTGTAATCAGCACATCATAAAATGCATTTCTAATTCACTGGTCAACCAGTGAACCCATCACTCTAACCTAGTCCTAAATATTTCTGATATACATAATCGTGCAACCACTCGGTTGAGTACTTTTTTCTCTATTGTGTCACAAACCGTCCAAAGATAAGGCCTCGCTCTGGCTAAAAATCAACAAAACATAACGTTAGTTAGTATATTCTACCTTACCTTGTTCACTTTCAGCCGTTGTCTACATGACATTTATGAGCAGCTATTTGACAGCTAAGTTAACAAGAGTTATATTCATCTTTTGACCAGTCTGCGCCTTTTGTGACGAGTTCAAAGGAGCATTCCATTTTATGACTTTCAATCTTGTGGTCAGTTTTAGAGACTGTTGTAAAGATGGGCAACAATTACCCTTCAAAATAATAACCTTTTTATCCATTTTGTAAATTTATGATTTTTCAAAACAAAAAATGTCCTTTTTTGAGAATCCGTCTCACATTACTCACTGGACAAACCTTGTCCATAATTCAAGAGCGAGGATCGAGAAGGGAAAGCAGAATCAGAGTGAAAATATATTTCTTAAAGTTCTCACACACTGAAGCGAATATTGCGAGGGGGAGAAAGGAAAGTGCTTTCAGAGTAGGCTTTGCTTTTACAAGAGAACTCGTCGTAGGGGTTTCCAGCGGAGTCAGAGAGCTCAGAAATGAATTGTGATTGTGCGAAGGAAGAAAAGGAAGGGAACGTGCAATCCTCATCGCTTTTACATCAATATATTACAGGAATATAACAACAATGATGATGTGCTCAATGCTCATGCACTCTCATAATGCATCATTTATGTCTGTAATTCGCTCGAGGATGGAAACATATTTAATGAAATGACAGGCGGATATTGAACCAAAACCTAAAATTAAAATATTCGTTCAAAGATTCGAATTATCCTATTCGATGTTTAGCATTTATGGATCAAGAATATGAAAATGTTTGCGTTAAATATTAGATAACAGGGTTTAATTACTTACTATGCGTGTGTTTTCGAAAGTTTTTGACGACAAATTTTTGTTTCCAGGTCGGATGTGATTGTGCAGCGACTAGTCTACAAATTGGTTCCAGGTCTGCTTCTCTCCGAACTTCGGCGTCGGCGAGAGTATGCGGAGAGCAAGGACGTCGTCAAAGCTGCAGAATCCGTCTCGGACACCATGGCTTTGGAAGTGGATGCTGCCTCTGACTTATCCACGATCCTCTCCTTGGACGACGTTGTTAGTCTGTCCATCGAGTACTACAGAGGGTAAGTCAATGACGTGAATAATCTCGCATATCTGTACATCTCTCTTTTTTCATTAAACAATACAGATTGTTCATAGTTAGGCAAAAGGAGACTTGTTTTATGAAAATCCATAATTCACAAGAGGAAAACAAATTCTTGTGCAAAAGTACAATGCAATTAACAAGAGTGACGAAACGTGCATGGCTCTGTTGCGTAGCGTTGAAAAAGTGAGGTCTTTGTAGCAGCATACCTAAATATTTCAGTCGAAAACAATGAGCTCGCAAAACATTCACCTTTAATTTTTGTAGTTTTTGTTCCTTGTACGTTCGTTTGCTGGTTTACAATTGTGTAGAAGAGTAGTGAGGATTCCCCGTTTTAAAGAGATAAGAAAGTGAGGAAACACCACGATGTGATGGAAAAGGAAGATGATACATAATAAATTACTTTGTGGCTGACTTTGCATGCCTTTTAACAAGTCAGACTAAACCCGACTCGGGATTCTTTTGAGACTTTTGATATTTATTTGGCTGGTACTTTTTTATGTCGTTTTAATGACCAATTTTTATTTAAGCACTTTGTATCATATCCATAAATAGTTATCTCAAATATATTTTAATTGTATTATATAAAGTCAGTAGATGTGTGAGTGAAATATGAATTTGAACACACAAGCATTTATCTTTAAATACTATAGGAAGTGTGAAATATAAATGAAATGAAATCATTGGATATCTACCCTCACGCTGAGCATGTAAATCCGACACCAGCAATAAAATCACTATATTAATCATGACTTGGCACTTGTTCTGACATATTGAAAAGCAGAAGTAGATAAATATAATGGATAAAAATCGTAATTTTGACTCAATTTCAGAGCAAAGTTTGACTTCAGTAACACTTTTGAACCTAAGTTTCAACATTTATTTTTTTTAGAATTAGTAAATTGCATTTATAAAAAACAACAACAAAAGTTCTCTTTGCGTTATGAGTCGAACAATGACAATAATCATTCGCATATGACTATGATGATGATGATCCATTTTATCAGAGATTTTCGAGTCATTTATTGCATGAGTAATTCACAAAGTGAATCACTGGATGAATAATCCATGTATTTTTATCCTTTTTTCTCTTAGTACGGACGCTAAGGATGAGCCGAAACCGCAACCTGTGCAGCAGAAGCAAGACAAGCTTAACCATCCACCAGGTACCAATATCCACCATCCAATTGAAGATGTCAACTGCTCCAAAGATTCCCCAAACGATGTAAGTAAAATTGATTTTCGATATTTCCATCATGAAATCATAAGCGAATCAATTCCTTCTAAAAATATCCCAAGTTTTTAGTAGGCAAGAAGCTATGCACGTAATATGAATGTAGGTTCTAGATATGTGTTATATATGCGTATACTTTTTATGTATAAGCTGCCAAATATGGGATTTCTTTTGTAGTCAAGATTGCAGGGAGGAGTTTTAATCTGACACAATCACATATCATTCTCACTAACAACAATGGGTTTATTTTTTACAATGTTGGTGAATTCCTCAAACAAGTATAACAAAAAAACAGTAAAGTATAATACTGAGACCGGAGTTAATGTCTCAACGGCAAAAATAACACTAAATTAGCAAATCAATTCGTATTTAAGTCCAATTAAAAACCAAAACTCAATCTAATACTCCACAACCGTAGTGTTCGCCATCGCAGCAATGACCGTCCAGTCCAAAAGTTGGGTCCATTTCTGACCCCCATCGTTTAGAGGTTCCAATTCTGCCGTGAATTTTCGTCCGGTTACGTACTCGGCGCAGGTGGTGATGAACTCGTTGTCATTTTGGTCATATTGGTCGACGATGGCAGACGCCCGGTTTGCGACCTTCACCAAATAACCGTCGGTTCCCTCCACCCAGCCGATGGTTTTTTTCACTCCCTTAAGAATGATGCAGCCGATGGTGTCGTCTGCTGGACGCACCCACCCGTGACAATCACACCCTCCTACTGCTGGTAGTGGTGGGGTCACAACGAGAGGAAGTGACAAATCCCACTTGAAGGGAGAGTCCGCCGCTGTAGGAACTGCAACTAAATCAACCCAGTATTAATTAGTAAGTAATTAATTAAATAGCCGTTGGCTCACCTTTACTGCTTCCGTCCGTAGACGTGCCATCAAGTCGTGGTATTTTTGCGGCAGAGGATCCTTGTTGAGGGTTCTTCCTCTCCTTCAAAATTTTCGATATTTTCTCACTTGTTGAGTAGTCGTCTTTCTCGAAGGCTTCCTTCATCCTCTCCTTCAGCACCTCCGTTGTCAATAGTTCCAACTCCTCCGTGCCGTCGGCACCACTACCATCACTGACCTCCATGTCCAAAATTATCTGATTGTTTTTTAAAAATATTAATTAAATTTTGCTCGACAGAGAAGGAGAATTAATTTAATTGTTGTGCAGTGAGCGAGCGAGCCAGCTGAGGGAAAGAGAGCGAGCGAGCTAGATGAGGGAGAGAGAGCGAGCGAGCCAGCTGAGGGAAAGAGAGCGAGCGAGCTAGATGAGGGAGAGAGAGCGAGCGAGCCAGATGAGGGAGAGGGAGCCAGAGTTGTGTTTGTTATGTGCAAGTAACAAGTCTGGACATGTTTCAATACATTCTCCGTATTTCGTTGATTGAATGTTTCCTAAAGGTGATCGGTGTCCATGAGAGGAAGATATGTCAACAATGGAATGAATGAATAGAATCACTTATTGCAGTTAAATAAATTTATGATAAATGCATTACGACGGTAAGGTTAGCGTTACTATTATTTAATGGTTCATACACGCTGCTCGTTTTCATTGGGGGTTTTTATACACATATGAAATATCCTGTCCCTGCGTATTGTATGAGGTATGATGATTTTGAGACTGTTCTCTTGCACATAACTTGAAAGGCCCCATTTTGAGTAGGTACTTAAGCTAAGGCATTGAACTTACAGCATTATTATTATATCAAGCCGTAAACTTGCAGCTTACGGTAAAGTTGCATTGTCAGCATCATCATCGTCATCGTCGTGCAAGAAATTGTAGACACTCTTGCGATGAGTTGGGATATAATGGATACCGTTAGCCATAAATAGAAAGACTGAAATTAATCGTGTAAAGTTACGCAATAATTAGAGGAGCACTGTTGGGCGGCTGAGTAATAGAATTTGAAATATAAAAGAATGATTCCGACAGAGGACCAGCGTCAGTGTGGTGTTCATTCCATGAAAGTCTATTGTCCATAATTTATGGAGTTTAATGAAGTTGGAACTTTTATTGAAGTAGTAGCAGCAAAGAAAAGTAAGCAGTGATTACACGGAAGGGAGTGAGGAAGCCGTGCACAGTTCATGCCGATATTGCCTCATTAGTTGTTTTGTATGTACATGTAAAAAGTATTCTTCTTGTGCGTAAATGTTCATAAAGCATCATCTCGATGTTATGTCCATAATAATATTTTCATCCGCCAACAGAAATTACTTCTGTACAAGAAACAGCCCGGAGCAAAAGTTAAACTCTTGGCCAGCTTCTTGTATCCCCTCCCATTTAGTATGAATAAAAGAGTGGAGGACCACAGGAGAAAAATTTGCACATAATTAACGCAAGCAATAATAGGGGAGTTGATTAATCCCTTCGGTCGTGCGTGGGTTCAAGACAGATTTATCTTGTCAGAAGTGAGTGAATCCTACGCGTTAAAAGGCTTTGGCCCATATGCACACACTGAGAACTTTCGTTCCTTATTGCTCCTTCTATTATTTGTCGTCAGTAGTATTGGTACAACCATGCTCGTCGTTGTTGTTGCTATCATTGCATAATAAGAAAGATTGAATTCCGCACTATCTGCTGACCAACGAAGAAAGATATCAATCAAGAATTAATTTTAAAAGGGCAAATAAATAAATCATCCAAACAGAAACATTATTTAGTTGCCTATCTGTCTGTGTCTGCCCTTGTGCTCTATGAAACGAAACGAGACGAGTGAACACAAGATTGACGTACATATTCTTTTATGTTGTTTGTTGTAGCATGATTAGTATGAACCGTTGTTGGGCCGGTTCGACACCGGCGTGTCTTGCCAATGAAAAAGAATACACAAGCTTTCAAGTTGCCATCAAGATAACAGCATGATGAGACATAAAAGTGCACAAGTTTTGTTGTAAATGGTCAAAATGCTGGGCTTGGGTGCAACCAGTTTCCATTCTTTTTAATGAATTAAGTTCAAGTAATTTGATTGATGACTGATTTGATAGCACGCTCGTAACGGTGCATCTAGTAAATATATTACCGAGGTGGTGTCTGATTATGACTCCGGGGTAATAAGAAGACAATATATTTACACTTTAAAATGTATTATGTGATTTTTATTTATGCAAAACCATTTTGTCCGTGAATGTTTGAATTATTAAAATTGTTGCCTGTACAAAAATGCGAGGGAATTCTTTACCAGACATTTAGCTAGTAGTCCATAACTGGTATTTCATTTATTTCTTCGAATGGTCTCATTTATGTATATAGATACTGCATAAATACATGGGGTTTAGAGTATTAACTTTCTTACGGAGGATCCCAAGTCTTTGTTTGACTTGAGTTTAAATTCAGCCCTTTTAGCAAGTTCGGCTAATTAGAATTAACCTGATTTTCAGCAGCGTAGTAATGGCACTCCGGAAATTATCCCTCACATTTATTGCGTGGAAGGGATAATTAAAACCTCACCTTGCGTTGTTTTTCTCATTATACTGGTAAAGATTGTAGATTATCTGTCTAATTGAATTTCATCGGGCTGCTCCCACTCTCTCATCCTTTCTCACAGGGTTCACACACAAGTGAGCCTCTGAAGGGTGGCGATAAAATGAATTGATTAGAAAGTAATGAGTTAAAAATTTGTACTTTTCTTCTCTCGGGCATCCGACAGTCCCCCAAGGCTTTCATTGTTTACAAATTAGGATTGCTGAGCCTCATGCATACGTAGATATGCAAACGGAATAAAACTGTTTGTTCACGAATGCTACACAACAACATTTGCACGATGGTAAAGTTGCAAGCCAGAGTAAAGTTCGTTTTCCACAAATTGAGGGCATCAAATAAAAATGATAATATTTCAACGCGAGAACCTCGTTACTGCCACCTATCTTTTTTGCATCATTTTATCGTGCTCTCGCTCTCTCTGAATTTGAAATGTTTCTCTAACGAATCCATGATCCATTGTTGCAGTATTGTTGTGGAGCAGTTAGTTTAAGTGCGGCGTTTATTTTGATTGTCAAGAGCTTATGTAGCTGTTGTGAGTGAGTGTTGCGTGGTGAGGTGGGAATAAGGAAGGAAGGAAGAGGAGATGATGATGATGATGATTTAAAATAAAATAGGGACCAACTGAGACGTAATGTAATATTAAGAACTGAACTGACTATGATGTAATTTGTGATTTAGGAGACCAACGACCGGAGATACCTGAAATGTCCTGCGGCTATCACCATTTCTCTACTCAAGAAATTCATCCGAATGAAATACGGTCTACAGAATGACTACAGGGTAAGATTTTCTTGGATAATTTTGTCACTCGCATTTTTATTTCCCGTTTTTGCCGTCACAAGAATCTCCAACGCCGCATTGCATGTACAAATGATAGCGAGGACCCAACGAAATGCGCCCCTCGACTCTTTCTTCCCATTCAGATTGGTGATGGATACATCCACGCATTGTACTCTAATTTCATTGCATATGCATGTTGTACATCGAAACGTCTTAGTTTTTGAATTTCAAAGTTTCGGTGGGGCAGGATCGTTGTTTTTCTTAAAAGTCAGGATGACAATATAAAGCTTGAAAATTTTGTTGATCTCAATAGTGTCGCGGATGAAAGGGAATTCACTCAATATGCACAAGTCCCAAGTTGTCCATATATACATACATATCCATGTCCCGTTCTCTTAAATTCGGCATTTGTTTTGACGGATGTGCGTGCAGCTGATGCCTATATATTTTTAAAATATATACAAACCCAACATGTTATTTACTATTCTGCCTTTCCACTAATCCCATTAATCCCCAAGTTATATTTACGTACGTTTCGGGGCACTACCATTTTTTCAGTGGAGTTGGTAATGATGATACGTATACACAATTCTGTAACCGTTTCAGATATACGTACGTAGATGATAACGCCTCGATCCCATTAATTTTAATCTTCATAACACATATTCAGTAAATACATAGCCATTTAGTAACATTAAATTCCATGTCATATTTCTCATTTTGTGCATTCTCCAAGTATACTCTCTATTTTTATTCGTAACTTTACTGTGAATTATATATCAGATAAAATGTGTCTCAATTCCTTGATTTCATAATCAAACAGTCTATTCATTTTCACCACGAAGGGAATCCACAATACAAATATAGCGGACCCGAGTTCCGTAATGATGTTATTACTTTGTCATAATACCACTTTAATTGTCGGGAGAGAGCATCATGAAAAATCAATTTGATTTTTGATAGCACCACTCAACTCAACCAGTTTTGTAATGCGAGTTTAGGGAAAAAATTAAGTTCGTTGGCATTGGATGATGAACACAATACAAATCATTCAAAATTCCACCATGCACACCACCAACCAGCGAGTCAACCACTTACCTGTACAACCACAGCAGTTATGTGAGGATCTCTCACACCACAATCTTCTCTGTCGACTTCTCCGAGGATCCCGTCCAACGCTATATATTCAGCTAAAGCTCAATAGTCAACTTATTTACATGCTTATTTGACTACACGTATAATAATAAAGCAGAACTGGACTTGAGTCGCTTCCATCCAACGCAATGTTATTAAAATGCCTTAGATGCTCACTCACACATACACAGATTGAGATCCTTTAAAAGATTCTTCTTTCACGAGACTTAAAAAACACGATTAGACTTTTTCAAACCAAATGGAATGTTTTAGTCTCATTTTTTATTCTTTCCAAATTTTTAATATGCTACAGAAATAGTATGATGTGGTTAACCCTAATTTTAACAAAATCTACTCTTACATATATATATTTCTAATTTCTATTAAAGTCAATTCGAACACAACCTTATAGTTTATTACAAACAAAAAAGCGTCACAAACGAAAACCGGTCTTGCCTATAGAATTTTTATGTGTAAAGTGTAAATTTATCTGGGCAAGAAAATTCATAAATCAAGGGTCTTTTTCGTGTTTATTTCATTATCTTTGAATGCAGACCCCGAAAATATTCCACCGTTCAGGAAAACTACTGGCAATTCATATGAGTATCCGTTTCGCCTGCTGAGCATGTGTTTTTTATTGGACTACAAAAAATATTACGATGATGTATGTACGATAGAACGCTGCATGTGGATTATTTGGGCATTTTGTGCTTCGCTTGACGAGGTTTTCTTCCATTCTTCTCACCCATCCTCCTTTTACGCATATGAATGAGCAGGCATGAGAATTAATTTTATGAAATCTTACTGCACAACAAAATTTTCCCATAACCAAAAGTAATCCCGTTAATTCTTTAAAGTTTATAGTTTCGATCGTAAATCCCAATATGAAATTGGCCATCTCTTATACACAGATTCAAATTTTCATCATTTTGGAGAACATAATGTTTGCAGTAATACACAAGCTAGCATAGGAATTTAAATGATACACAAAAATCCGGTAGCTTCATTTAAATTGTAATAGTGGGAACTGAGCATTGTAGTCTGAGCGAGTTAGTTAGTGGAGAAGAATGGAATGGAATGTCGGAGATCTTAAATGAAAATTTGTTTATTCTCAGGTTGATTTGCTGTACAATGGAGTTCGTGACAAGAGTCTGGAGAGCGACCTAACTCTGCTGGATGTTGCCTTCATATTTAAATGGAACAAGGTATGTGAGTGGGTGAACCAACCAGCGTCTCAGTTTTCTCTCCTAAACCGTCCTCGTCTTTCTTGAACACTAGTTTTACTTACGCCGTGAAAATCTCTGCTTTCTTTTTTTACTCGACTCTCTTTTTCTCGTCCATTAAACGACGCACAATTCAGGGAATATGCACACATACATTTTAAGCACTTGTAAATTATGACGAGCATTGTATCATTTATATTGATCGTAACAATATATTTCTTCCCAATACAACCAGTACTTGTAAATTAAGCGGGTAAACTGTTGTCTGTATATTCTGCATAAATTGTTATTCCCCGTTATCCAATTTAACGGAAACAAGGCACGAATCTACTCATTCTTGCAATTTTCGATAGCATGTATTTTGCTAATACTGATGAGAGCATCCATCCATTACTCGTCCTCTCGTGCTTACGTACTTTGTATTTTGTGTGTACGCAAGTAGTAGCCGTACGTAGTAGTTGCGAACATTCTGTCGGTACCGTTGCGTTGTTGCCTCAACTTCAACCTTGGCTGTGTATCTCTCACCCACAATGAAAGGATCGATAAATATCTTCCTATACGTTCATGCATCCTGTCCATTCTGCGACCACGACGATAGCGATGTTTTTATTGAATAAGTATTGGTAAAACTGGGAAATTTTGACATTGTGTTAATGAATCATGTGACGTTGGAAGTTTCCGTCCGAAAGAGTTTTTGTCATGCTATTTTTTATTATTCCAAATCGAGACCGAATATTTAGAATTGTTGACGTGATTGGTACACGTGGATATTCCTGCATGAGTCAAACCCGTGTTGACTAACTGACGTCAAAGTGCTATTGAATGATGTTATTATTATGGCATTACGCGAGCAGAGCAATTTGATTGAAACCCTTCTGAGCCCAAGCCCAAGTGCGTTAGGAAATACAACCACTTCTGCACGAATACAATTTGGCATTTGAACTTTATGGCTGGCAATTAGAAAGAATAACCTCGAAATTCATTGTGATGAGAAGCCTGCAATATTGTAATCACATTTATAGTTTTCCTCCACGTTATACAAACATTTTCTGTCGTCTCACTTTATGTGACACAAACACCTTTTCAAATATGACGAGCGTGTGTTCATTCTTATGTATGCGTAGACAAATTTATGAATGTGCATGCTTGGAGAAGAGCAATAGGTTTACTCTTACTTCAATGCAGTACAGGAAATAATTATGAGAAAATCTTCTTGACTAATAGTCACTCAATTTAATTCTTTCCTTCTTTTCAAGCTATAAATTTTTGTGAGACTGAGCAGAATTGTTGGCTAAATGTGCATAAAAGACGACTGTGTGTGTGTAAAAGTCTCTTTTGTGTTGTTGCTGTTGCCACAATATTGCGTGATATGTTCAAAAGTTGGCTGCTGTGTGATGTCGTGCAAAGATGACTTTTGAATTGATGCGAGTGAGGAGCGTGTTAAGAAGTTCATAATAATAATGAATCGGTGTTAGGTGGTGGTGGTGCAGAGAGCTTATTAAAACCTTGTGAAAATCATCATCCTATCCTCCACCCACAGCCCGCAACCTCCTTCCTCCCTCTGCCATTCTTCCCACCAGGCATGCACTCACAACTCGCATGGAGAATGAGGGTTTCGAATAGAAGAAAACCTAAAAATGTTGATAATTACTGTATTCAAACGTAAATGTGTAGTCCAGCTTAACTTTGATGTGTATCAAGATGATGCAATTAAATATTGGTTGCCTGCTCTTCTAAGCCGCGACTAATAAGATCTTATTAACTCATTATTATACTTTTGAGTTTTTTTTGTTTTTAATCTTGTAATAGATTTTTGCATGGTGCGTATATATTTCAAATTCCCTTGAGGGTAGAAGTAAGCAGATCTGCCAAGAAAAACGAAATATTCTTTCTACTTTTGCGTATATTTCTACTTTGCTCTTTTTCTTTTCACGAGAGATGTTCACGAATGAAAGTACTTGCATGCAATCTCTGATTCACATCATATGACATGAACTTATTCAAATAATTTGACTGCAGAACGAACCGATGCGATTCCATTACCGGATTTTCGACCGAACGGTTAAAAGCCTCCCAACCCGAGCTGGGAAACGAACTGCTTCATCGATGATGGATGAGCCTCCAGACGATGATGCAGCATCTGGCCCCCACAATCGACCACCAATGACTTCCGCCTCCCCATCCTCCAAACTTCCTCGCGTCTCCAACAGCAGTTCAACTGGTGCTAACACCAACAGCGGCAGAACAGGAGGGTCTGCACGGACCACCACCACCCACTACACCTCAGCCCCCATCTACGACTTTTCTGAAGGTAACTCTGACACCGAGGAACCCATCCTTCAAACAGGGAAGCTTAAACTCCGAGGTTTCCGGAGGGAAAATAATAGTGCTAGTATTACTGCTAACAATAGTAATAGTAAGAATAGTAATAATAATAATGAACCTAGTAGTAAGACTGGTAGTCAGGCTTTAAAGAGGTCCCCGTCAAACCTACGATCTTCAGTGGTAGAAAATAGGAGAAGTAGCAGCAGTGGAAAAACTGCAAGTCCTGCTCGTAGTAATAGCGTGGGTACATCGCATGATGACACCTCTGAAGATGCAGAGTCGGATTCTTCTTCCTCAGAATCTGATTCAGAGGCTAAAACGGCACAGTTGACAAGCACTAGGGTGAGGTCTGCTGCACAAACCGTGTTGGCAAATCAGGTGAACGGTGCCATAAAACTGAACATGACATCTAGCATTGCGGAAAAACGGGAGCCCTTAAGGCTAGCATTAGGCTCCGTCACTGCAAAAAGTCTGGAGCATAAGCATAAACACAAACACCATCATAAGATGAAGCACAAGAAGAAGCACAAGCCGCTGAAAATAAGCCTATCCCTTAATCCGAGTTCACATGCAGGTGGAAATAACCGAGGGAATGTAAACCAGAGTCAAAAACAGAAATCGGAAGGTGTTGGTGGTGTGGCAAAAATTGCTTCTTCTTCTGAAAGAGAGAAAGGCAGCAGCAATAACAAACTGATTTCTGGACAAGGACAGAGCAAGAACATGGAAGGGAGCTGTGATGGGCCCAGTGGGAGTGCAAATAGTCAAAGCAATTTCCCAGTCAATGTAAAACCTACAACTTCCGCACACCTCAGCAACATCAGCAAAAGTATCAGTGTGAGCATTGGAGTTGGAAACAACAACAATAGTTCCACTGCAACAGCCAGTCAATCGGGGAAAAAGGGCTCAACATCTACAAATTTACTGTCCAAGAAAAACTCGGGAATTGAAGTCCAACCGACAACAATTTCCGCCCAAGCAACTAGCAGCAGCAATCCATCATCAAACTCCAATCAGTTTCCAACAACGTCAACTAGCAGGTCACATCCACTCCTTCCTGAGTCGGTTCATGTCCCCAAGTCTGTGACACTGATCCCTGTGAACCCCAGCGGGATGAGGACTAGTAGCGTATCAGATAATGTTGTTGGTGGCGGAAGAAGCATGAGCTCGTTGTCGGATAAATCGGGATCGGGCATCACCACTTCAAACCGAATGACGAACGCAAACACTTTTACTCACTCAATAACCAACAAATCCTTGCACCAAATTCCAAACCAAATAACCGTGACGGAAGTCCCACCACCACCTAAATCAGGAAGTAGCAGTCCAGCGAGTGGTGGCACTAGTGGAGGAATAAACGTCGGGAGTGCTACAAATAGCTCGGGTAGTAATAACTCCTCCAGTGGACCCTCTGCTACTAATAATCCCATTGAAAAGGTCATTGCTGCATCTCACAAACCTCAGTTCAGTGGGCCGGGTAGTATGGAGATCACAAAGATTTATTGCAACACCACAAAAGAAAACCCAACCACAAAGAAGCTGAAAGAAAGGAAGGGTCTCGATATCAGCATCACCGTCCCTGGGATGAGCAGTATTAAGGATAAAAAGACTCACAAGTTGGAGGAAACTTTGAGACAGAAAATGGGATTGAACAGCTCATCAACCGCAATGACAATGAGCAACAACAAGATTACTAAAGGGAGCAACCAGACTCAACCAGTCCCACTTTTCAATGCAAAAATGCCTCCTGGGATTACGATCGGTCCAGCGGGGGTGACCAAGAACAGTATTTCTGGCAATTCCAATTCCAATTCAAATACTTCTGCCTCTGCTTCTAATTCCGGAAGTACAATTGCTGGACTAGGGTTCACATTGCCCCCTCACATCACAGCACATCCCCAGCACCCACCAGCAAAGCAGCAACAAATGATAGTAGTGGGCAATCACCAGATGAAACAAGGAGGGGATAAGTCCGCACCCCACAAAAATTTGAATATTAGTGGACCATCCAAGGGTTCTTCTCAAATCGGAGTTGTCGGGGCAGCGGCGAACAAAGAGCGAGTTCCTAGTGGTGGTGGCGTTACTCCCAAAGGGTTACAAACCAACAAAATATTTGACAACAGGAAACAATTGGGAGAAGCCCTCGCGTCCATGATGGACATGGCCAACCGAAATACATTAAAGAGTCCTTCCCCACCAAAGAATTGTCAACAGACTAAAGAACAACACAAAAGTGCTGGTGGGACAAGTAAGTTACACCAACCAAATATTAATACGAACAGCGAAAAGAGATCCATCGACATGTCATCATCATCATCCAGTCGTAAAAACTCTCGAGGATCTCCTGAGCCAAAACGTTCGAAAACTAATGAGTCGTCGTCGTCTTCATCTGTTTGTAATCCGAAAGGCTCAGCCAATGAAAGTCCATTGGATTTATCTGGGACTGGCAGAACCAACTCGAGACCCAACTCCAACTCTTCCTCTCCTATCCATCACCACAGCGTGAAAACAGTTCATTCAAACTCGTCTCCTTCCAGTCAAGAAAAGGTGAAACACAATGAAAATATGCTTCATGCAAACAACAATATGGTTCCCAAAAAATCTCCAACATCGCTGCCCAAAGTCTCGCCTCCATCATCTTTGGGGAAATCAAGTGGCAATAAGGGATCTGGAACACCCACTGGATCTTCGTCGTCGTCCTCTTCCATTTCATCCATCGTTCAAAACCTGGCCCAGAAACAACTCCACCAGCAGCAACATCAAAAGGAACAATCGTCTGCTCACAATCAAATCATGCACTTACAACAAGGATTGCAGAATATGCATGCAGCAAGTAACCTCGGTGGTGGGAATCCCCATTCTCATCCCCATTCTCATCTTCAAGCAGGGAAAGGTGGTTCCACTTTGTCATCCCTGCTTGGAAATTCACTCAGTCCTAAAGGTCTCAACTCCATATCTCCCCCCATGACGACCATGCCAAACTCATCCCCTCCAAACACTGTGTTCGATCCATTAAGAAATTTATTGACCTTATCTGATGCTGCTGTGGCTGCTCGTCACGGAAAAGTACACCCGGCCATGAATAGTCTCATGTCTGCAGTGGGCTTATGCTCATCACCATATTCTCACCACGCTGGACTTTCGCCCACCTCTGTTACATCCGGATCACTTTTTCCCCAACTTGCCAGCTCTCTCGCAGCAGCAGCCGCAGCAGGGGGAAAGTCACCCGGGGGAATGTTTGATCCTGCACAGGCTTATTTGGCAGCAATTTCTGCCCACAATGAGCGACTTGCTGCAGTTGCAGGGATGAGTCAATTTCACTCTGATTCTATGAGTCCACCAATGTCAATGGCAAGCTCTTTCTCCCAGGTTAGACCTTCGTCAAACAGTCCTCATAACCATCATCACGGAGGTCACGGGGGTTTAAGAATCCCCCCTTCGTCATCCCCAGTCCAGTCAAAGACGGGCGGATCAAACAATAACTATGGGAAAAATAGTAATAATAATAATAACCACAAGCAGCAGCAGGGTTCTTCTCCCACTTCCCCACTCTCTTTCGCCCACCCTCCTCCTGCTCCCCGTTCTCCAAGCAGTAATAAAACTACAAACTCCTCTTCAGCGTCTCAAGTCTCATCTTCCTCGTCACATTCCAAGTCGCATGACTCTTCATCCAACATGAAGAATTCGACGGCGACGACAGCAACGACGACAACGACGAGAATCAACGGAACCAATACATTCTTTAACAACAATCATCTCCCAATTCTTCCACCTGGGATTCACAATCCGCTTTTGCCGACTTATCCTCGTTCGCCAACCACGACTAATTTGGTTTCATCCTCCAGTAGCATCCGTTCACAGAGTCCAATATCATTATTATCATCATCATCGTGCATCACTAATAATGCAACTGCAAAATCTACGAGCTCTTCCGACAAGAAAGGGATTCCAAATAGTATGAAAATATCTAATTTCCTCCCGAGCAAGCCAAAGGGCCAAGACAACTCGAACGTTGAAGCCACCATAACGAGTGGGAGTAATGTTGGTGGGGGAGCAAGTTTGACAAAGTTTCTCAGCGACATATCGCCGCCCAGTATATTGGTGACCCAAGCAGCGCAATCAAATTTGTCAGTGTCACCCGCAACAACTCTTCCGAAAGACGTTCCTTCTTCAAGGGGTTTCGTCAGCACGCTCCATAATAAATCAAGTAATGAACAGGAATGTCTCTCAAAATCCGACTCGAAACATACCTCTCCTTCTTCCAATGTGGTGTCCTCCTCCTCCACCTTTTTCAAGCACAATCCGATTAAAGTAGAGCCAGCCGAAAAGCCAATTATTTTAAGCAGCAGCAACATCCAATTAAAGTCAAACGCTGACCCGATTACCTGTCCAACGAATGCTTCCACACCCAACAAGTCAGGGCTGAAAATGAATGAAGAAATGGCTAAATCCAATTCCTTAGAGATTAAATCCGAAGGAGCAACAACGTTGATGAGCTCAAGCTCTCCTGCTAAAGGGGGACAATTTGGCTTGGGACTGAGTCCCCCAGCCGCCCGTACCACCACCACCAGCAGCAGCAACCAGCAGCCACAAAATCAGGCCGTGAGGCATATTCCAAACCCAGCATTGCTATTCAACCGGTTGAATAGCTGCTCCCCATCAAGTCTCGTTACATCTCCGACCTCAGAAACACCAAACTCTGGAAAATCACTTCCTTTCAAAAATCAAAAGTCTCCCGTAAAATTAGAAGAGGTTGTTGCGTTACAAGTGCCAGCCCTCCCATTTCCAGGAGTGTCTGTTCCCGTTAAAGTTGACGTGGATTCTCTTCTTTCTATTCCCATCTCAAATACTGTGAAAACAATTCAACCGACAGAACATTGTGGTCTCAAACCTCTGACGAACCCCGGTCTAGATGAAACTACAGAAGAAAAAGATAACCAGACAACAACCAAGAAGACGGAGGATAATTTATTAATTGCTCCATCGCCAAATAAGGAGGTTGACATAAAGCGCGAATTGACTGCACCACTTGTTTCAGAACAAGTAAAAGCAGTAAAAGACGAAGAAGAAGAAAAAGCAGCGACTAATGAAATCAGCAGGAGCACTAAGTCAGAAGAGGAAATTGTGAAAATAGAGTATACCACTGAAGATGCAGATCTCGACATCGACATTGTGGGCATTGAGACCGAGACTCCCATCTGCCCGGGTAGCAACGACCCAGCAACAACTTTTACGCCCACTGAATCTCTTGAATCCCAAAGTGAGAAAGAGATTGAACAAAAAACTACACGAAACTCTGTAGCAGTTGTCGAGTCGTCTGGACCACTCGAGGACATACCGTCGTCATCGTCAGCATCATCATCAAGTCAGTTTGTTAATGAAATCACAGCCGCAAATACTTGCGATCTTAATGAGCCGAAGAAGCAAGACGACAAGTCTCCAACTCCAAAATATCAACATGAACATCAAAGTCTGCAGACAGATTCACATCACATTAACGTTACCAGTCCTCCGTCGATAGTGTCTCTTGAGGAAACTGAGACAATTCTGTCAGGAAAGCCCGAGTTGCAACTGGTGTGTGCTTCCGAAATAGCGAAAGTAACCGAGGTAGCGAAGAACGATGCAGAAGGCGTAGAGAAGAGGAGGCAAGATGAGACTGAGATCCGAGTCGTGGAGGCAACGACTGAGGAAGAGCCAACTGGTGAAGTTGAGACAAACTTGAGTGGGATGGAAGTGCAGCAGCAGCAGAAAGTGATGGAACTTGCTGAACTACTGGGGAAAACTGAGGAGGACGAGAAATCTGTGGAATCCGGAGAAATGACAGGCGAATCCGTCGAGATGGTTGACACTCAAGCTGCTGCTGATACTGCTGGCGGAGTTCAAGTTGAAAAACTCCAACAACTCATCTCATCCAACAAAAGTGCTGAATTACAAATTGAGGCGATGGAGTGTGAAGAAGAACAAGTTTCCTCTTCATCACTCACGGAATCCATTGAAAATCATTGCATGGAAACAACAGAGCAAGAGAAGCTTGTTGTTGATGATGAGATTTTGATGGAGGAGGATGATGCCGATGAGGAGATGTGTATTGATGCAAAAGAGGATTCTAATAGCGAAATTGTAAAAGAATCCGAAAATGATGATCTCACCATGCTCGGTTGTACACTAGACCATAAATTGTCTCAAGGGCATGAGTTTTCCGCAGTCACTAATTCATCAGCAGTAGCAGCACCTGGAATTGCAATTGCAGTAGCTCAGGAACAAAATCTCACTGTTTCTACTGGTGCTACCGCTACTACAACTACACAGGACATGGTTGTCGATAATAACATTAACAACGTGGCTGCTGAGCCCAGTTGCGAGAATGAAAATGCTGATGCTGTTATGAGTTCGGACATTCAAATGCAAGCAGAATATTCTTTGAGCTCTTGTTCTCATTCAGAAACCGAATCTAATTCTACTCTAAATCAAATAAGCATAAATCCCGAGGTGGTGGTTCCCATGCTTGACACGAACATTATGAAAAGTCCACGTGTTGAAGCTGCCATTCAACCAACATCATCATCATCTTCCATCGACTCTGCCGATGAAAAAGAAGGAACTCAAACTAATACGCAACCGAACAACAATAATATAGATCAAGCACTGAAGGAAGATGATGAAGCCGAGAAGAAGAAATTGATGAAATCATCATCAAGTTCACAGTTGGAGCTGAATTGCCCTTCAGCGGATACTAATGATATTGAATTGAGCAATCCTCCCGTGACCATTGTGGCAAATGCCCAACTCTCCAACAGCTCTTCATCCATTTCCGTCGGTCACGTTGCTGAGCATATTGAGAGTCCTGCTGATGTCTTGAGTGCATGCAAAAATGTCGAAGAAGACTCATCCAAATTAACCGTAGAACAATGCACATCGCCATCGATTGGGTACGTGGCAGAGGAATCGCCGGTCTCAAGTAGTGTGGAGAATGAAAAGGTAGAAGAGATTTGTCAAAACACTGCTCCTGTTCTCAATATGGAACCGGCCGATGAGTTTACAATTGAGACTTCCATAAGTCATCATAAAACGGACGAGGAAAGCACGGCTGCTGATCCAAACGTAGCGACAACCCAGGTTCCAGATCTATGTTCCTCAGAGTTACTGTCATTACAATCGCAGTTGGATGACGGTGACGTTGAAGTGACTGAAATTGAGCCTCAATTAGTTGAAACGGCTCCGATTTCTCCAGTTCCAGCAGTCACTTTCTCTTTGGACAACTCGAGACTTATTTCTGCCACGGCTACGATTACAACAACGACGGCGGAATTATCCAACAATGTCATGGAGGCCAGTTCAATGGAATCGCCAATCTCCTCCAGAAATTCCCTCGAATCTCCCACCTCGCCGGAGGACAATATTAAAAAGATTGAAACTTTAGAACAAGTCGCAGCTGGTCTTTTTGCCACCAACACCATGAACAACAACAACAACAAGAGTTTGACAATTAATGCTCCCACCTGCGATATTGCCATTAACACGACTAGTGCAAGCGACATGGCTACCGTATAAAGGCTATTACCATTATCTTCTAGTTTTTGAGACAAATTTTTAGCTATCTATTTACATGAGAGCAGTGCACTCGTATCGAACACATCCAACATTTCGTGTCTCTGAAAAGTAGTGCATACATACATATTACAGTATTGGACCAACAAGATTACAAGCATACGTTCATATATGTACATATACGGTATTATTACCAGGAAATGCATAATGTAAATTAGACAGAATCAGTCAGATTTTGAGCATGGTGAAAAAAATCAGTAATGATTGTGTTGAAAATAAATGATAAATATTAGTCCTTGTAAATATTTACATAATTATTCACTTTTTATTAGACGCAATTTATACATACGAGAAATACGATTGTAAATTGGCAGGAATAAGATTGTAAAATTTGGCGAACAATAATAACGATGTCTAAAACAGTATTCTACTTGCTATAAAACCAGAGTGGTAGTCGCATCGCATGAAAATTAGCTCGTCTCTGAAGATAGATTCGAGAAGTGTAGTTGCATGTGTGGCATGAATATTTATGACGAGCTGTTACGTACGATTGTGAGAATGGATGCAATGCAACAGTCAGTTTCGTAGAGGTGTGGTGACCTCAATTTTACATTATTGTTGTAAATCTAGTGCACATCAGTGTCGTATACTAATTCTCGACCCAAAGTGTTACGTTGTTTTTCCCAACCACTTTTATTAAATCACGTTGTAAGTTATTGCATCTTAATGTTTTTTAATGCACCACACACTTATTCAAAGTTAGCTACATACGTATGTGCATAAGTAAGTCGAGCCCGTGTATAAAGGATTGCACTTGTTTTATTTAAGCTAATTTGTTTAAGAATGTGTATCACATAATAAATAAGGTTCGGTTAAGTTAATCTTTGCAGAACTAGCTTTATTTGTAAAAAAAATGCAGGTGAAATTTAAATATTTCAATCCTCAACACAGAGATATCCAAAGATAATGTGCAGATTCATGTATAGTAGGTTTATTTATGTACCTTATGACATAGGCGATGAGGTATTGAGTGGCATGTAAAAAATATTTAAAAGTCTGTGAAATGCATGAATCAATAATAATCATTTAGTGACATGGTTTATTAATTGTTATTATGTACGTAGATGTTTTGTTATAGTGTAAAGACTGAAAATGGTGACAGTTTCGGGCAAGATTTGTACGAGTTGTGTGTTCGAGTTCGATGTATAATCATTATTTTAATCATTGTTATCATAACTTAAGATTATTGAGTTGAAGTGTGGCAAGCAAAAACGTACAAAAACTGATTAGATGAAACAGAACAGGAGTGTGTTAACTGCTGGGTAATTATTTGGATATTCGTAGTAGTATTTATGGGATTACCAGGTTAATTGTGTACCCATCTTCCTAAAATATAAAAATAAGCTACCGTTTCATAAATGAAGCTACAATCTGATTAGTTTAGGCAAAAAAATCCATGCCAAGAGAAAGCGTATTAAATTTACTTCAGTAACTGTTGTGGTTGTCTTGTGTCTGTTAAATTTTCGGGCATATGCTACTGTAAATTGGTTGATTAACTTATTGGATGGGATGTCATGTAAGAGTTGAGAGAACGTATCCGGTTCGAATTGTAGTCCAGTTCAACAAATGTTTTTGGTGGCGCAATTGTACATACATTGCGACCACCAATGTTAAAATGGTAAGACTAAAAAATATAAACTTTATTAAAAAGTAGTAGAGTAGATAAACTTCGCAAATTGTAGGTCTTGTACACTTATTTAGCTATTATATTAATTATTGCTTTTTATCGAGTCCCTATTGAAATACGTATTTTAGAATATTTTGTTTCATTTGCAAAGTGCAGTAGTTGACTTATTTATGTATTGATGGTGTTTGAAGGAACTATTTCAAGGTTTAACCTGAAATGAATGGATGGTTTAAATGTCGTTTGACCGTTTCCTGTTTAATCATAGGTATAAGAAATAAGTAAGATAAAATGAACATAACGTGTCGATATCATCCATATATCGTGTAGTGAGTGCCGGTATTTAGGAAAAACGGATAATAAAAAATGTATGAACAATCGAATTAAACCGTCTTTGACTTTATCCTTATTTTCGATTTCAGCTCATTCAGGACCATACATATGAAATGTTTAATTTGACATAACTTGGGGTGGTGGAATGGTCGCATAACACGCACATCACAGAACTGCAGACCTAGCATAACTGATTACAAAGAACAGCATAATGAGACTTTGTGGTTTTTGATCATTCGCCAAATAAAATATAATGTAATATAGTTAACCAAAGCCAGTTTGTTTCACATACATTTCATCAATCTCAGGCTGGTTTTCATATATTTTATTGTGGTCATTAATATGTCTGTATCTTCCCTCCAGCCGGTCATTAGTGTTCTGGGGTGCTAATTACTGTCAGATTAATAGTCACTTTTTCAATTCTAATCGGTGTTAAAGGATCTTCTTATCAAAAGTCGTTGAAATGTACGACAGCACTTTTATCAAACTTTTGCTGCATGGTCAATCACTTTGGTTTTCCTAAGCTTTTTTTAATAGTTGTAACAACAGCATATAGTACCAAATAAAAGTGGTGCGTGCAAGCAAAACTGGTATTGATGATTAAAATGTGTAATGGGTTTCACTGAAAGGACGGGTTGCGAGTTTCTTGCCACCACCACACACGATACGCGTATCACGGCCCATTATCGGTGACATATACCAACCAACTGCTACCCACCACCCCACCCCTTCGGGAAGGAAGACGAAGCATGGAACGAATTTTCATATCTGAATTTGACACGACTTCTGCCTCATTTGCTCTCATTCACTCCACACCCCACGTATGCAACTCCTTGTTCTGACTTAACTACTGTTTGGATTTTGCTTGCGTCGTTTTCGAAGAATGTACTCGACAAGACTGAAAAAGAAATCGGTTCCGATTTATTTAAAATGGTCCGAAATTTTAAGCTCACCATCCACATATCATTTTCTTAGATACATAGATCTCATAAGTTAGATACATAAGAACGATGAAGCTAAATAACAAGGATTACTACATAAGAATAAGTAAGATGGAGTTCTAGGCCAGATTTAAAGGAGAATTCTCGGACGACATGATTGAAGGAAGAAAATTTCTAGGCCAGAATCAAACAACCGATTTGAAATTGGATGGCATTTTTTAAATCCAAACTTTGCTAAGGTAGAAGAAATTGGAAGAAACCAAATTAATGTTTAGCTCACAGTTTTCTTTTGTGAGTTTGTCTCATCCTAAGATTAGCCCAATACGACATTTTAATGTAAGATTTTACACCAAGCAATGCTGTATTGCGGTTCGATGCTGCCTATACATGCATACAAGTAAATACATATATTTGTATATACGCGTGCTAAAAAGTAAGAAATGTGAGGATGACTTGAAGTTTTTTAGTGGGATCTTACATGAATGAAGGAATAGAAATATTGCCGGTAAAAAAACGCGTTAATTGGCTCTTCCAGTCATGCTTGCCAACTCTAATGAACTCAACTCTCAAAGATTCAAAGACGGTTGAATTTAATCGTACTAAAGCTAACAAAAACTGATTACATCAAAAACAAGGAATGTCGATTTTTCCTACTACGCACTTTTATTTGTAAAATATACAAAAAAAACTAGACTTTTAAAAATAATAAAAACTAATTTGCCACGAAATTCGACAAGGTCCGGCTGGATATTAAATTCTGTGTTCACCTTGAAGAATTTTTAAAGTTCCTGAGCGACGGTAGTGTTTGAATCGTGACGTGAACATGCTGGCTTCTCATTCATTTGATACATTATGATCATTAGTTGCGCAAGGAATAATGCAGGGGTGAGGTGGGAAGTCTTTGTTATCTTATCTCCTTGCACTCAAATAACGAGTTCTTAGTCGTTGCGTGATGAGTACGAAGGAATACATGCGGACGGACGACTGGGAGAGGCGAGGCGAGGACGAGTGTGTAAAGACAAAGTTTCACAGGCAGGGTTTTTTAACGATGATTATAATAATGGTTTAGGTTTTGTTTCCAAAGGCAGGAAGTGGCTGAGATAAAGAGTCGAAAGACTAAAAATGATGAAATAAAAAAATATGCAAATAAAAAAGGCAACTCCACCAAAACCCATTACATAATTAATTTTTAATGCGCGGAATGACTATTGTTATAAGTTATCATTACCGCATTAACTAATGTTTAATATCGTCGAGGTGTAGCATGGATTCAAAAAAACGAAATTAAGACATGTACTGCATAAATTTTCGAATTACGTACACATTTATATTTCCGGTAAGTTTTTTTACTAATACTATCGGCGGGTTGGATCAAGGAGCGTTTATTCTTAAAAATAAATGTTAACGGCGGCCCATCTTCCAAGCAATCACGTCTGTCTGGCCTTTGCCCATGTGGTCATAAATCACTCTCATCTCAGACATTTTTGACGTCTGTTTGCTTGTGGAAGTTTCAAGAAAAATTTTACGAGAAGTTGGACGAGGTTAGAAATTAATTATTATTTAGCTCTTACATTACAACTTGAGTAATTTCATACAAACCACAAAGCAAAGGGGTAACTTCTCGGGAAATTCGGTATTTCCCCCGCATTAAAAAAATAAACTACAGAAAATTAACAGGAAAACATTCAAGTAAGTTCTTTTTCTCATTCCATTATGCCCCAACAACTTGTCAGGCATACATACCAACCATCGTCGGGTAACTCTACTTTGCCATCATTTTCACCGTGTTTTCACCATATTACGTACAAGAGTAAGGACACCAGAGTCTCATTATTGACTCTAACCAAACTGCTGCCAAGCTCGCAGGTGGATGAAGGATATGTAGGGAAGAAAATTAGTTTTGAAGGGAATGGATCCGATATACGACATAGGAGCAGAAGAGCCGGGGGGTTTCAGAATTAGGTGCAGTTGGGTGGTTATTTCCCTCCCGTGCTTCCCTCCTTTCCCAACTTTCATCACTTTTGCCCAAACTGGAAACTTTGCTTTCACAGGAGAAAATACAAGTCATTCTTCTCCCTTCGTTTCCTTCGTCCACTTTCATCGTCGTTGGAATCAAGCTCTCTCGTGGAAAGTATCTCCCGCAGTCAGTTGACAAGAACCCGGGTAAATTCCCAGGCCGTGCACCATGAGCTACCAGCCAGGACTTTCCTCTCTCTCCAGGTTCCTTTTCCCTCTATGAGGATTCTGCTACGTCCCACGCTTCAATTTCTCTTCCCCCCGACAGTATTTCCGTCTCCTCGCCATTCCCCTCTTTCTTCTTACCAAACCACTTTCCTTCGTGTTCTCCACTCTTCAATTCCACACGGATGCAGAGGAAACTGAGGGAACGAGCGGACGAGGTCTTATCCACGGCATTCTCCGCACTTGGAAAACAGAAATTGCTGCTGCTGGTGAGACCTGAGAAGAACATGCGTGCTCAGATTGAGCTTGACTCAAATATTGATTTATTCGTAACGCTGCCTTGGTTGTGTCCTTTTCGGCTCTATTCGAAGCATTCCATTCACTTTCGTACAGCTATTTTACCAGAATTGTGTGTTTTCGAAGGCCTCGAGAACATATGATTAATGATTCGAGATAAGTAAATGCAATTTTCGATCACTTAGATATTATTTTATGTACGAGAGCACTTCCTTTTTATTGTTCATACTAATAAGTTAATGACAACATACTGGTGCAATTACCAAAATGACCAAGTAACGTGGGAGTTATTGATTTGTGTATGTGTACATAAAGCAGAGAGGATTATCCGACGTTAATACTCGGGATGAATACCTGAGAAACTATACATCTCACATCAGTCATTCTCTAAAGCGATACGAGATCGTTTCACAAACAAAGCCCACTGTGAGACCACACCCGACGAGAACAAAGGATTAAATCCATTCTCATTAATGATCTGGACGAGCAGAAGAACAAAAAACACGTTCGATCCCCACCAGCTTTTCTTTATTGCTTGCTTAAGAATCCTCTGCTGGTCATTTCACGCTTTGATATCCTCCTCAGTTCGTCATCCTCTCTTGTTCTCCAGCAGACCACTCCAGCAGCAAAATCAGACGAGGACTCGACTCTCCTCACCTGCACCCACTTTGTCCAATGTCCAATCACGAGTAATAGGCTAAGAAACCACATCCACGATACTTGCCTTATTTTATTGACGTATTAACAATAAATGCACTAACCATTTAATCATGCCCACTGATCAAATTTACTCTAACTAACAAGTTGTAAGCATGCAGTATTGTCACATTCAGAAAAACCGTAAATTTCATCTTGCCCCAAAAAGAGATTCGTATAATTTTCTGAAGATTCTTTAACAACTTACCTTCTTTACTTGTGTGCAAATAGAAACAACCACATTCATGATACAATTACCTATGTGGCTGGTGCCACCGAGACAACAAGAGTTTATCGCAGTATTTTAGTCTTCACATACCATTATTTCATCTTTTAACCTTGTTGCAAAGATTAATGCTCAATCTTTGCGTTTCATGTCTGCCTTTGGTTCGGCTTGTGAGTAATGGTAATTCGCAATATCGAGGAATAAGTATGGGTGAGTGGTGGTAAAGGGTTGAATAAAATCAAGGGCGTCATTACACAAACCGGACAGGATGAAATGGATGGCGACTGGCTGGCAGATGTTTTTCGTTCTGCGTTTGCTACATTGGTTTCATGTTCCCACAACAAACAACTTTTGCCAATTGTAGTTCTAACATGGATGATGCATAAAAGTACCGGGCTCTATTTATACAAATATAAAATATGGTCGAGCTGAAAGACGAAACCAACGAATTAATATCGCTTTTTATTGCTCTTCGTTCAATCATATACAATGAATCTCAGCAACTAATTAGATTTCTTCAACTGATGTTCATGTATTTATCTCAAATTTCAAGACGACGGTGATGACTTATTTATTTGCAACATGGAGCTCTTTATATGATAAGGGTTTACTCTGTACGTACATTTTCTGGTTATTGTACTGAAGAAGTGACACTTTTAATGGAGGTCACTCGAGTCATAAAACTTCCGGGCCACGCCTCGGAGCGAGCTTGCCTTGGTAAATAAATGGGTTACAGAACTAATAACAACAACAAAATACTTGAATCCTAGTTTTGAGTGAGCCCCATTGGAAAAGTTGACAATACTTTGTGAAACGACACATGTATTTATGGTTTTAGGGCAAAAATGGAGTTGTTTATGGCATCCATAGGTTTTTTCGTTTTCAGACTGACTTGGTCAAGATTTGGAAGGTTACATGGGTTACCCTTGTACCACGAAGGGTATGCAAGTTGAAGTGAACCTCCATCATCGGATGAAGAGTGAAGGAGACATGAGAGTTTCTTTTCTTTTGTGCTACGACGACCAACCATTTTCTACGCTCTTTTTCGTCTTACTTGAGATGTGTACGTCTTCTATTTTGGTCTCAAAAAGATCTACTGCTGCTGCTGGTTGGGTACTTTGAATCACGTTTACGCTTTCATAAAAAATATTTACAAATAGTGAATTTTGGATATGCGCCAACTTGAAAGCTGATATTTATGAGATTTGCCGAGAAAGTTGGAATCTAGAGTCTCATGGAAAGATTTTGCCCTGGTGAAGTAACTGGCGACACTAATGTTGACCAGGCGTTGTCGCATTCCTAAAAATACTTTCGTATTTCAAAGTTTAATTTGTCCTTAAACAAACGTATGTATTTGTTCAAACCAGAGGGGATGATAGGATTAAATATATGATGCAGTGTGCTATGAGCCTGCATGGGCCCAAAAGTTGATTTAATACTTACATTCCATTCTTTATTAGGAATAATTAAATTAAATCACTTGATTGTACAAAAATGGATATGTAATACTAACTAAAATTAATTTTAACAAGTACATTTATTACTTTGTATGTATGAGATACAAATACATATTTATTTGGTTTCGTAAGCTATTCATGAGAGAGCAAGAATAGTGATCAGTTCCAAACATGGAGAAACGAAGGTCATCGGGGATGAGAGAAATCATTAATCTCTTTCATTTTGAAAGTAGGTTTGTATTAAGAAAGTAACTTTTATTCATTTCGAGATTCACTCCAAAACCTTTGAATTAATGAAATGAATTGAAAGTGGTTACATGCAAGTTTCCAGTTTGTATGATTCGTATCTAGCCAAAAGTACACTACTTAACTATTCAATGTTATCTCATAGGCTAGTAATATTTGTTCTTTATTGGATAAATGAAGGCAGCAATATCTTAGCCTTGTCTATCTAATACCACCAAAACAACAAGTTAACGATTGTTCAAATACATAATTGCATATGCATTTTAACATGTTCAACATTTATTTAGGTATATATGTCCACGCTGAATTCTTATTGTAGTTGTTGTATTTGAGTGCTCTGATTTCTAATTAAAATCATTATTTACTGTTGCAAGAAGATGATACAAAGGAAATCTTTTTCATGAGCATTTCCGTACAAGGGAAAGTAATGGTTTTGCAGCAAAAAAGCATATAAGTTTTAATTTGTGGCTGATGTACAAGCAACACGGCGGCCATGTCTGAAGGGAACAGGCAAGCTCGAGACCGTTCTTATTACCACAGAAAGTACGGCTTGCAGCGTTGTTGGGGTTTATTTCATTTTCATTGATTTCGTCCTTACGGATAAGAACACCCAGATGAGCACCACTGGCACTACCACGAACCAAAGGGGAACTGGGGTGGTGGCCCCCAACCAGGTCGTTCAACCACACCGTTCAAGCGTTCGTTCGTTCGTTCGTTCGTTGGTGATTTTATTCCTTCCTCTGTCCGAACCCCCAACGCCCTTCCTCCTCCCAAACTGGAAAAAACTGGTGCTGGCATCTTCGTGGCGAGAGAAAACTCAGCCTGGCTTCGCCAACAACACCAGTACCTCCATCCCTACTGCTTTCTTCGGAATCAAAATTCCAAACTCGCACTCCGCCGTTCTTACTGCCAGAGAGTGTGTGAAAGAGGAAGAAGATTTATTGTACGTGCAAGATTTACTGGAATTTGTATGCCAAAACAGATTGAATCCCAGGGGTGAGCACACACCATAACGCTGACGGATTGTGGATATGATGAACCAAAATGTATATGATGAACACTAAAGTTATCGTTAGAAAGCAATCTTTAAACTATTTCACATAGAAACGCTAATATATAATCATCATTAGAAAAATATGATGAATAATTATTAGAATAATTTTGGTGCGCCACGCTACACAAAAATAGATTATCTGAGACATTTTTATTAAATGATGTACATATTTGTTCCAAAATGGTTTGTTCTGACGTTTAGTTGAGTATATTTACTTTTACTTGCAGGGAAAAAATTGCAAGATTTAGAAATAAATTGGTAAATAGCATTTGTGATTGGCCAGTCATATTTCCATATGGCAAATTAAAAAAGAAAATTTATAAACTAACAAAATTTCAAATTAATTCAAATCCTGCCAGGTTTCGCTTATATTGGATCCAATATCTTGAAAGAAATACAAAAAAATAAAATTGCACATTTTGTTCATGAATCAGAAATGAAATGAGATGTTACTTTACTCCATTTTATACAAGCCTTATTGTTACAGACGAAAAAATAAATTCTCAAAGCTTCCAAATGAGTTGAGGTGGTGGATCCTCATCCATTATGCATTAACCATTGCTCTGTGCAAGAAATGGCTCAGTGCTCACTGCATATTCAATGCGCTGCATAATTCATTCACACCAACACAAACCAATTCAAACTGTCAGTATCTGCTTAGCAGACTTGGCACGATTTGAAAACTTAAAGCAACTTTTCATCCATAGCTTCCCTGATTTTATCCCGTCGCACTGTCAGGAGTGGGATCGTGTTCAACAATATTTCCTAACATTACATCAACTTCAAGTTGCTTGAGACTATCATTATCCATCGGGTTGAAGAAAATTGTCTAGCTTACGTTACATTAGTAAAGAACCCCGAGGACATAATTTAGACATTACTTATTGTAAAGCCAATCTTTGGGATTTGTGGGAATAGTGGAAGTAATGGGAATATTTGATACTGCACTCTGTTCTTTTACGTGTTCCGTGTTGAAGAAGGAGGGGAAAATGAGACGACGGAAAATGGAGAGCTCATTCTCGTAAAAAGCCCACTCACGCCAACAACGGGTACGACGTAAAGAAGAGATTTCTTCTGGCGGACCTTATTAGCGGAATAGGCAGAACAAGACAAAGAAAAGTTATCGTGAGGCATTGACGAGATTCAGTTCTGAGGAGTAATAATAACGAAATACGGGGAAAGGAGATGCAGAGGGGAGATTGTACGGGGAGGAAAAGGGAACGATGCTGATGGGCAGCAGGGAGGGCGACCCTCTTCAAACTGATTATTTCGATTGGTTGTAAGGTTGGGATCAAGGCACCATATTGTATTCGATGCATTGTATTCGACCAGACGGCCAACTTTTTTCCGTCTTCCTCTCCTTTGTATTAATAACAAGGCTTTTATTTAAGGCTGCTTTGCTGGTGACCTGCATGAAGCATTTGCTCCATTCTCAACCACATCCACCACCAACTCTATTGAATCCTACTCGGGAATAATGACAGGAAAATAAAGTGAGGAGGGAATGAGTTCTCTTAATTGGTCCTTTGCTGAAGAGCAGACAGTTGCTGAAATGAGACTAATTACATATTTGGGCTACGAAGAATGATACAAAATTCAACACTCAATCTCATTTCATTTCATTTTGCGGAACTTATGGGCCAAGAACGATGGATTATTGAGAATTTGTAATCTGAAATTAAATGACATAAGTGTCTCATCCTTCACCAAATAATAATGCTTCCAAATTATTAAGACCGTAAAAAACGCCATATGACATTGGTGCTGGTGGTAAATAATTTGGTTGGTGAAGTTTGACATGCCAAATGGTTGTGATAAAGAATGAGAAAGAGTATGTTTTATAAGTACCCTCTTCCGGTCCTTCGTGAAAATTGAAGGTAGCAATAAGTCATCGTGTATCTCAAGTCGGTCCTTCGTCTTTATAACTTTCTACACATTACACACACACCATCAGACAAGGAACAGGATATGCAAATGAATACGGAATCATTAGAATAAAATCGACAAATTAGTTTGTACGATTCAACAGCAATAATTTATTTATTTTACTGTCTCATAAAATTTCTTAACAGTGAACACTTGATTAAATATTTTCATATTCATGGATGCATCATAACGAGCTCTTCATTGGTACAGTTTGGCAATAAGATATTTTAGAGATTATTTTAGAGATTACGGATGATAAGTCATTCATACTCTTCAAAATGCTATTGTACTATCAATCATAAATCCTTCATGATATAAAGTTTTATACCCTGTTTTATATAGTAAGTACGAAGCTGCAAATACCTTCTAGAGAATTGTGAGCATATAATATATACGATAATGATGAAGTGAAAGGAGACAGCAATCTAAAGCCAAGAGTTGCTTTGCAAGTTTAGAAATAGACATTTTTTGCAATCACATATTTTTCATAAGAGGAATTTCTGTTTCTATCTTGATCACAATAAATGGTCAGGGATATGGATGTACATATAAGTATGTATGTATTCGTATATAAATACATTTATATATATGATATATTTATATATTTATTATAAGGGGAATAAGGGATACCTTTCTTTCTTAATACAAGATCATGATCATTCTGAATAATATGTAATTCAGCAGTCTTCTTTTCAAGCGAACAAGTAAAGGAAGCGAAGGAATATCTAAATTCAGATAACGTGGAAATGACTAAATGATTCACTTCACATATTTTTCATTCAAAACGAAATTACTGCTACAATAAATTAAGCGTTGCTTTTATAATATGCAAAACCGTTAGATCTTTCCCTAATGGCTTCCCTGTTTTCTCATGTATATGTTTTTCGTGTTGTCTGTGTATGGGGCCCGAGTAATTGAAAATCTGACAAGGTGTAATTTAAGGGATGGGTACTATTTTATGACCCGTGTATAAAATTAACGAGTCATAAAAGTAGGGTTTATTTCGTTTCGACTTAGGCACCTGTTGTAGACGACTCTGAATTGTTTGCCAATTTATTTGCAGGAATACTCAAGCAGGAGTCGGCAGAAGGTGGTGGGTCGTTGTTATTGTTACAAGGCGAACTTAATGTGGACTCGTCGTCGTCATTGCAGTTGGCTTTTTCATTAAGAGGATGATTACTACATTCAACATGAACAACTTCTTGTTTTACACCCGAGTCGCTCTGGATAGTTTCATCAGTAGAACATTGGAGAATTTCAGAACCTTCAATAGGATCAGTGTCGTTTGTTTCCGATGATCCAGCTACACAATCCTCATTGATGACTAAATCTGTACTGTCATTACTATTTGATGGAGACGATGGACGGCAAATATTTTCTTCATTAATTGACTCTTCTTTATTTAACGAAAATGTGGAGTTTTTAATGTGAGTAGCGACCGTGTCCGAAGATTTAGGTTCCTCGCTTGAGGGATTCGAATTACCATCAGAAATTGATTCGACAACTTCATTATTTGTCAGACTTGGACAATTTAGTTCAATTTCTTTGTCACAATTTTCAGACGTGGTGCTCAAACCCGAGCCAGAGTCCACTCCCGAGTCAAAATTTGATGCTGGTGGGGGACTAGTACAGGAACCAGGAGCAGGGGATAACTGCTTCTCAAAAATTTCTGACACCTCGTTCGAATCGCTAATGATGTTGGATGACTGAGGCTGTGAATACTCTACTTTTTCACTGACTTGATGAGATTTTGTGTTCAAATTTTGTTGCGTTGAACTGGATTGAGAATTATTTTTAGGACTTGTATGATTTTTTAAGGAGGACGAGTGTCGTTCTTTTTTCGAGAAGTTGTCCTTTGAAATTGCGGCCTTGATTTTCTTTAATGACAGGTCCAACGAAGTGCTGTTATCCTTTGGGGTTTTCTGTTTATTTTTTATTGGCAATGGCACTTCTGTAGCTTCAGTTTTTGGTACAACGACGTTATTATTCGTATTTTCAAGATTAAGAACCCCATTTTTGAATCCTGACAATGATGGTGAGGATAACTCGCTTTGATTTGTAAGAAAATTAGTGGAGCAAACCATAGGATACGTTGAGGTTGTGTTTAACGAGGCCATCGACTCATTAAAAGGTCTCGAGTTTAAATATGGCATGGAGGCAAAGTTGTTGGTCACCAGAGGGGCCACCATAGGAAGAAAGTTTGGATGAGGCAGACCTCCCATTGGAGAACTGAATTGAAGTGCATTCCAATATTGGAAAAATTGACTAAGCGAATTGGGTGGCGAGTACATTGAAGCTGACGGTACAGCAGTTGTTGTCGGTGTGGCCATGCGCGATGGCGTGGTCATCGTCTGGTTCAATTTCGCATTGCTGCTTGTCGAGTTTATCAATTTTAAGTCAGTTTGGCCATGAAAACCGTTTGACGAAAATAAAGTTCCGTTTTGCTTGGACGTTGAAATGGTAGAATTATTTGATAATAGACTTGGACTTTTGGGATGATTATTAGTATGGTTGTTATCCACGGGTTTACGTGGGCTTTCTACATCGGCCGACTGTTTAGATTTGAAAAATTTTCTAGGTTTTGTAGGCGAAGCTTCGACTGAGGGTGTACACGTAGAAATGGGTTTAGAGGCCGTCGGTAAAATATTTCTAGGACTTGTGAATCTAATTTCTCCATTTGATATCGTGGTTTGATGTTTGAGCTTTTTTGTTGGTGGTGGTGGTGGTGGCGAATCATGGAGAATCTCTTTTCCTTTAAATCCATTACTGGGTTGTTTGACTTCAATGGAAGGGATCAGATTGACCGTCATTCCTGAGGATGCCAGTGCAGAAAGAGGAAATGGTAAGGGGTTATGATGACTGGTATTACCGAGAAGCGATTGAGAATTCATTGGCATCTTTGTCCCGTTACTAGCAGCCGACATTTTGTTGATATTTTGTTTGACGTTCTTTTGCTCCATTGGCAGTTGATGATTTTTAACAACGTTGTCTGCAGATGAAGCATTCAAATGTTGTCTGTGAAGATCTTGAATTGCTTTTTGCATGTTTGCCTTCTTACTTTCAAAGGAAGTATCCTGATTTGAAGAAACTTTGCGGCCTGCTTGTTTTTTGTCAGTAGGAGTAAGAAGTAGAGTTTTTTGTAATGGAGATGACTTGATGGATTTTTTACTCGATGCCAATTTTCCGGCCGGGTGGACGGGTGGCGTAGTGGAATTGAGCAGATGACCATTCACCGCCGGGATGTTAAGCTTGACATAATTGAAATTAATTTTGCCATTTGAATTGACTCCGTTGATTTGAGGCTTGATTTGAGATTCTGGTTCAGACCCTGGTTGAGCAAGTGGAAGAATGACGCTTTTGGATTTCTCATGTAAATGATCATTATTGTGATCAACACTAGAATCGGCTCGAGCAATAATTTTCTCTATTCCAGAAATGATACTTTTGGCACTTATCACTCCAGACTCGCTAATTTGTAGCTGAACCTCTTTGTGCCCATTCAACTCGGTTCCTTCAGTACACTGGGACTCCATGTCCTTAAAGTCGATCTTGACTGCATTATTACTCATCTTCTTTCTTTTCACGTCCACTTTCTCCGCTGCATTTATTTCAGAGGACAGTTTCTTTTTGCCATTGACTTTCCCATTTGAAACAAGTTGTTTCAACTGAGGCAACTGAGGTATGGTTGATCCCAATGAGTTTGCAACATTGGACGATTTCAAAACTTCCGAGTCTGTCAAGGATCTTGCTTTTCGTTTGGTTGGCGATGTTGCTTGATAGGGATGTGCGTAACAGGTCAATTTTGGAGTGCCTCTAACTCGATACGTCAGTTGCAGTGGTTTTGTCATGCTCTGAAATTGCAAATGCCAATATCATAACGTAAGTTGAAACCAAAGCGAAAGTGACGTGCGTTTGAATAATTTTCTTACCTCAGTCCAACTATATTTGTACCTGAAAGAATTCAGAAAATATTGAAGAAATTGAGTATTACACATAAATATGTACATAACTACATATTTATATAAAATAGCAGTATGTATGCAATAAAAATATATGTCTAGGCTTACGCAATATCCATAAGAAGAAATTCGTGCGGGAGGACTCTTTCACCATACATCACTTCAATGTCTGCATCTTTAGGCAGCTCGTACTTTCCTTGCACCCATTGCCTCAAAACGTTGACGCTCACTCCGGCAGGAGTTTGCAAATACCTTCTGCTGTTCTCCTAAAGAATACAATTTCACTAGTGCACTACATCCACATGATATTCAAATGCACAATTTTTAAACGAGATGCATGCATACTTGGACATTCTTGTCGGTGGAGGAACATTCCATGGAAATGTTAATCTTGTCACCAGAAGTTATGTAAGGTTGCTTGAAGATTTGTCCAGAGTCGAGCTGAGATGTAGGAATACTGTTTGGATGTGTCTACGCAGGGAATAACCAAATATTTTTCATCATATATCTTTAATAAGCATCAAAAAATCATGTAAATGTAATGAGCCTACATTGTAGAATTGCCTTCTTCTCTCCATTTCCCCTGAAAAAAGATTAGTGATTTTATTACAAAATCCGTAATATTGATTCCGTATCTATTATAATTAACATTTGCATCAAGCTTACTTGTAAAAATACCCGGTACAAGTTTGTAAATAATTTCTTGGAGCATCTGATCCGATCGTATTCCTGACAATGGTTTCGTCGAATGTAACTGGACATCGCAAACTGGGCAGTACTCACTACTCTCCAAGTGTTTCACGATACAGCTTTTGCAAACTGAGGAGCACAAATAATAATTTGCCATTAAAACATTACACGCATTATTGTACAAGTACATATGTGTGTACATGATATTCATGTGCTTACAAGAGTGGAGGCATTCGATAGTCGTAGTTGCATCAATCATGTATCCTCGACATAAATTACATGATAAGTTGCTGCTGATGTCTTTCAGCTTTACTTTTCTTGTGGCGTTCATTTCCGTAACTTTTGTCCTGCAACGCTTAAATTGAGCTAACGTACACCGGTGTATTAAGGCCGCTGCCGGTTGGCGAATTAGTCACTTATTTTAGACTTTTGTCCTGGCACTAGTTTTAGGCGTAGTTAATGCACAAGGTTTTATTTGATGAATAATTACAACTTTAGAACTATTAAAATCTCAATACATACAGATGCACATATGTCAACATTTTGAATAAGTTAATCCGAAATTACTAAATAATTTGAGCTTTCACTTTATTACGTTCACGGTGGATTCAGGTTGCGTTACTCATGCACTCACGAAATGTTTAAATGTAATTTTGCTCCCAAGAAGCGTGCTGTTTAGAAAAATATTAATGGTTCATTTTACTGAACCTCTGACATCATATCACGAAAATTGCAACACAACTTGCAAGGCACCCGCATGCACAATAGGACTGCTGTTGCGGCTGGAGTTTTGCAAAAATTCCCAAAAGTTCACCTCTGAAAGTTGGCATGCTCGTTGGATTCTCTAATCGTCATATCTGTTCTCCGTTGCTTAATATAAAAACACGCTGCTCTGCTTTCTCGATATTATTATGAGCGAAAGTAAATACATTACTGTATTATATATTATGGCAAAATGCTTCGTCTCGAATCAGCACAAGTTAACTTTGTGCATTTCACTCAAACTTTGAGCATAATTATACATGTAAGCTCAAAAATGTAGGTATTTTGTCTCACAATTTGTTTAAAGTTCGTATTCAAATAGTGCTGATGTTGCTTCAACCGAAGAGACGACTTTAAAAGTATGGAGCAGCAGCAGGCCAAAAGGATGGAGGGACACTGTGTGTGTTAATTTTGAAGGGCCCAACAACATTTGCGTGGAAGGTACGGAAGGGGATGGACGACGATGGTGATGCTGTTGGGTATGGTGCTGCTACTTCAAAACAAAGAAGTTTGGGCAGCAGGGCCCTTTGGCGAGATGATGGTTCTGCTGGTTAGAGAGGAAAAGCAAATGTTCACATTTTCGTCACGGGAGAGCCTTTCTCGCATAGGCAAACCCTCCTGCATGCTATCCCTCATGGAATATAATATACTTATTCAATCCTTCCCTTGTTCTACTGCCGATACTCTGTGTGGTGATCCCATGGATGGAGTACATGAGAATAGGAAAAATGGAATACGAGTCAACAAATGTGAACATGGATAGATGAGAATCCAGAGAGTTTCAGGTTACCAAACCATGCAACTTAATAACGCAACGGGTTTACATTCATAATTGTACTTGTAGGAATAGACCTTCGGGGAGGCGATTCTCAAATCAACATCCAGCCAAACAGCAGCAGCCTTGTAATATGGTTCCACTGGATTCTAGTAATAAAGCGTAAACCGGGTTATTAAAATGGACTGAATAAGTACTGGTGAGATGAGGAGGTGGCCTTATTACTGCTGCAATGATGCACGGTGATAAATGATGAACACGGCACAAGACTGATTGGTGCAATGCATGTAAGACTTTGCCAGAAAATGTTATCTCAATTTGTATGAGAATAAGGAATTTATGTATTTCATTCTCACACAAGGAAGATGTATTTCTTAAATTAATGGAACAATCGCTACATTACATACTTACATGTGCAAAAGCTAACAGTCATACGTACAATGCTTATTTCATTTCACAATATCTTTATGGCTTTGCATATGTACATAAATACTTAAATGGATATCTACAATTTACGATTTCTAACATTCACACAGCCATATTTCCAATGATAACTTGTTCGTTCATGATACTCGGGCTCGTGTCTATTCTTTGTATGAAAATTATACTCAATGCTACGCAATATAAATATCTCTACTATGAAGTGTAAAATAGTAGATATGTATGTACATATATGAAGACTAACAAGGATATGATACAGCAAATATTTATTCTCTAACATAAGTGCAAACTTGTGTTCACATCTGAAAATGAGTGAGATAAAATTAAAGAACAAGTCAAATGGGTGGTGTATGAACCACCGTCTCAATCAAGATTTAGTCACTTCCGGTGCAAAATCTTATTTGGTCAAGAAATTATGAGCATACAAAGAAATGCATAAATGAACTGGCAAATGTGGTCCTTCTTGCATAAATTCACATGAAATCAATCAATATGCATAATTTTGGGCAATTTGCACAAGATTGTATCAGTGCATTAGAAGCGAGGTGAAAGTTGAAAGTGGATGAGACGATTCCAAGCTGCCCCAGTAGTGAAGAGAAATGGAGATTCTCGACTTGCCTCAACTCTCCGTCCAGCCCAGTTTGCGAAAGTTCAGATTCGCAGTTTAATTTTTTTGGACAACTTTTCTCCAAATTTTGATACTCTTGGGAAGATTCTCCTTTTCGGAGAAAGTGAAGGTGAACAATTTGAGATTTCAACTTTTTAAATACTCGTCGTTTTACCCATTTGTCACATTTTTTAAAGGATTTTATCTACAAATATGTGCGTTTTTCTTTGACAGATTTATTTTCTTTCTGCATTGGAAATTATAAAACAAGAGATACAAAATGTCCTTGATCCCGTTGTTTGTCGTTCGACGGGCTCTCAATGCTAAGACAATCACTTTCATCCAACAGAACCGAACCATGGCTGGTTATTGGAACAGGGACTGGAGACCTGCTGTAGAGCTTCCAAAAGTAAGTAGACCACGTCCCCTTCCCATTGTTTTATCGTTTGAAATATTTACAGCGTTATAAAATATTGCACATACAATTTATTTACTTAAAGACGGAGGAAGAAAAGAGGGCCGCTGCCAAAAAGTATGGTATGATTCTTGAGGATTACGAGACGTTCGCAGGTATGATTGTATAGAGAAATATGTAATCTATCCAAAAATGCATCATCTTACGAATTTTTGTCTCTTGGATAGACGACGGCACTGGATACGGAGACTATCCCAAACTGCCACTGATCAGTGCTGAATCAAGGGACCCACATGCATTGTACGATATCCCAGAATTGAAGCGAAATTTTGGAGAGCCAATGGCTGTTGATGCTGACATGGTTGGTGAGGATCGGTGGGATATCAGCAGACGCCTACGATTCCCAATTACTCATATGGTGGCAGCATACGTTGGTGTCATGTCCATGTTCGCATTGTTATTTTTTATTGGGGAAGAAATTCGTTTGTATCCAGTGAAAATGATGAATAAGCACATGTTAACCGATGGCAAGAAGCACTACTCGTTTGAGCTAGAAGATAAATGAACAGTCAAATAATAGTCAATCATTCTATTCTGTCTAGGGTAGAATTATGTAAGTATAGTATGGAGTACGAATTGTCAAAATTGGAGTGTAAAAATTGAAACCTCTTCTGTTATATTAAATCAAAATAAATCGCAGGTTGTCTTAACTAAAGGCTCTATGAATAATTTATTTGGTTGATTCTACCATTAAACACGTTGTGATTATTAGTGTTTTATAAGTAAAAGCACATAATTCAGTCAAAATATTTTTCTATAAATACTACTGGACATTTTTATATAGTAACATTTTTATGACTTCAAAAGGTGAGAATCTCTTTGTAAATTATCTACTGGGGAAGAATTATTCATAGTACTAGCTTGGGATAAGCGTTCAGCAATTTTTTCCATGTTGTGCTTTCTTCTGGTGAAAGGCACATGACGTTCTCGGATGAATTCCACATCATTCCCGAAAAATGTGAATCGCTTTTCACCGGGCGGTCCCATGATTGATCTCAATGCCATATTTCGCTGAAGAGTTCTAGAGTAAAATTCTACCCCTCCTTTGGCATAAGACAAATTAAGGCTTCCAGCTCGTTTGTCAGCATAATTTTCATAAAATTTAGTCAAAAGATCACTAGAAACAGCCCAAATTCCAAAGCAGAAAAGACTAAGCCCGGAATATACAACTGTTCTGAATGATCTAGGTTTATATAATCCGTACAACATATCGTTGGCATTACGAGATAAAAAGAAATATAACATTATCGAAGAGGACCCCATTATACCGCGAGAATAGACATAGTGCGTATCGGACATGCAGATATCTCTTGCAATTCCAAATTTTTGAGCATTTTCGCTCAATACTAGAGCCTCTTGTAACAATTGACCACCGTCCGAACCCCACTCCACATTATTTCCATCGACCTGGGAATAATACCAATAACTGTATATCCATTTCTTTTCTGTTATTATTATAAAATAATGAACTAAAAAACTCACAATGATGTCATTTCTTTCAAGGTCTGCCTGTGTTTTATATGAATAGTTGCGAGGAATCCCAATTGCCACACCACCGGTTGTTTTTGTGGAACCAGCGAAAAACATATCCATGCCATATACTGAGAAAAAATTAACAGATTGTTTCTGTTTTTCTGGCAGTTTTACATCTTCAAGAGCTGTTTTAGCCCTCTCAAACACGTCTGCCGTAGGTGGCGTCATGAATCCATTCCTGAGATTGCATGGTTGTTGAAAACATTACAAATTTAATATTTTAACATTTACAAATAATTATGACGCGATGAAACGTATGTACTTGTAGAGCTGTACGGCATTCCGATAGTTTGGAAGAAACCAGACATGGAGAGCTACATAGCCCCCAAAGTACCCACATGCTGCGGCGACCGCGACACCTGACATGGCGAATCGTCCTTTTTCAGACAACCAAAATCTGGCGAACTGCGACATGTTCTTGGCGAACGGGGTCTGTTCTGGGGTGATGTCGGGAAGTTTGGATGGACCCACTGCCATTTTCTTTTGTCTTTGCCTTGAGACTTTCAAGAGATCAAATTTATATGATTTAGTTTGTCGACTCCTATCAATAAATAAAATACAAACTAAATAAATATAATGGGTAATGAACTCGCGTTACATCAAATTAGTTTTCTAAGCTTACGTTCAACGAAGGACTATTAGAATGAATGGGTTGGAGAAATGTCATGGCATAACCACTGCGTACTATTAAAGGATTATTAAAGTACTCAAAATTTTAAAGACGCAATTAAAGGAAGGGAACAACTTACAACTAAAATGCAAAAACCGAGTATCAAAAGAACGTGAATACGAATTAGGGTTGGCGGAGTTGAAGTTGGGGCGACGTGCACGCATTTTGCGTACAGCTGATAACAAAACAAACACTGTGCGAGTGAGGGTGTGTATCATCGCAATTAATTTAACTGTATACTTTAACTAGTTATTTAAACATGTGACCTCAAGTTCAAAATTGTATTTGAAAAGATACGTTTTTCTGTAAAACATTGTTTAGTTTGACTTGATAAGCATCAAATATTAGATTTAGTTGGACACGTTCTGGCTGGTAAAAGTATAAACACTTTCTCTTCACTTTCACTCACTTGATTTGTGAATTTCAGCTTTATTTTAAGCTGGACTTTGCTGGATGGTTGGTGATGAAAGGGATAAGGGGATGAGCAGCATGGAGGACTATGACGATTTTGAGTCTGGAAGCCTGGGGGACTCTGCCTCCTTGGATGGAGTTGATGACGATGAAGACGAAGAAGACGATGAGGAGGAACCCAAGCTCAACTTTATCCGAATTCGCAATGACCTTTTAGGCATATTGGAAAAGGACGCCGTGAGTTGTGTTGCAGTACATTCCAAGGTAAGCAATGAAGTTTTGAATTTTAATGAGCTACGTACTTTTCAAATGAGATTTCTAAGATTTTAAATTTTTGCCATGTCAAAATTTTAGTTCTTGTGCATCGGAAGTCATCGAGGAGAGCTGTACATTATGGACCACTTGGGAAACAATGTGACACCTTCTCCGAGAGGATCCTTTCCTGCCCACAAAATAATGATAAACTGTATTTCCATTGATGCCGAGGGTGAACATATTGCAACTTGTTCCGATGATGGCAAAGTACGTATTTTTTTCTAATTGTGTGCTGACCAAGTAGTTTATAAATGTTGTGAACGCTTTAGGTCATTGTTTTCAATCTTTGTGATGGTCATTGCGAGACTACCCTTTCCTTGGACAAGAAACTTCGATGCGTGGCAATTGATCCTCAGTACAGTAAAAGCAGCTTTAGTCGAAGATTTCTAGTCGGTATGAAAATAAATTATGTACCACCAATAATAATTACGCGGCCTGTTCTTAATGACCAAGTACGAATAATAATTGGATAATGCTTTTACTTCAGGAAGTGATAGTGCCATGCTTTACCAAAGAAACATTTTTAACTTGCTAAAGCCATTCCCCATTTTGGAAGGAGGCATTGTTTCCACGATTAAATGGGGCAGTCGTTTCGTTGCGTGGAGTTGGAAGGACGAAGTTCGAATCTACGATATCGAAGAGGAAATAATGATAAGCCGTGTTAGATTCGAGTGGGAAAGCAACAACCTCGTCAACAACAGCTTGATAGAGCCTTCTTCCTTACATATGTCCAGCAATGGGTCAAAGGAGAATCTAATTAAAACTTTGCATGAAAAATATCGGTGCAATATTTTTTGGAAGGATAAATACACGGTGTTTATTGGATGGGCTGACATAATCAAGATTTGTCAAGTGGTGGAAATTAAAAATAAAAACATTCAACCTGGTGCTCCTTCTCACTACGTGAAGATCTCTTGCATGTTCACGACCGACTTCTGGACCTGTGGAATTTCTTCCTTTAGTAATTACACCACTGTGCTATCCCTCACAAAAGAGTTTATGGCCATTGGAAATGGTGACACTAATAATGAATATGCAAAAAATAATAACCTACCAAACGTCCAAATTTTGGAGACAGACACAACCTCTTATAATGTGCTACAAGCGGACGCACTTCGTACTCGAGGATACACAGAATACAAACCGTTAGATTATCATTTAGAATCCCTTATAGACGAAATTTTATTCTTCATTGTGTCCCCAAAGGATATTATTCTTGCTAAAGCAAGGGATCAGGATGACCATATTCAATGGCTAATGGAGCGCAAGTAAGTTGAATTGTAGAACTACAAACTTGTCACTTTACAATATCCTCACAAACCGTGCAAACTAGGATATCAAAAAATAATAACTTAGGATGAAAGAAATTATATACGATATTTATAATTACAATTTATTGCAGAAAATTTGAAGAGGCTCTAGAAGTGGCCATTCAGGATCCAAAATCATTACAACGGCATTCAGTCATGAATGTGGGACTGGCATACTTGGATCATCTCGTTGAAAATGAAATGTTTGCAGACGCTGGAAAGTTGTGTTTTAAACTTTTTGGTAAATAATTTTAACTACAGGGTGTTAATAAAGTCCGATCCCATTTTTCCTGTAAAAAAGTGAAGGCTAGTATAAAAAAAAACTACCCGTGATACTTACAAAAAATGTTCGACATATTTACCTTAGTATTTGGTCTTGTTACCATTTACTTTAACCATGCCCTCAACTCTTTGTTTAAGGCTCTGTGCTAATTTTTCCAATGTGCCTCTGGAAATCGAATTCCATACATCTTGAACTTTTTTTTACTAGCTCTTCCCTCGTCCGGGGTTGTGGCTCTTTGTATACATTTTCCTTAAGTATGGACCACTGGTTCTTCAGGGGATTCAAATCTGGGCCGTTAGCGGCCCACACCCCCTTGCTCCAGACCGTTGAAACTTGCGTCTTGATGAGACTCAAACTCGCTTTTGCTGTATGGGCTATAGCACCATCCTGCATGAAAACTATTTTTCTTTCATTCGGAAATATTTCCTTGTTCCCCATGCTATCGAAATAGATAGGTAATATTTTTTCCATATAATGCTTTGCATTGACTGATTGGCCTTTTGGTATGATATGTAGAGGGGTCACGCAACGTGCACAAAATCCACCCGCTACCATAACTTTAAGCCCGAATTTTGGGATCGCTCTTGATGGTACATCCGATTTGTTTTCTGTCCTGTAACGAACATTTTGTTGGTTCAATTTTGGATATAGTTCAATAATAGATTCGTCAGTCCAAAGGATGTGACTGCGCAATTCTTCACCAAGTCTTTTTTCACTCAAATGGGCACTTTTCTGAAGGAGTTCTTCAAATTTAAGACGGTCATCGATATATTTTTGTGACATGAGAGGTTTTTTTGGTTAGTTTGTAAGCTGTGTGACCCCACTTCGTAGTTTTCACAAATTTTTGCACGGTCACACAGTTAATTTGCTTCTTCTTCTCTTTATAGCGTTTTGAGTCATTTAACTCCCTTGCTCAATTACGTAATGAACTACCGGTTTTCTTGCAAAGTCTGTTTTTAATCATTCTTTTTGTGGTAGGTGACACCTTTCTGGGTCGCCCTGGTCGCTTTTTGTCGTGGACAAAATTTTTATTCTTCCATTTCCAAACAGTTCTGCGGCTGCAGCCCAATTTTTGCACAATTTCTGTAGGTTTAAGCCCCTGCTGATGCAATGTTTGTATCTCAACTCTAAGATGCTCATGACTTACACGTTTAGTTGTTCCTCCCATGGTAAAAATTTGAAATAAATAACTTCACTGGTTCAAAAGTTCCAGCTGAATTTGTAACAACCACGCTCCAAAAAATGCATGGGATCGGACTTTATTAACACCCTTTATGTGTAGATAAACTCAAACCATTGCTTGAATTGAATTATAAAATGTTTTCCTAATCCGTGCCTAATATGATAGGCAAAGAAAGCCCAGAAAAATGGGAAGAACAAGTTCTCAGATTTGTCCCCCATGGGCAACTCAGAGCAATCGCACCCTACCTTCCCCGAGGAGAATCGTCCAAACTTCAGCCATATTTTTATGAAATGATTTTATATGACTACCTTAAAAATGACCAGAGTGCTTTCCTCGGGCTCATCCGAGAGTGGAACCCACCCCCAGAGCTGTTTAATGTTACAACCATCATCAATGCTGTCGTTGATCACTTAATTATTTATGACCCAGAAAATCGATTCCTCCTCCAAGCCCTTGCAGATCTGTATTCATACCAAAAGAAATTTGGAAAAGCTTTGGCAATGTACTTGAAGTATGCCCATGAAAATCTTATCTTGAAATTATCTACTAAGGTGAATTACCTAAAATAAATGATTGTTTATGATTGTAGGTTGCAGGACCCTCAGGTATTTTCGTTGATTCAGAGGTATGGACTCTATGAAGAAATAGAAAGCTGCATTGAAGACCTCATGCATTTAAACGTCAGTGAAGCCATTAATCTTTTCATGAAACACAAGGAACGCTTAACGCCATCCATTGTAATTAGTCGACTTGAAGGAAACAGATATTATCAATACTTGGTAATTCAACGAAATACGAAATTACAAGTTACGAAGTTTACGAAATATGAATTATATTTTATGGGTAACATAACGCTTTAAATTTGTATGTGTAGTATTTGGACGTGCTATACAAGGGAGAAGGAAAAGACATGAAACCTGAGTTTAATGGGATGATGGTTTCACTTTATGCCGATTATGGTCCCTCTTACCTTCTTCAATTTCTCAAGTCATCAGACAGCTACCCTATTCAAGAAGCCCTAGATATTTGCAAGCAACGGAAGCTATATGCTGAAATGATTTTTCTATTGGGTATTTAATCAACTGTAACAAAATTAGTTATGCACAACTACAGTGATAAGGTTTACTAAAATTGGATATGTATAAAAATTAGGGCGAATGGGGAACACAAAAGAGGCTTTGCGTTTAATTATTTACGTTCTGGATGATATTTATCAAGCGATTGACTTTTGCAAAGAACATGATGATACGGAGCTATGGGAGGACTTGATTAATTTTTCACTGGATAAGCCTAGTACATACACAATGATATTATAATGTCTTGTATGTTTTTAATCCTGTAACTACAACTTTAATAATTTTACTTTTTTAGGCTATATTACAATTTTATTATGCAACATTGGAACATATGTCGATCCCCGCATTCTTATTCAAAAGATTGAAAACGGGCGAGAAATTCCAGGATTACGAGATTGTTTGGTTAAAATTTTACAGGACTACAATCTACAGGTATAAATTAATTACTATTTCTTGACAAATATGCATTTCCTTTATATCAAGATCAAGATCAACAAGGGATAATTTGTGTTTTGACAGATGGAATTGCAGGAGGGTTGCAAAAACATCTTGGTAGGCGACTGCTTGTCATTATTTCAGACATTGGTTAGGACTCAATTGAAGGGGGCTTGTTTAGAAGGTTCGTTCAGTATGTACTGACAGCTACTCACAATAACCCTAATGATGCACATGTCAGTGATGTTTCTCTCCGATCTTCTAAAGACCAAGTTACTAAACACAATTACTGTGGTACTTGAGCACTTCTGCAGCATTCACGGAGCTATAATGGTGAATGCTCCGCTTTCCGATGGTGAAAATACGCGTCTTGCCAACTTAAAACCTTCGTGAATTCTGCAGAGTGCTCAAGTGCCACACTAACTGTTGTTTGTGTTTAATAACTTGATTTTTAGTGCTAGTTTTTAGAGGTTCGGCGAGAGAGAAACATGTCTGACATGTGCATTATAACTTGTAAGTGATAAATATTCGTTTGTTTCTCAACAACTTAAAATTACTAATTTATATTGCTAGAAGATCAAGAATGTGGGTCATGCCATAAAGGAATATTAGTCGGAGGTATGTACATAAGCAGTTTATATATTTCGATAAAAAAGTATTTTATTTCTGAAATTGGAATCTGTGTTGTGTATTCTTAGATAATTCTGGTGAAGATTCCAATTTGCTCTATTTCTTTTGCAAACACATTTTCCATGTTTCGTGCATATCGAGCTTTGATTACCAGGTACGTAGCTAAATAATGAACAATTTGCATATTAATTGCCAAATTCAGCTCGCCCTTTGAGTCGACCTAATTTGCAGTCTCGAGTTGTATGTGTGGGGGGACTAAACTTCTTTGTTGTACAGAAAACAAAGAAGTTTTAGTCCCTTGTGTGTAACTCTCTTTGTGATGACCTGTTGTGTGTGATGTGTGACGCTGCTCACGTCCGGCATATTATTGTCCTTTGATGTATTATGCATGAGTTTTTGTTTTGTATATATTACAGAACTGTATCATTTGTAATCTCCCACGACGTGCGACTGGTCTTCTGGAGAAACTGTGATAAATTGTGCCGAGAGAGGAGTATCAAGCATTCAAAATGTTATTTCTACACATTCTAAACTTTCAAGTCTGAGAATATCGAGCCCATGCGAATTATGGAGCAAATTTGATTTGTTGTCAAAGGTTGAAGATACACAACATGTTAAATTAGATTTGGACTTCAAAACACATTCTGCAAAACTTGTTCTTGTTCTTCCCTTCGTGTCTTTTGTGGATGTGGGTGGTAGAGAAATTCCAACAGGTACGTGTGTACATAAGGTCTAATTAAATGATATTATTACCCAACCTGTTTGCCTGGAGGCGGTTGGTGGATGAAATTCAATCACAATGGCTGCCTATTATTTTAAAATAATACGAGAGAACGGTTCTATAAGGAAAATATTTATATAATAATTAAACTCCGTGTTCACATCTATTTTAACCATTTTACATTTTATAGCCCCCGAGAGATTACATTTGCTTGAAGCTAGGGTGTAAGTTCTCTCGCTCTTTCTAATTAATTATTAAACTGTCTGTATTCTTAAATCAAACGTACGCTCAATCATTGTATTTATTATTTCAAAATATTGCTACATACTTATTATTATGGTTATTATTTATTACTTTGTGAATATACCCGAGTCAGATAATGAGAATAAAGTGTGGCACTGATTTTAAGAATAATACCACAAAATTGCAGAATAATTGTACGAAAATAATAATTCTTGAGCTTGCTCAACTTCACCCATCATCGTCATTGGGGTTGGAAACATTTTCGTCATCTTCGTCAGATCCCACAGTTACATTTGAATTTTCTTTTTCCTTACCAACCACCTCTAGACCTTCTGTCAAAGCTTTTCCTTCTTCTTCCCCCACTTCCTCCTCAGATGAGACTTTCTCTAATCCATCGAGAGGACGAGTTGGTGGAACAGGATAGAAACGAAATGAGTCTGTCTTTGCATCCTCGCCACCGTCGTCCCATTCTCCCCACTCTCCCATATCCGATTCGTTGGAGGAACTGGAGGATGACACCACTGACGGCTGCTGACTATCAGGACGAAACTTGAGAAAGGACTCAAAGTACTGTTGAGTAAATGGGATGAGATTGGCAGGTTTCCGGAGAAGAACAGCTTGGACAAAGTCACTCAATACTGCTCGAAGGTCCGGATGTTCTAGCAAATAGCATCTGTGGTCAGCAGCCAATTCATCCTAGCATCATTAGATCGACACATGTGCATTAATATTGTGTAATACGCTGAATTATAAAGTGCACTATACATAAGTATGTATGTGCTTGACTTTTTGAAATTCAAATATACCCGTTTCAACAAGTATTTTGCATGGAGTTCGGCATCACAAGCCCAAATGTATGGAGGATAGCAAGCTTCGTGTTTTCCCTTCTTGCTTTCCTTTACAGGTTCGAACCAGAGAGGGATGAGGGCATGCACGTTTTCAGGCTGACATCTTAAAATCAATCGTCCAAACTGATTCAACATTGAATCCCAAAGTCTTTCCCCGAATTCAAACTCTACAGTTCGCCTAATTGACCATGTTCGAACTTGCTCGCCTTTCACATTTTCCCATCCATTTGTCAATGTTACCTGCGTGCGATGTTCAAAAAAGAGAAAATTGCATAAAGAAATCCAAAATAAAATACGAGGCACTTGATTTGATTGAACAGACACGGTTTCTGCCCACTTACATATTTATTTTTAACCACAGATCCTGTGAAAGCGAGTGTTTTGAGTTCCATATCCCCACCTGCCCTTTTTTCTAGCATGATAAGTCTCAAGAGAACAATATTTACCGACTCGGTGACGAGTAATCTTTGTTCCAACCGACTCAAATTGATAGCCTTTTGCTCAACCACTTCTCCATCCTTGTACAATGAGATTGTGATGTGCATTACGTCTTCCTCCTTCATGATGAAAATTTTTCTTTCTGTAACTTTCCCCTCGCACACCGCCCACTCATGAACAAACTCTTGGAACGGTTTCATATCGAAGGAGACGAATCCAGTGATGGTGGTCTGAAATGTTTTTTTTTACATGCTGTAAAGATCTATGTACAAATGCATGCGGTTTATAAACGAGCATACTCCACATTCCAGATCTGGATCTGGCGTCCCATAGCAGCCCGAATGGACGCAGAGACAGTGTTTGTCCCCAAACTTTGAAGGTTTCACGCTCGTGTACATTTTTCCTGAAACATTCCCAACTTCATCCACCATGAGAAGGGACTCGGAGAAACAAAGGTGTTTATACTCCTCTGGAGCTGTATTATTATTATTGGATCAGAACGAATTAGGCCAAAGACTAACTTTCACTCGAATTTCATTCAGCAATTAACATACGCATCCGAATCTTTTGAAACCATTCCAGATTCATTCTATTTTTCATGGGGTCTGACAACATTTTGACCTCATCCTTCAAATCGGGACAGCATTCGGGAGGAAGCTGGGGGACTTCTTCCTCTTCGACGCGTGCAACTTTAAGACCCACGACCCTGGCCTTGCTTGCTATTTTCTTATTACTTTTGCTTTTCTTCCCTGCAGAAACTGTGCCGGATTTTGTCTTGTCAGATCCTGCTGCTGATTTGTTGGGAGAAATTGATATCTCATTTTGAACAACTACGGGTTCTTCTAGTGACACTGCGGATTCATCTTCGTTTGACATTTTGTAGGCAAAGTCTGGCAGAGTTAACCAATTCTAGGTTAATTAGGACATGCATTTAAAAATGTCATACGACAAAATCACAAAACGCTCAGAAATGAAATGAATTTCCAGAAATGGACAATTTCTATGGAACAGAGAGTCGCATTTTGCCCTTGGAAGACGAAGAGAAGTCTCATTTCGTCCGTCATCCTCGTCTCACTTTCCCATTATGTGAAAGTTTCATTCACAGTGAAACCTGAAACATTACGTTCTACTCTGCGTCGATTATCAAATGGGTTTGTTCTCCTGAATCTGTATCAATTGTCCTGACTGCAAGGGGGGAGGAACTCTTATTTGTATAATACAACATTGGCCCAATAACTAGGTAAAGAATAGATACAACCATCTTCTCTGACCTTGGACAACAGAACATACTAAACAGAACATACTATACATACAGCCTACATTTTGTCAATTATTGTCATTGCATAACTATGGATAAGAAATTTGCGTAACTTCGTTAATTGGGTAACTGTGGTGGTGGTGGTCCGACCAAGACAGGATAGAACATGTTTTCACGTTATATGCGTGTCTGGACGGGACGGAGGGAATGCGTTGTTGCGGCAAAAAACTAGACTACTCGCAGCTGCTGTAGTGTAGCACGTTACTTGCTATAATTTCGTTTTTCGTTTTTAATTCTAGTCAAAGTGAAAGAGCTTTCGTATGTACTTTAAACTCCTAAATTGAATAAAAGTATTCCCCGACTCGTACTGAATTGCTCGGATCAATTTAGTTGAACGGAGAGAGGCCGGTGAGGAGTGTAATACAACAATGGAAACGGAAAAGGAAAAAGTTTCCGACAGCGACAGCGAGAAGAATAGCGAAGAATGCGAAGAGGACGAAGGCGAAGACATGGTCGCGAAAGCCACAAGGGAACAATTTGTTCAAAGTATGAAGGCAATGGAACAAGTTTGCAAAATTTTGAGATGTGTCAAATGGTAAGTTATTCTATTTACTTATTTGCTGGTATTGCTCATGGTTCAACAACTTTAAACCAAATTAGAAAACGGGTGGTCGTGGGTTCATAGCCACTGCGGAAACCAATTTTTTAACCTAATAGCAATTCCACATTCAAAAACTAATGCTCGAAACTTCAAAATTTCTATCTAACAAACTAGATTTACCTACTTATAAGATTTGTTTCGTTTGTTCTTGATTTCTTTTTTCTGTAACCATCTCTAACGTTTTTAAATTAGCAGGAGCGTCCAACTACGTAGGTAGTATCATTATGGTTAAATGGCAATAAAATAAATGAGATGGACTAAACGATGTGCCATTATGCATTGCTAAGTCGTTCCATTGATAAGTTGTAATGAAATTAGGCTGAAAACGATAATTTGGCTAATTTCAGTGCCGGTATTCCCACGCAGCCGAGGGAAAAGGTGTACACTTTAGGAAATTGCTTCCACAAATATTGCGCTTCCTGTGTAGAAAGCATGTCCGGGAAACCTTGTGTCGTATGCGACGTCGTTGGAAGACTAAACAGTTCTTTGGAGGAAGATGCATTCTCGTCTTCATTGATTGATGCTCTTATGGCACTCAAGGAAGAGATGAAAAACATGTCGCGTGAAGAATTGAATGAAATTGAACTTGGCGATGAAGAGGCTTCACCACCACTTGATATCGACTTGGTGACTGGGGGACCCATTGTGCCGAGGTCCGCGACCTCTGCTGAATCAATTTTTGGATGGTTGAACGACACTACAGCTGCACAAGATGAGAGTAGCCCTACGACTGACAACATTGCCCCCACCAGTCCCCCCAAGTCACCGATGGATAACAACGTGAGAGAAAATTCCCCAGATATGTTCGAGGATTCTCAGCCTTCTCCTGTTGTTGCCCCCAATGCAAGACAGAACAAAAAGCGCGCAAATTGTTCTTCTGATGCCAGTGACACTGAGGATCCCCCAGACTTGGTTGCCGCCGACTCGCCTTCTAGGCCAACCAAAAAGAGTAAAAGTTCTCCAGAGTCGGATTCGGATGTTGATGCTGCTGATGATGATGATGATGACACGGACTTTGAAGAGGATACTTTTAATTCCACGCCAGAGATGCCTAAACTGACTCGAATGTCACCTGACATTGACACAACCATCGTTAAATCCAGCTCGCAAGAGGCTATGCCAGGTAACACCAGGCGCAATTCTACTAGGTCGACCGTATCATTGGACTCTGCCACTACACCAGCATTGGGGAAACGGCGTAAAATCGCACCAAAGGCTAGTAGTCAACCTGTTAGTCTCAAAAGTACCAAACATACCGCAAAGTCTAGCAGCAAGACAGTGGTGTCTGATGAAACAAAAACAATCTCGCCATATTCTACACCTATTCCTGCAAAACGGGGTGATGCTATTATTGGGAATAAGGCAGACAGTCCTGCCTCACTTGGATCTGCGTCATTCTCGTCAACAACAGGCAAAGTGGACAAGAAAAATGCAAAGGGAGAAACACCGCTCCATATTGCTTGCAGATCTGGTCAGGTAGAAAAAGTGAAGCAGTTGATACTTGCGGGGGCTGATCCTAATGTTCAAGATTATGCTGGATGGACTCCTTTGGTTAGTTAGTTCCTTCCTACAATAATAATACGATATGATAATGATATGACTTACTTATTTTCTATTATTAATGATGAAATGCTTCATTTTTTGCGTGAGTGGTGAAAATGTCTGATAATTTTTTAATTGTTTTTAGCACGAAGCAATAAATGGAAAAGCAAGTCCCAGTTGTAAGTTCGAGCTAGTAAAATTACTCTGTGAGGGTGGGTCATGCAATCCCAATATCCCTGGAATGGATAACGAGTCTGCTATTCATGAGGCTTCGAGGGGAGGTTTTCAAGATATTGTCGTTTATCTTTTGGACTATGGTGCTTCTCCAAACATTCGAAATCGAGTTGGCAACCTCCCACGGTATAACATGAAACCTAATTGTCATTGCAATTGGTTAAGTTTTATTTCCTACAGAGATGTTGCTGCCACTGAAGAAATCGCTAAACTATTCGAGGACTCTTCAATTGGTGGAAACAGTCCTGACATTTCTTTTGTCGATGACCCGGTTGTCCTTGAAATACAGTTGTCTAATGCGCTCATCTACTTTAATTGTGATGTTTCCCCTGAAGAGCTGTCATATGTTGAAAATACTCTCAAATTGAAGGTCACTAAAACCTTGCAGTAAGTTACTAGATGTGTCTATCTGTGGAAAAAAATTATGACGACATTATGGACGCAAAGTTTTATTAAGCACAATTATAAATTCTAGGGGCGAAGTGACTCATATGATATTCAATTGTGACAGCGAGAAGAAAGTGCAGTATTCTTATGACTACCTACATGGAATCGCAAATGGTCTCTGGATGTTGAGTATGCAATGTAAGTTTCCCGAGTTTCTCACTTTCCCCACTTTCGCTCTTATAACACCGTACTAACACCGTAATGAGACTCCCGTTTGGTTATTTTCTTATTAATATCACTTAAAAATATGTATCAAAGGTTCGACTACTCTTTAAAGTCTCTTAAATTAAACTAATAGTTTTTTTGGTGCTTTTAGGGATCAACGACTCAATTGAAGCCAAGAAAGTCCTTTCTCCTAGTTCATTTGAGGTTCAAAGTTGCGATGTACTTGAAAGTGAAAGAAGTGCACCAACTTCTGCCCGAACAAATAAAGAGCTAGGGGTAATAAGTTATTCTCAAAAATATATTTTGTTCATATCTTGATATTATTGTCCTAATAGTTATACGTACCAATTTGTAGAATCCAGGACTTTTTCATGGATTTTGCTTTTACTTATACAAGAATTCTGCATTCGACAATATTGGGAAAACCATGTTGGCTGCGTTGGTCAAGTCTACTGGGGGTGAAGTTATCAACCGAGAGCCGAATCCCAGCGTCGTGGACCCATTAGAGTATCCGATCCGATTTCATGTGCCGAAACAGGACAGCCACAAGCTGACTCTTACATCTCACATTATTCTCTACGATGATAAAAACAAGCCTCCTGCGTCCAAAATGCACAATATGGAACATATAAAGGTTCTTAAGGTTCGGTGGATGATTGACTCGCTGGGGGATTTCTCTCTGAAGGATCCGGACAATTACCTTTCATAAATGATTTCTAATTCTCTACAACATACTTTTGTAATCATAATTCAAATTAATAAACCATTGCTTAATTTTTGACAGTTTTTGAAAATATACATTTGTTTTGTTCAACTTATATGTGAATATTATCAAGCATGATCATCAATCACGAGTGCGGCATATACACTCGACACTTTTTCCTGATATGTAACTCAATGATCCAAGTGACAATGACAATCATTTTTGTAAACGGCGATGAAAAACATTTATTAGGGAATATTTTTGGGTCAATGGTTATTTTACAACCATTTGACCCAGGGTAAATCCATAAGTAAACGCTATATATTACGGAGATAATCATTCAGATCTAGCGCAGCGTGTCCATATCATCACGGATACCTGTCACCACCAGCACCACTTTCAAGATAACGTGCTGGATGGATAATATTGTTTGCTATACTGCATTAAATAAAAATAATGTCTCATTGTGTTCCCACTTAACGGAGGTCGTCAATTAATTTCCAATATTGTCGAACTGATAATCATTCATAATCCGTCGATTACATGAATCCAGGGATTCCCGTATTAAAATAACTTGAATCTGTCGAATCCATTTCTCATGATCTTCTGACGCCTGCCAATTATTAAATATGCACTCATTAAATACTTATGTAGTTACATAGCATATTGGGACAGGTATAAAAAGGCAGCCGTACTTTCCTCCGACCCACATTACCTTTCGAAGTACATCACCTTGCACACAACATGAAAGTCATAATTTCTCTCCTTTTGGCCACAGTGGCTCTGAGCCATGTCTCAACCACCCCGGCCTCAGTGGTCAATTCTGCCTTACTCAAGGCCTACTCAACCAAGGATCATGCCGACATTATGATTGTTCTCAAGGCGAAAACCTCCCAAGTTCTTGCCCAGGTCGAATCGCAAATCTTTGCCACCACCGACGACAAGGCCACCACCCTCTACAATGAGCTCAACAGATTCACCTCCTCCTCCCAAAAGGAAATTTTGAGCATCCTCACGAAATTTAAGTCATCCGGAGTTAAGGGATTTTACATCACCAACAGGATCTCTGTGCGAGGTGCTCCCTTGGAGTTGGTCCAAGCCCTTGCCCACCGAGATGATATTGAAGAGATCCGCGAAGCCAAGGTCGTCCATATTGAAGCGCCCGTCGAAGTTTCCCAAGAACGAGTTTTGGAATGGGGAGGTAATTATCTCCATTTCCAATAATTATTTCCATCATAATTCATTTTATCGAATTAATCTATCTTTAAATTCATAATGTTTGCAGTGTCTCAGATTAACGCTCCAGAGGCGTGGGAGCGAGGATACACGGGGGCAGGAATTGTTAGCTCAAACATTGAGTAAGTCGTTATGACATGTGGTCATCGTTATTAATTGCTCTCCAATTCATTCTAACACCATTTGATGTCCACAGCACTGGTGTCCGATACACTCACGTTGCTTTGCGAGACGGCTACCGAGCAGACTATGGATGGTTTGGTAAGTATGGCGAAAATCCTAACTTTTGTAGAGGCATCACATTTGGGGGAATATGCGACTTGCTCAACTTTCTCTGCTTTCTCTTATGCACAGATCCTGAAGGAAACACTGAGCTACCGAATGACCAGAATGCACATGGCACTCACACCATGGTAAGCCCTCATTTGAATTTGTACAATAGGCATCAAACCTGATGTATGATATGATGAACAGGGTAGCATTGTTGGGCGAAACGGTACGGGTGTGGCTTCTGAATCCATGTGGGTGGCTTGCAAGGGGTGAGTTAATATGCAATGAAAGTCTATAAATGTTATTTAAAATAAATCTACTTTAATATTGTTTGAATTTCATTTTCAAGCTGCTCAACGAGTGCCTGTTCTGAGTACGCATTGATTTCTTGTGGAGAGTGGACTTTTTGCCCGACAAATTGGGATGGGTATAATTTCCTGTCTATACTGATCATAGGAAAGGAGTATGTAGATGATTCGAATTTGTTGTCACTGGTTTTAGCACTGGCAGTGATTGTACCAAACGACCAAACCTGAGCTCCAACTCGTGGGGAGGTGGTCAAGAGGACGCGTGGTACGATGAGGTTATCAACTCGTGGAATTCTGTCAACATTATTCCTATCTTTGCACTCGGAAATTCCGGCCCAGGATGTCGCACAGCGAACAGTCCTGGCGATCGACCAAACGTTATCAGTGTCGGAGCGACCAATGCTGACGATGCTGTCGCCGTCTTCTCCTCTCATGGCCCAACCCTTGCCACCAGTGTCATCAAGGTCAGTCCCGTACCGTGCGCTTCTATGCAATTTTACGTGTTCCAATTTCCACATCAGTAATTCAATATGCAAAACTATCAAAATTGTTAAATAGCCCGAGGTCTCAGCGCCAGGAGTAAATATTAGGAGCTGCGGAATTGCGACTGACACCAGTTACACCCTTTTGTCCGGAACCAGTATGGCCACTCCTCATGTGGTAAACAAACTTAAGTTTAACCTTCCTAGACCGATAATATGTAAATTGTAGCAATAACCTTTTATCTATCATCGGATTTATAGGCTGGCGCTGTTGCTATTCTTCTGCAAGCCGGCTTGGCCACACGACCGGAAATAGCCACAGCTCTTGAAAGTATGAATATTTTGCACTATGGGATGAAGTATCTAGTTCTGACTATATACTTCATCATACGGTTTTTTAATTTTTAAATCAAGGTGACTCCATTCTAATTAATCTATTTTTGTCCATATCGCAGCTACCACTGTGAGACCAGAAATACCAGAAATTGTGTGCACTGGTGGAGGTGTTAATATCACTTATCCATGGCCAAACAATTCGTAAGACAACTGAAACTTCATTTAAGATAAGGATATTCTGAATATTTTGATTTAAAATATTTTTTTTCCATTAGATATGGCTGGGGTCGTATCGACGTATCCGCTGCCTTGAACTCCGTCCTGCCTTGAATTCAATTCTCAAAAAATAATATCCGAGTATAATCTTTGTAATAAATTTCAAAAATTGTACATGATTCTATCCATTGCTTTATCCAGTCCAAAATTAACATTGAAAATAAAATGTCAAAAAATGTGATCAATTTCTAAATTATATATATTTCATTATTAACATGTACATACAAAATACAAACACACGGCAAATGTTCCCCATTACCAACAAACACCCCGTATTATTACAAGTTTATATATAAGTGAACAATAACATCCCCTTAGTATACCTTGAATCTAGGACCCTTAACAATTAACTTGGGCCTGAGGACTTTTATTCTCCACGGAATAAACTTTATTTTTGGTTTGATGAGTTTCAGTCTTGGCAGTCTCAGGGGGACTTCGTGTCCCCAGCCGCCTCCTTTCCCCTTGTCGTGAGTATTTTCAAGACTAAAGCTGAACCCTAAACTCGCTCCCTTTCCCTTCCCGTGACCCTTGTGATGATGGTGACCTTTAGGCCTTCTGTGACCTTTCTTTCCTTTCTTATGTGGTTTTCTAGCATCCAATTCCATTATAAGGAATGCCACTAAAACCTATGCACAAGAGAATTGTTATTATTATTAGCACTTTCTCGACGAAGGCACTGCTTTTTCAAAACTTGAGTAAGAAATCACTTACCAGCAAAAGTAGAAATTTGAAATTCATTTTTCACCTGTGGTTGCCACTACCACTAATCTCACCACCGTATCAGTTCTAAAATAGATTACTGACTAACGTGCTGTGATTTACAAACTCTTCTTTATATACATCGTATACAAATTACAAAGGGCGCAGATTTGTAGGATTATTTGATGAATTCATTCATGGCCCTCAAATCAGCACTGTTTATTTATGCATGTAAGTAGATCCTCCCAACACTGAAATGCCCCCTGCGCCGAAGGCTGCAACGCAACTATTACGCGCATATGACATAACAAATGTATAATTTGTGGTCACTCTGTAGCCATCAACGAGATATTTGAAAAAGCATTCTACTTCCTTTATTCATTTCCACCATAATAATGATGATATGCTGTAATATTTAGTCGCAGTCCATGTCAGTCCACACAACTACGGACGGCGTACCTGCTTTTTGGCTACTTGTTATACATGTGTGACATACATAATATTGAGGTAATTACACATTCGCCGAAATAATTGAAATTCTAGGGAAGGATTCGAGTAGGAAATATCCTTGCCTTTACAGCAAATAAGATAAAGATGACTAAAATCATCACACGATCACTACTACTCTGCTTCTCTTGTATAGCACTTAAGTTAGAATTCTTAATTTTATTAATCTGCAGTGTGCATGCATCTAGAGTATAATAAGCGTGTGGAAGTATGTACATAAGTACTTACATAAATGCATCCGTTGAAGAGCTACAAAAATTCGAGTGTCAACTTTTTTTGCACAGGAAGTAGCAATAAGTCAAATGTGTGTTACTACAAGCACCTACATACTTTGTGCCTTGTCCCGTAATTTGTTAATCTTGTAGAGCAATAACATGATATTAATTTATTTAAAAAATATTGCACACGCACCACAGCTCAGCTTGGTAGTAATGGAGCCATTATAAATGTTATCATCTCCACATTTCCGGACACCAATTGGGCATATATTTACTGAAATATTAAATGAACATAAAGGCATCTCGTGTACAAATTCGTACATTCAGTGGACTAATCTGATAGTATGACATGCACTTATTGGTGGGGACACAAAACACTATTTAGGTCTAGTTAATGGATTATCTGAATCTTTTTTAGTGTTTATCTGGTTTAAACAACAGTGTTGATTACAATCCTTACTACAGCAGAGGGGCATAAAAAGTCAAGCATTCCCTTAACGTTTACTACTTAAATCATTGTATTGTTATAGTTTGTAAATAAGATTTTATAACGTCATGTTTATCATTTCCTAAAGATAGAAGTACAAAAACAGGTCACATGTGCATGACAAAACTTTCTCCCCTCCGACCTATTCTACAGATTCTACGCCAATATCTTCAAATCGTGAACTCGTGTACAATTCAAACTTTTGTTTGCATACAACACTAATTGCTTATGATGCTGCTACTCAATCAGCAGTATACGCGCAGGGCTGAGAAACAGGTTTGGCTTTTATAAACAAAAGAGCAAATGTGGTTTGAGAGCGTCGTCACAACAAAATTCGAAATAACGTATCCCTATTCCCTGCCAGTATTGCTTCACTGTGCGTGCTGTGCATTCGTTGCTGCACAAGGTAGCAAATTCATTGTTAGGCTGCATAGAAGTACAAGAACAAGGAAGATGATGCGGATAAAGGCCATTTTGAATTTATAAAGGGTGTTAATAAAGTCCGATCCCATTTTTCCTATAAAAAAGTGAAGGCTAGTATAAAAAAAACTACCCGTGATACTTACAAAAAATGTTCGACATATTTACCTTAGTATTTGGTCTTGTTACCATTTACTTTAATCATGCCCTCAACTCTTTGTTTAAGGCTCTGTGCTAATTTTTCCAATGTGTCTGTGGGAATCGAATTCCATACATCTTGAACTTTTTTTACTAGCTCTTCCCTCGTCCGGGGTTGTGGCTCTTTGTATATATTTACCTTAAGTATGGACCACAGGTTCTCCAGGGGATTCAAATCTTGGCTGTTTCCGGGCCACACCCCCTTGCTCCAGACCGTTGAAACTTGCGTCTTGATGAGACTCAAACTCGCTTTTGCTGTATGGGCTATAGCACCATCCTGCATGAAAACTATTTTTCTTTCATTCGGAAATATTTCCTTGTTCCCCATGCTATCGAAATAGATAGGTAATATTTTTTCCATATAATGCTTTGCATTGACTGATTGGCCTTTTGGTATGATATGTAGAGGGGTCACGCAACGTGCACAAAATCCACCCGCTACCATAACTTTAAGCCCGAATTTTGGGATCGCTCTTGATGGTACATCCGATTTGTTTTCTGTCCTGTAACGAACATTTTGTTGGTTCAATTTTGGATATAGTTCAATAATAGATTCGTCAGTCCAAAGGATGTGACTGCGCAATTCTTCACCAAGTCTTTTTTCACTCAAATGGGCACTTTTCTGAAGGAGTTCTTCAAATTTAAGACGGTCATCGATATATTTTTGTGACATGAGAGGTTTTTTTGGTTAGTTTGTAAGCTGTGTGACCCCACTTCGTAGTTTTCACAAATTTTTGCACGGTCACACAGTTAATTTGCTTCTTCTTCTCTTTATAGCGTTTTGAGTCATTTAACTCCCTTGCTCAATTACGTAATGAACTACCGGTTTTCTTGCAAAGTCTGTTTTTAATCATTCTTTTTGTGGTAGGTGACACCTTTCTGGGTCGCCCTGGTCGCTTTTTGTCGTGGACAAAATTTTTATTCTTCCATTTCCAAACAGTTCTGCGGCTGCAGCCCAATTTTTGCACAATTTCTGTAGGTTTAAGCCCCTGCTGATGCAATGTTTGTATCTCAACTCTAAGATGCTCATGACTTACACGTTTAGTTGTTCCTCCCATGGTAAAAATTTGAAATAAATAACTTCACTGGTTCAAAAGTTCCAGCTGAATTTGTAACAACCACGCTCCAAAAAATGCATGGGATCGGACTTTATTAACACCCTTTATATGACAAGTTTCGTTAAAAGTGCTTCGAGAGAAGACTTACATGAATATAGCAGTAAGTGTATTAATAGATGGATTTAAAAGATTTTGTGCTAAGCACTATAGTAGTTCCGAATTATCCAATAGCACAATAAAAGTATTTAGTCCCGATCAGGGATGAGGACTGAGATCAGGGACGAGGACTTCTTCCCTTGAACAGGGTGCGTGGTGGATGGTCAACAGTTCAAACAAAAACCTATTAAATACAATTATCTCGCAAACTCGAGCTCGAACAAAAACTTTGCAGAAACGAAGCTATTGAATACCATCACCCTGCTCAATAATTTAATTACTCTGTTTGTCCATTGGGCCCCAAAATCTGATCTGACCTGCAAGAAAATAAGTATAGAACCTAAATCTTCCCTAACCTGTACAATCCACATTACAATTTTCCCTATACTTTTCAGTGTCACTAATTGAGTTAGTTTTTCACATTCCAGTGACATTAACATGACAATGTATGACCAAAACCTTATACAAATTTTATACTTGCTGACATAAATTCAAACCACTTGAGGTTTGAAGTACTTTCAGGTGGGTGGTATGTGCTCAAGTGTCTTATCATTTGTTTAACCAGCGTATGCGCATACGTATAAATGTTTACACATTTCTTTTCCGGGACGCTTTAATTGATCGTGACCTCTACACCCACCCACATTCCACTAGAAATCAAATCCGAATAATTTATGACAAGGACAATTTTCAATAATGCACAATTCACTTGAAAAAACATTTTATGCATGAATTTAAGTAGCATTGATCAATACCCACTAAAAGTTTTCTACTCAACGGATTATATCCATAATACAATGTCAGAAACTTTGCAATGAATTACTTATATTTTCCATTGCGACAGATTTTATGTGAGTAAACAAAAGCCCGTGGAGCACAATATTTATTTGTTTTGCTGATCGGCATGATTCAAGCAAAAGTTACTAATGCAAAGTTACGTATGAACATATACATACATACGTCACGAGTAAATAATATTTCGCAGTAAGCTCCTAAAATGATATGGTGAACACATCTCACAAGAGAGGAGGGCATAAAACTGATCTCTAGAATCCAAAGATGAATTTCTTGTATGCAACACTAATCCGAATAAAGAGATAGAAATGCTTTGAGACCAGCCGAAACACTTTCACTGGAAGAAAGGGTAATTTGTCTTGCCTTCCGGCGTATGCATTTACATCAAACTCGTCCATCCGACCGAGCTCAGACAAAAAAGTCTCGGATAGAATGCATTAATAATACCAGGATTCGAAGGTTGATTTGCCAACTTAAGTGTGGGTGGTGTATTCTCATTGTGTTGATGGGTAAACATGTCAAGAAGAATGTCGGATTTTCTTGCGCTTCTGACTTTTGCTGCCCTTGCAGTCAAGGGTGTAATGCCATGTAGTGGCTTCTGATCGATCTTTGCGATACTTTATTTGAGTGTTTTGTACAATGTTCCGCAACTACCTACATAATAGTTTTAAAGTGACTTGTGTCAGGTTATTATTTAAACGGTTTATGCAAGTTCTTGTAAAATATGGGACAAATTCTGACCTAAATGTCGACCTTCGAATTCAATTGTACACACATGTTTATACAAGTACATAATTTTCATAACTTAGTGATGGGATCCAAATGCTCTCAACATTAGACCATTGTCGTCATTCCTAAATATGTCACATGTGTACTATCAAGTCTGGCACATGTGTGTAAATAAGTACTTATGATACATACTCGTACATACGTAAACGTGAATGTAGTGCATGGTCAATGATAATGACATTATCAAAATATCATGTAAATAAGTCATAAACATTATAAATTATCACCCAACAGAGAATTTATTCCCGATCATTTCTTCATTAACGGCATAAAATGTGGTAACTAATTACATTTTCTAGATGGAAAATACCATTTTCATTAATTATAATTTTCAACATGAAATGACTCCACTGGGAAATGTCCCTTCTTTTATGGCATTGTGTGACTAAAGTAATTTCTAAACTGTTATTACACACATTATATTTGCTAAAATCTTTAAATATCTGAATTCATACACGAGTCAGGATAGAAAAAGAGAAGGCGTGTGTAAATGTGAGAATTCTTTTACAAAAGTCGATGAGATACATTTCTATAAAAACCTTCATTTGTGCATTCTCAACAGTAGTGAACGAATAACTGCAAAACTTTGTGCTAATGCAGTGTCACACGACAACTTATCTCTTGTTCTATCAAAAACAAATCAGATGAGGCACACACAACGCGATTTTTTGAGGATTGTTGCTGCTGCTTTCAAATCATCGCTGGAAAAATAAAATATCAATACAACTGTCTGTCGATCATTGTTTGCTCTGATGAACAATTCTTTTGTCATAATGATTTCTTCTTTCCTCGCAAATAGACACATTTTCGAGCTCTCCAGTAGGTAACGACGACCATGCAGAAATAAAATTGCATGGGACGACCAAACATAAAAGATAAATCGCTCAATTATCCCGATCTTCGTTGCATTGACGAAACAAAGCATAGGAATGAGAATAGATTTCTTAAAAAAATATATTTAATAATACGCTTCAACTCAAGTCTTGAATCCATTTGTCGTTTATGCTTACACTGATTTATTCAATGCTAAATTATTTATTCAATTGTATCCGAAAATAAACCTTACACAGACGAATATTGAAACTGATTCTTCAGAGTAATGTAATAAACTGAGAAAAAAATAAACTATTTTCTTTTCTCAAATTAATCTTTGTCCATTTTAAGCAAGCATCTCCAATTTCCCACTTCCATGAAACACAATTAGGCCAGCGTCTCTTGCATGCGTCAACTCTGGAACGAGTCTAATAAGACTTTCACCTTCACACTTTCTCCTTGATTATCATTATAATTCTGGGCCTGCATGGAACGTGGAGCTTTGGTGTTCTTTGGGGCTGAACTAAAATAGATCATCTCATCTGTATCGAACCAAACCCACGTTTAACGTGAGCCAAAAGATGATGACGCAACTACTGGAAAGAAAGTTTTTTCAAGTCTGGGTTTCGCCATGTTCGTCCGCCCCTGTTCGCAGTAATGTAGGATTGGGTGGCGAAAAGTAAAACACAAGATGCCTGTTGTACATAGTTTGTGTGTGAATAAATGATGTTGATTGTGCTTTGAGATGGGTTGGGGGTTGGAGAATGGAGTCGTGGAAGGAAGCTAAAGTTTTTTGCGTCTCTCTCCATTGGACTCGCACTGGGAGAAAGTCGCGTGGGTGGAAAACTCCCTTCAACTCCTACTTTTTAGTGAGATATGCATCACAGTCTCTCTCCGATGAAAATGATGGTGTGGGGCAAAGTGGACACCCTCCGAATTTTGGCTACTAGCCCAGTTATTCTACTGGAGATTATACTGAAGGAGAGAACGATGACGCTGGTGAATCTGGTGTTCAGGCCCAACTTTGCTCTCCCCGAGACTTACCCCTCCATAATAATTTGTTGGGAGACTCCGAGCTCTTGTGGATGGATACACATTTCGCCATCGCATATTTAACTCCTTCTGCTTCTTTTGGATATTACGTTAGCGAATGGTTTGTCCTTCCTCGCGAGCGCCTATATAGAGTCCGACGCTTTCTCCCGTTCCTCACAGTACCCTGAGAGCAATTGAGGAGGCACATTTGCAGAGAAAGCTGACGGGAGCGAGACCAACCAACCAACGCTGTGCCACCAATTCAACAAGTTTGTAACTACTGCGTCAATCATCACTCAAATTCAGTTTCATTTTTCCAAATCCAATTCAACAGCATCTGTCACCTTCATAATCTGGCAGAATAATTGATTTCTGAAATAAAACTTTGCACTAAAAACTTAGTAATTGGATTCTGTAATTACCTCCCGATCTACTCCGTTGGCTCTGTCGCTGCTTCACATTTCGTAATTAACTTTATTCCCTGTCTCAGTTTGCAACCTACCAACGAAACGTATTAACTCAGGTAAGAAGAACAGAATTTCTCACATTTCCCCGCATGCACTTTCCCCATACTCAACTCGTCCAGTAATTTGTACTAGTACACCGTCAAACGATAGAGTAATTGAAAAGAGCAAATAGTACACAAAACGATGGAGATTATGCATGGGTAAAATATAACAAAGTATTTTTTGAAAGTATTTATTCTGCATGTTGCATTCAAGCTTTTCTATTTCAGATTCATAAAGGCATTAATCAGTATACATTTGTACGTACGTGGGCTGCTGACAGTTTAAATAACTCCAAGTAGCGACATTTCAAAACTTTTGTCATCGGGTTTAGTTGTGAAACGAAGTTGTTCTTCTGAATAGAAAATGAGGGACATTCATATGAGCATGCTTTTATCCCATAATTCGGTTGTTGAGTATTGTTCATATGTTAAGCTTTCCTCCAGGGTGTTCAGTTATGCCCTGCTGCTCGTTCACTTTTTTGATGACAGTTAAGTTCGGATGGCTTGCAGTTGAGTGCCTCATGTAACGACATAAAATTTCCTGAGTTGAACAACAACTGCGCTTTATGTAGAATAATAACTGCTTAAGTTAAGATGAAAGACGCTGTTGTATTCAAATAAAGGCTAAACTACTTGGAATATTGTTGAATACCGCCGGCAATTGTCAGAAATTTAAATGGACAAGTTTTTTTCACTTGAAGGAAGAGTAATTTGTTAGCATTTTGTTAGCACATGACGGAACGGATAAAAATATGCATGTATGGGTGGGTGGGACTCTATGACAGGGAGATTTGTATTTAGCTATGTATGCATTTACATAGAGAAATTATTGTTTACTAATTTATTTATTATTATGAATGATTGACACGAGTCTCTTTCACCAAATGACTATTTGAGTTACTACTCACTTGTGTCCACAACTTATTAAGGATTATTTCTTAGCTCACGAGTTAGGGCTTATGTTCCCATCATGAATGTCTGTCTGTCACCAGAATAACTCGCTTGAAACTTATTCGATTGATTTGAAGTTTGGCACACTTCTTTATTGGGCAAATTGTGAGATTAGGTTTGAAGATGCGCAAAATCAGGTCAAGTGGTTACCCAGCAGGGGTCATATGCACTAATAAGTTAGTCATATTTCATGATATGTCAGATTGTCAAAATTGTTGTATTCCCCTTGCTTGTCATTTACTATTTAATCCTAAGTAACGGTAGTGTCCCTTAATGGATGCAAGTGATCCACTTTGCAGTATTTTTTTTTTACAGTTTTCAGCATTTTCCATTGTAAATTTTAAACAACTTTTAGTTTTTAAAATGGAAATTGGTTTTGTGGCTTGACCATTTCTCGTAACCTGAGAGTGATAAAGTATCAAATAATCTTGCTACAATGGATTTGCCAAATCTGAAGCAAATTGAGTCTTCGTTAAGGTTAAGGTAGCATGTAAATATTGTGATAAGAAGATTCTGCTGTTTAGAGTAAACCCTGTGGCTCGAGCTATGCAAAGCTGTACTGAGAGTTTGCTTATGCATAATAAAAATAGGCGAGTGTCTAATATCTAATGCATAATGGTGAAAGTCATGACTTCAGTTGAATGAAGGTCGAATCGTAAACTGCGACATGCAACTCTTTAACTGTGGCGAACAACTTAGATTTTCATTTCGATCTTTCAAATGTCGTCTTAAAATAATTTTTAATGCTTACTGAATAAAAACATCCTGACCGAGTGAATTTTTTAGTTAACTTCTTGGCATTCATGATATGAGAAGCTAATGCGAATAACTGCAAAGGCCATGAATCTTCCAATCTTTTGAAAAGGCTTTGCGCAATCCATCTCCAAAATGCTGTAGTACACAAGTGCATTCGAATAAACGTCTTTGTTAACAAGTCAGCTAAACAAACGATCTCGTTTTTGTCCATTAGATTTAGTCAAGATTTGTGCAATCGAGAAAGTTGGCAAGATTTTCTCCTCGGTCTTTCAAGTTTTTTTTTGCTTTGGGAAGTTGAGATTTAGCTTTAATCGTTGTGTAAAACCCTTCTTGTTTTGCAAACTTGCACTGCTTACAGTTTAGTTTAAATGGTATGAGCAGTTGAGGGCTGTTTGATGAAGCTAGGTTTTCTAAACACCAAACAATTTGATAATTTTGAATAATAGCAGACATATCCATCCCACAATTCCTCGTCTCTATCAATTCCTCTGTCCGTTCCGTTCTACTATTTCTGATTCTGATAAATGTCCGGAAGGAAGTTTGTTGGTTTTGAAGATTTTGACTTTCGACCATTTTGCCAAGTAAATAAACAGTCGACAGACTGGCGTTATCATCAAGATTATCGCTTTTATGCATGCAGCTTTGTTTCTAAATGTGAAATGAAGACTCATGTTACTTGGACATGGGAATGAGTTAATTAATTAAATGGGCCACATTGTTTCCTAATTTTGAAGATTGTGCAACTGCACAATTGGAGTAAAACAAATCGGAAACTGGGTAGTTGCCAGCGAATCCTTCCCAATGTGCCTGCAGAGCAGAACCGTCCATCTCTTTGGCCGACAGGAGGAGGAAATATTTTCTCTCATTTCTCTTATTCTTGTCTTACTCCTTGTACACACATATGACCTTATAGTGTGGGGGCGACTAAAATGCTTGGTTTGTGCTCATGCTGTCACACAACGTTCTTGCTCTAAGGATAAGCCTAAAAATTCATGCATGTCCATATTTCGCTTTCTCGATCTCAAAGGAGTATCTGTATGACTATATACAAAGTGGTGGTAACGTACAGTGTGGAGATAGTCAGCGGATGTGCATAAAATAAGAGTAAAAAAGTCAAATGCAAGAGTTTGCATGTCATATTAAGCTTTGAATTATGCAACAAAGTATTCTTAAAATAAGCTATAAAAGTACAAAAGCTATTGTACCGGAAATGACACACATAGCGTAAATCAGTTGGGCTGAAAGAAAAGTTATCCCAATCAAAAGTTAAAACCTACAGTGCATCCTTCACTTAGCCCGAGTAAGGGCAGAGTCCGCTTCTTAATTTTTGTCTGAATTGACCAAACTACTAATATTCTGTAGTGGGGATGGTCGAATGTTAGTTACCAGGACCAGTGGGGCTTGCTTATTTCGAATCTTAAACTCCCAAAGTCATATTTGCTGCGCAGAAGTAATTTTTAGCCTCCATACCAAATTTCAACCGAAAATTGCAGCTTTTAAAAACGGTATGGGTCACCCCTAAGGGTAGCTCTGGTTCAGTGGTTCCCCTCTAACGTTTCGCAGACACACAGACACACATACATATCGGTTCCATAAGCCCTGACTCGGGCTAAAAAGTTATGATAGCCATACATATATGATCAATCTAGGACTAAAGATTGTTAATGTAGAACTAAAATGTGTATGTATCACTTTCGCATTGGATATGTAATGGGCTAAAATAACAAAATTGCATTCTTTTATTTTCAGCAATGGCGAAAATAATGAACCAATGTTCTGTCCGAATGATGATAACCCTTGTGATAGCTGCATTCCTCACATCACAAGTTCTCGTGACGGTCAGTGCAAGATATTTGCCCACGAGAAGCCAAGATGACCGTTTAGAGAAGTTGCGAGAGCTTCTGCGAGACGTAAGTGCCCAAAATGAATTGACCCAACACGTGATTTTATACAGGTTTTTATTATTTACTACATTTTAATACCGAGCCAAGCTTAAACAATAAAAAACATCAGTCAGGAAGTAATTCCAATTTCTCATTAATAAAGAATTAACAGTTTCTTATTCAAAATATGTTGGATAACGAAAGAGTATTTTTACAGAAATAATCTGAATATAATAAAAAAAACTTTTGAGATCTACGCAAGGGCTAAATTGGTACAAGTCAGCCATTATTCTAGTACAATACAGTCTTCTTCTTGTGAATTTTCCATCAAACTTTCAATATTGCGGATGCGGATGAAGCCATCTTCGTTTTGGGGGTCCACGCCAATCTCACGAGTGCCACCACTATCCGTTGTCTTATCATTTGTAGTAATATCCTGGACACTCGTAGCCTTCTGTTCACCTTCAGGGCCCTGCTCATCAACAACACTCTGAGGCATATCACAATCTGCAAAATGATGAAAGTTTGCCTTTAGATTTTGAACAAATTAGGAAATTGCAGTTAAATAAGCTGAGACCAACAAACATACCATCATTTGATCCACTCAAGGGGCAATCCGTCTGGTTCTCTAGTACAACCACTTCTAAAACCACTAATGGTTCAATTGCTTGAGTGTTACTCTCATCATCATCATCATCATCATCAATGGTTATCACAATTGGAGGGGATTTGTTCAATCGACTCTCAGAACTGAGAGAATTTACATCTTTTGCTGCATTTTGGCCCAGATTCGCCAGATTGGCATTCCTACTTTCCTGTCTTTGCCACATTTTCTCCAACGTACTCTGGCCTTTTGGTAAGACTAAACTGCCGTTCAGTTCAATAATTTTTTTTTCAATTGTGTCACGTGTGCCAGGTTTCGTTTTGTCCTTATTGGCCTCCCAATATTCGGAGGCTTCCATCCTGCTGACATGAGCTGATTTAATATAAACATAAAAACAAATTAAAAAATATTTCATTTGCAACATTTGATACATACCTTTAGCATAAAATCATACAATCTGTAAGTATCAGTACCTGGCGAATGAGGATGTGCTGTGCACCACGCATTATACAGTTGATTGTAAAGCTCATACGTTGATGCTATCGGGGCACTTCTTTTCTTCTCGTCTAGAAAAAATTATCAAGGATTAACACACTTGTATGAAATTATAGAATTTAGAGATAAATAAACAGAAATTCGAGGGGGCAGAAGAATATATTCGAATCGTAAGGGAAGTCAGTTTTGACGACTCCAGAGGATTGGATGACATTTGGTATGCTCACCTGATAAGCGTCTGTTATGATTTAAAACAACTGGAACTTTATCTGACATGATGGAGAGCGTGGAGAGCCGAATTGTCGTCTACTTTGTTTTTGTCTTGTTGTTTTTCCTGCTGACTTGATACTGTTCCTTCCTCGTCCTCCCACTTAACTAATTGGGGACAAGTAAGACTAGGCCTGAAATCACCCCAACTTGCAATAAATTGACACACTGCAACTCCTTACGTAATATTTGAATTGTTTTCTTCACAGCTATTGGAGGGGGACCTTGAAAGGAGACCTGCGACCTCGGGGGTCGACTACGAGATGATGGCGCAACAGGGACGTCCTCCAGTTTACAAAAGATCCACAAACGCCTATACGGATTTGGATGCTGCTGCTGCTGCTGGGAAGGTTGGACCCAACTTTCTCCACCGGATTGTCCCCAACCTTCGCAAGTCGCTGGACTAGAGAGCGATGACGACACGTAGTAAATGACGACAAAATTCGTGGAGCGAGTGGAGAATTTTACAAGATTTCAGATATTGTTTTTTTGTGCATGTGTCCTTCAAAAAATCCATGCGTCGTAAAATATGATTCTAATTGTGTATCGCAAACCTTGTAGTTTAATAGATACATACATGTTATGCATACGTAACTAAGGATTGCTGTTTATATCGATTTCAATGGAGGCAAGTTGACACCCTTTTCAACTTGTCTCACCAATTCTCATCAAATCTGTTATAGCTTACACCGAGTCTTGGAATTCTGCTATTTTCATTTTCTTCCTTGTCGGACTCCTCAATAATTATTATAAACATGATTATTTAGAATTACGTAATCTTCGTATAACTTACCATCTTATGCACTAATGTCACTCTTTTAGTACATGCATAAATAAGCGCAAATAGCGAAATCTTACTAATAATTGTATTTACTTGTTACTCCTTTACATTCACACTTCATTGATCAAGTCTTACTGGTCTGTCCAAGTAGCGACCAAATAATATTTTGCCTGTCCTTTTCACTGTAACTGAATAGAATTGAGAGTAAAAATAACTATAAAAGTAATTGCTTATATTAATGTTCACTTTAATGAAAAAAAAACTGTTCCATCTCATTTATCAGTTTCTCTGAAAGGCAAACAATGCACCGTAAGGCTGGAATGAATATTCGCAAAAAATAACGGTGCTTTATTTGCTGGTACTCTTACATGTTTTTCATTTTGACGTACAACAACATTGTTTTACCAGGTTGGGAGCCTGTTGTTTGCATAAATGTTGGTTGTTGTTGACAGACTATCGGGAAACTACAGATAATTCACAAGCAAAAAACTAGTAGTAGTAAGTAGTAAATACTATGATTAGATTGTCTCATTTTGTCACTTCATTATGGATAAAATAGGCTAAAAATAACCACACTCACCAGCTAAACTAAACTATAGCAAGCTGTGTGTTTGATTAATTGATTCGCTGTAATAACGATGTATATCTATGTACATGTATGTTTATCTATAAGTGTACATTCAACATTTTATGTTTGTACTTATTATGTAACAGAAATATCTTAATGTTAAATTGTCACCTAGTTGTTGGTTGTAATTATTGAATTGCACAATTTTATGTTAGGCAATAAACGTGGATTCATTCATGTGAAGTTATGTTTTCATGCAATCATTTCATTCCTCTTTATTTGAACTTTTTGGAAACAAAAAGGTCGTCAGCGGGGAGAATTTACCTGGGGAAATGGACTTTGTGATTATGGTGAAACTACAGGTATAAATACCCCATGAAAGTTGATTATCTGAAAGGATGGAATTCTCCAACTTTCACAAGTCTTCCGACCGCACTTTGCAGAGTCATCTCATTGTACTGCGTATATATGCAAACACCAATTTAGCGTATCCGTGTAGGTGTCCGGAACCGGAGTATGATTAAGAATGCATCAAAAGTAAAAGGATATCCGTTTCTGGGTTAATGGAACAGACTTCACACGGTTTTGTTCCTGCATGTATTTTAGACTTTGATGGTCATATTTGTCTTTCTCGCCTACATAAAGATAGATTGAGCATTTCTAAATGCGTCTGTCTAGTCAGTAGCATATTAATACAGATGCATATATATGTACATATTTACATATAAACCATGATTGAATGGGAGCGACATGACCCTTCACTTTCACGTAAAATACCGCTATCTTGGCACAACCTAAACCTTTCGTGTGATCTAGGAATGTCATCCAAAATAGAGCACTAGAGATTTGACCTATTAAATAAAGTATGTAGCCTACAGCCTGTACAAAGTGAGTGTAAATAGTATTGCATGGATGCACTACTTCATGCACAATTCATCCATGCAATGTCCAGAGATCTGAATCTTGGCGCTTTTGTCGAGTATATAAATACGGCTGAAATCCGTACTCCAGGTTTATTCTTGGATTCCTTCGACATCAAACAGTGATCTCGGCGAGGGAGAAATTGATAGCATAATGGATTTGAAGCAGGTATGTAACATTACACATAATTCATAAATGTATGCAAGTAAAATTTGTAGTGATAATAATATTGTTGTGGCTTTCGATTTCAGATTTTGTTGGGAAGCTTGGTGCTTGGCTTTCTTGGGGTCGTAGTTTCTGAAGAATCCAGTCTAGCCCAGCAGCCACTCAAACAATTTCAAACTACCCAAGCACTCGCTCCCCAAACTGCCCAGAAAAGATTTGACTTGTGGAAGAAAGAGAAGAAAAACGGCGGAGGGGGTGGTGGAGGAGGCGGTGGGTGGGGTTCAGAAGTGCCGCCATCCATGCCTGGGGGATTTGGAATGTATCCACTGTGGAAGTTTCACAAGTTTGACGGCTTCTCCCTTCGTCCAGTTCCCATTCAGCTCGACATTGGTCACGGAATCCCGGCCCTTCCTCAATCCAATCTCCCAGCCTACCAAAGTGCAAGTGGGTGGGGCAGTGGAGCTCAACAGTCGTCGTACGGTGGGGGACAACAAAGCAGCAGCGGTGGATACGCCCCAGCCGGAGGTTATGGACAACAACAAAGCAGTGGATATGGACAGCAGAGTGGGGGTGGATATCAATCATCAGGAGGTTACAACAACCAAGCTCCAATCACCATGGCTTATCAAGCAGCCCCACAGCCCAGCTATACTCCAAGCTATCCTCAGCCAGCTTATGGTGGCAATAGTCAACCAAATTATGGACCACCCCCTCCTGCTCAACCTAGCTATTCAGCCCCACAAACACAGAGTTATTCGGCCCCACAAACACAGAGCTATTCTGCGCCAGAAATGAGCTATGGGGCATCAAATGCTCAGCCTGTGGCAACAGTTCCAGGTTTGAAACATTAAATTTTGCCACACACTTTGTATTTCAAGAATTGTTGCAAATGAGTGTCAATATGTATGCGTTTTAACATTATTTTATTTTCAATTTACAGGGGGAAACAGCTTCGGAGCTCAGGGCCCATCGTATGCTGCTGCTGCCTTTGAAGGAAACAGTCCCTACGGAGGAGTCTCTGACTTGTCAATGCCATCCATGGACACCAATAATCAAGGAGGATATATGAAGAGGTAATCAATCTGGAAAACAGTTGCGAATTGTTATCTATGTTAAACTACGAAAGATTGAACCGTCTTTACCTCATGGTCTTATTTTCTCTTACAGATATTATAACAGAGACAGTGATAGCAGCCAACAACCCACAAGTTCAGTTGGAGAAAATGAGAATGATGCTCAGTAATGAATCTCGCCCTTAACTAAATTATTAACTATTATAACTAAATTATTTTTGAGGGTACTAAAATTTAGGTGCATTACTACACAAATGGTCTTGTCTAATTTGTTAATTTATGACTATATAAATTATTTTTACGCAAGCTTGTGTACACTTTGAGACAAGTTCAAGTAGACGAGTTCAATAATTCAATAAGTATGCATTGCTATCTTATTGAAGTTTGTGAAGTATATGAGAATGATTGCATTTATAATTATTTTTATATGACCCTATAATAAAGACGAATTTTATACTAATCTCAATCACTTTCACTCTTTTTATTTTCATTCTAGTCACCCGACTAATAACTACTTCAAGCATACAAAATATTACAACTAAAGTTGTGTCGTAGATGATTTACTATAAATGACATTAGGTAAAATAATTGCCATGTATTGACCTTGAAGATACCATTTACACTACATTTTCAACCACAAAATGCATTTTCACAAGCAATGGCAAATTGCTAAGAAAAAGATGGTACAATAATATTGCAACAAGATTGCTTTAAACCTGTTTGAAGAAAAATTGCTTTCGATTTCAATTTTGTAGAGTTATATGATAAGATGCATTAAATCTCTTTTTGATAAGTGGCACACTTTTTAAGTAACCAGCTCCTGACACGTATGATGTACATAGGGCGGATATGTATGTACTTAAATTCCTCAAAATATGTATGTAATATGTGCTTAAAAAACAGGAAAATATGCATATAAAACATATTTGTCTATTGCAATTTTCTACTGTATTTAAATTTAATTGTCCAAAACTTTCAACTTTTTAACACTCTTATAAACGAATTATTAAATATATCATTTTAATCTTCATCTAATGACCCATAATGCGACATTAGTTACATTTGGAGATTTTCAGGGGTAATTTTTTGACTTGAAAAATGGGGCAAACTGGATTTTCTAGTAGTTCACATGAAACCACCCTCATGATTATCATGATAATCTAATTTTGACAAAACTTTAATTTCTCAATAAAGAAAAATATTTTCACATTAAAAACCTCGAAATATGTATTCAAATATTTATTTTTAGAAAAAGGCTCGAATATGTAGGAAAATATGTGTATGTGCGAAAAATAACTCAAAATATGTATGAAAATATGTATATGTACGAAAACCCTAAAATATGTGAAATATGGAAAACAATGTTTGAATTTTTGAGATCACGCTTCGATGGGATGACAGTACACAAAGCTTTAGTACGATCTGATTTGATATGAAAAAGTTAGAAATACATATGTACATATCCGCCCTCTGATGATGTACTTTCCAAGTGATGCCATGATTCTACAGAGGTAAACTCGAGATTTATATGTTCATTTGTCAAACTGACTACAAAATCAGGCTCAAAATCAAGATCTAATTCCGGTTCAGTCTCATAGAAGGAAGATTACAAACTAAAAAAAACAATAAAACTGGTTCAATATCTAAAATAAAACAGACAAAAACCTTCAAATGTTCAATTAATATAACTGTACTACCACATAAAAACTGCTGAAGATTACTTTTTTAGCAGAGAGATGTCAAATGCATGATATTATAAATGGTAAAAACTAACTATGTGTGTCAAAAACTACGCATGGTTGAAAGACTGACAAATCCAACGAAATATGCGAAACCCACTATGGGTTACTCTCTAACAGAGCAAACTCTGACAAGTGGATTTTATTTCATGCAAATATATTTCATGCAAAGCATTTTCGATACAACAAACTTGTAACTGATTTCAAAGTGTTATGAAAGGATACAATCACAAAGTTTAGAAACTAAGAAACTAGAAGGAAAGCACTAAAATATATATGTATATTGGCAACATTTATATTTCTCCGCAGAACGTATTCAACCTTTTTCAACGTTCGTTAACATAAAGATATTAGTAATAACTGATTATTTGGTCCTATGCATTATTCTAATCATTGCGGCAAATTTATGTCCAACGACATAATTTTGACTTCATCTTCGACCTCGATTCCTAGTTTGACCTTGTGGCTTTTGCTAACGTAAAACTTAAACGTTATGATATACCATCCAAGCTTATAGAGAGGTATCGAGATGACGAGGAGACGGACAGACAAGATGGTTCCATAAGCCCTGGTTCGGGATAAAAATTATGTGGTTCTCATAAAAGTTAATTCCACATTGTCCCATCCTCACAGGCTCAGACGATCTATTCCATCCAATTCCAACTTACAAAATAACACACATGAACAGCGTAGATATTTAATTATTAATGATTCTTCATCAATGGACAAAGGAAGTTTGTACTTTTTTATTAAAACATTAATGCGAATGTGGAGAGAACTTGAACCTCCGAGTCTTGACTTTTTTTAATCCGCACAAAGTTTCAACTCGGATAATAATTTTTTTATATTATTAGTCACGCCTTATTACACCTAATGAGGGATGAGGCGTGAGTTTTTGTAATGAAAGGGAAACTACTCGTTTCGCGAGAACAAAATTCTGCAGAAAAATGTGCCTCGTTTAATAAACTACGGTCTAATGGAAAATTCATGCAAATGATCTGTCGTGTTATATATCTAAAGTCAGTTTAACTGTTGACTTTCACCTTTGTGTTGTCGAAAACTAAGTACACAATGTGTACGACACATGTATGTGAAGGCTTAATATACAAACTGGTTTTAAGTCATTTTAAACAGGTGCATTCATTTATTTATGATGATTTGGTTCGTGCGTCTGCTTGAGGAAGTATTTAGAAAATGTGTTATTCTTCCATAAGCCGAATGCATGCACTTGCTAGAAACAAATTATATACGATATTATCACGAGCGAGGTGTCTATTTCACGAAATTACATTTGCAACCGTAAGATTAGAGATGCTGGTATTAAATTTTATATCAGATTAATGGCAATCCGTCGCAAGATGATAATCCTTCTTTGTCAGGCAGCAGGTGGGTAACAACGCAGGTCTTATCTTAATACCAGTTTGATATATACTTTGAGGACTGATATTCTATAACCTTGCGTTTCTCTTGTGTGTTTTTATGATCTGCAAATCAGAATAACTTTGAGAAAAATGTGTTAATGTGACTCTTGGAAAATGTGACGCTATACTTTCTGTTTTTTTTAAGTAAATGCAAATAACGGTGTGCAGCATTAAGACAATTGAAAGTTAACCCAAATCATATGCAGACTTTTCATAGAAATGCAATATTGATTTCATTTATTCTATTTTCTAACTTTCCACTCTCGAAATTTCTCTGATAATTATAATAAGGTTTAGGTTTCGCATAAAGTGATGTGATTAAATAAAGTGAAACCACACGTGAATTTTGTATATTTATATATTTTTATTATTTTCGATTGACTTACAAATTGATTGATTGACTTACTTTGTATTCAATCCATCATATATTTTGTTTTGTTAAATACGAGCATAAATGGGAAGCTAAGAGGCGAGAATAAAATTTAAATATTTATTTTTGGGGGAATATCATAAATAAAATATGTACGACCAATATCGTTCAGCCCGTTGCATTTTTAAAATAAATGCAATCCTTCGATTATACATTTGTTCAGAGTGACCCTGCTTTTAATTCTGCTCCTTTGAATAATTTTGAGATGTCTCAGATTAAAATACTATTCTGGTAATCAAGACTGCCATTTCCTGGCTCACAAAAAACGAAATATCACACCAGACTCTTAAATGGTATCAAGAATGGCAGATTTCGCTTAATTCCTTTCTCCGAGAACCTTTCAGAAATCAAATCCAACATTTCTTAACAATGAAAAATAATAATTTAAGTATTTTGGCTTGAAGCTATCTTCATAAATAATTGTGTTGACATGTAGGAATTAGTTAGTAGGCTGGACTTCCGTACTCTTGACCTGGAGGACCATATTCACCTCCGTTTCCAATTCCGTTTCCGCCATGACCAATGTCTCCTCCACCAGCTCCGTATTCGACTGAAGGCCCGACACCACCTCCGTCGCCAATTCCTGGAGTCTTGTAGCGAATAAAGTACACCTCTGGTTTGGACGGTCTGGTTGGAGGAGGAGCTGGGATCTTGATTGGTGGCGCAGGTTCAGGCTTCTTGACTGTTAAGATTTAAAGATGTATTTAAATTTAAAATTAAAAATATACATGCATTTTTTATTATGTCTTTACCTAAAACATAGACCAGCGTCTTGGTCTCTGGTGGGGGTGGAATGTTAATTTCTGGGATTTCTGGGGGTGGAGGAGTTGGGGCTTTGATAAAGATTATCTTGTAATGTTTTTGAGGGGGAGGTGGTGGAATAAATGGTCTTCTGGGTCTGGGAACGTTTGGCTCTGGGGGTGGGACATGCACATAAACCTACAAAAATTAAGGATATACATTGAAAATGTATTGTTTTATTTAAACTATAATAGAAAAAGAAAATGACGGAATTTAACCGTTAAAATTTTAAATTACATGTTTATGCACCACTGGGGGTGGCCCTCCGCCACCTCCACCGCCAAATCCACCCGGACCTCCTGGACCTGGGCCCCCATACCCTCCAGAATAACCTCGATGGGGGTCAGAATATGAAGGTACCCCGAAGGACGCTTGGGGTTGTGGTTGTTGAGAATTTGTAGAATATTGTTGTGGCTGAGCTTGAGTTGATTGAGTTTGATATTGCTGCTGCTGATATTGTGGAGCTGCTGTTACCAGCATCCCGAAAGATGCTAGTACCTAAATGGAATGAAATATTGAAGGTAACTGCAAACTAAACCACATAGTTCACGAAATACAAAATTTGTTTCACAAAACTTACCGCAAGGACTTTCATTGTTTCCACAGGACTATAATCAGCAAAATCAGATCAATAGAATCCAAAAGTGTAAAACAATTTTTGCGAGTTTGAGACCTTTTCGTTTGATACGTTCAGTACAACAATCAAAACATAACTCAATGACTGCAGGTGACCAACTTCCCTTTTAAAGCTTGGCTGAAGTCAGCGTCCACGCCAACACAGAAGACGAAGGAGCTTCCGACAACAATTGGATGAACCATAATGCATGCATGCAATACCGGTATATAACATGCAGAGTGATAAATATGGTAAATACTGAGTAAGAGCACATTCGATTTCAATGAAGGGAGTTAACTTCTTACTCTTGATCTCGACTTAAAAAACTAAACCAGTCACTTTTAACTATTAACTTGAGTCCATACATCTTCACAAAAAAACACCACTGCTTGTGACACAAAGAGTTTAATGGAATAATCTCACTTTTACTCGAGACATTTGATATACTAAACTCACAATTTTGTACCTTTTTCTACATCTTGAAGCAAAATTAGTATGCAATATGAACTCTGCATTCAAAATCTTGTTTTATCAAAAAAACACAACTTTTGTTTATCTTGTAAAGTTGGTCATGTTACTTTTACTTTAGCCCATCACGTCTTATCATACACATTATGCTACATATTAAAAAAAAACTATTTACCAAAACTTCAATTTCTACTATCATTAACCGAGTTTTTTATCAACTACTAAGCAAGGTAGTCACTTAATTATTTTATTATTTAACTTAACATGAAGTTATGCATGTACCTCCCTCACGAGCGAAATGCAGTATTATGACCCACGTAATAATAATTGGTACGTACAACGTTGACAATATGAGTGATCATATATAAAAAAAAATAGTGTTGTGGTAACTAGCCTCATCGAACCATAGTGCTCAAGAAAAATCCCCCTTCCCCAAATGTTAGTTATAAAATTATAACTAACGCCAAGCTTCTATTTGCGCCAAGAATTATCACGCCGCCGAAAGTAGTTAAGAGTTAAGCCAAAAATTTTTCATTGGTTCATTGATTTTTAATTGGCATGCAGTTTTTGGTGACATGTCACAGAAATTTTGTAATTTGTAGTATGTATATATATCTGCTTAATTTATTCATTTTTAATTTCGTTAACGAAACAAGCCAAGAGTACATGAGACAGTCTTAAAACAATCATTATATGAATATAAAGTGAATAACAAATTAACAATGCTAATAATAATGGTAAAAACATTGTGAGCCCAATGGTTAAAAAATGTGTCTGTCATTAATTGGTTCATCGATGATCTTCATTGTCGCCTGCGTATTTTAGTTGTTGAAGAAGCAACGCTCTCTGTTTCTCAAGTTCACTTTCCGAAAGTTCATTTGTATCAATACTGCCGTCACGTCTATGTCCAGATGATGATGTTTTTAAATCGCCTTTATTTTTATCCTTTTTCTTGGAATCGGTATCTTTCTCCACCCAAGACTCCAGGGAACTGTTACTCTAAATAAATCATCAATATCATCAGAATATAAAAATCAGAGCCATAGATTATGAGAAGGCAATACAAATTCATTATTTAGCAGAGAAGCATTAATAAAGATATATGAATACATGAATTTTTCATCTAAAAGCTCAATAGTGGCACAGAAACGACTGTACAACAAACTGCTAGTGTTTCTACAAGACCTACTAAACTAGCTAAAATAATGTAAATGCATTCAATTTTAATTGAACCCAAAAGATAGAGAAAGAGAGATGAGTTAATTTGTATAGCAGTAATACTAATGTTATATTGAAAAAATAGGATAACAAAAACATCAAGTTACAGAAGATCTCTTTTTTGACTTTTTCTTCTTCGCCTTCTTCTTTTTCTTTGACTTTTCTCGTAATTCAGAATCAGAACTAATAGATGATCGGCTTTCTGATCTTGACCGAGAAGATGATCGTTTTCTATTCTTCTTTGACTTTTTCTTTTTCTTCAGGCTTTCATCCAGCTCGACAACCTAATAAAAACATATAAATGAAAATGAACAATAAAAATGTTTCGATATCTATCAATTAATTGCCTGCATTGATAGATTAATTAGTTAGTTTGCTGCAAAAAATTGCCCAACTTACAGGAGAGTGAGACTTTGAGCTATCTGAAGAAGAAGCCCTCTTTTTATGCTTCTTTGCTTTCTTGGTCTTTTTTGTAGAATGATGGTGATGGCCACAAGTTTCATCCATTTCATGAACATATTCCTATTCAAGGTAAAAAGTTTACTATTAAAAAAATACGCCCAATAGCAGAGGAGAGATAACAATAAGCCAAGAAATACCTCAAAAACCTTTTGACAGTCGGCTTCACTGTCAAATGCTTTGAATTCGACAGTATCAATAACCTTAGAACGAATATCATCCCAAGTAGTTTGATAGTCAACTTCAAATCCTTTTAAACTTGCAATTAAATCTAGACCGAGCAATTTAAGTTTCTTGGTATGCTCCTTAACTTTCTCCTTTGCTTTTGCCTCAGCCTGTAAATAATTAATTACGTTTTTTTAAAAAAAAACAAAGATGACTACTATGAAATCATTTCATTACTAAATATATCTGTAGCTGTGCAAACCCTATGTTGTATGTAAGGCATAATAAATACCCTAAGATAAATATAGTATAGTATATCTTATTCCATGTGCAAACCTTTTCGAGGAAGGAATTAAATGTAAGTTTAACATTGCCTGCGTCCAACGTTGCAGCTCGTTTGTCTTCGCAAACAACTGTAGCAAATTCTTCAAATGTTGTCACTTCCTAGAATTATTAACCTTAAGTTTTATAACTATTGTGTAATATATATCCAAAACTCAATAAAAAATTAGTACCGTCACATCAAAACTTTTGCCACGTAAAATTTCTCGGATTATTTTTTTCTCGTCTTGATAGCGAGATTTTAGATCCTCAACCTGGGTATAAGTAAAACTAAAGTTTACAACAGAAATACAAAGCTCATAACCGAAATTATATAATTATTACTTGTAAATTAAATTCCCCTATAATAAAGCATTAATTAGAATTCTTTTACTTACGTAAAATTTGAACAAATCTAAAGGACTTGAGCCGGGTTGACCAAGCATTTGTGCGAAACGGGCGTCAGAACTAATAATTGGATACAACTCAACCCACAAAGACATAGATGTCAATTTCCCGTGATCATGAAGCTCATCCAACAGTTTAATAAACCCGTCTCTATTTTTACGTTCTATTCGGCGCTTCCTTTTCTTTTCTTCTCCGCGTTCTTCCTCCTCTTCTTTCTCTTGTTCTTTAATATGCTTCTCAAACACGATTAAGGCATCCTCTTTGTCCATTGCTGGACATATTATGAAATGCAAGAATAAATTAATTTAGTTTGCACAATTAATAATATACACATGATTATAGTTTTTATTCACAGTGCATACCTAACAGCTCTCGATCCTGGAAAAAGGCAGAGTTTTCTAATAATAGTTGTTGAGCTTCCTGCCATGTAGTCTGGTATATGATGGATGTCATCCCCTCTAATAATCCAGACAACTTTTTCATGTTTCTCTTCTTTGTCGTTTTCCCTTCTTCTTTCTCTTTCTTTGCAAGGAGCTGGATTGGGGATATTGTAAGATAAGATTAATAATTAAGATAAGCTGTATTTCAGAACGTTAATATAAACTCACCTGTATTGCATCTTCATAAATATCACGTCTATCAGCATCAGGTACCTAAATCAGATATTGATGCTATGAGGATTTACCAAATACTAACTATATAATTCCAATAATTTTGTAATGCCTTTCGCCAGATATCCATTGTTCCAAATAGTTCTTCACAGCGATAGTACTTTGTTATGCTCGTCATTTTATCATTTTCTAGCAGGAATTTTTCGAGTTCCTCTTTAGCTTTTTTGACTTTTTGTCGAGCATCTTCCCTTTCATCTTTCTGCTTCTGAATTTTATAAGCGTTGAAGGCTTGCTTTCTTTCATTATTTTTTTCAAACACTTTAAACCTGGGATCTCTGCATATAAGTTTGCTCGCCTGCTCCCATGATGCCGTACTATGTACATTCTAAACAAATGAAATAACTATAATAATGTGATTGTTATGATATATATAGACTATTGTTAATAACAACAGTACCGTGCAAGTAGTTAACGACTTGTACCTTTTCCCGAAGCAGTTCTTTAAATATTTCTGTAGCCTCTTTTTTGTCTTTAACCTTGGGAATTTCGTCCTTTTCTTGTACTTCATCCTCGGAACTTGAATCTCCTCCAGATTCGTCGCTCTTTCCTGCCGATGTCTTTGTGTTATCATCCGTCAAGGTACTCAATCTGCTAGTTTCGTCTAGAACAGCAGCATCCAAGCTTGATGGCGTTGAAACTGCCAGTCTACAAAATCATATACATTTTTTAAGAAACATTGCACCAAAGTGAACATGTATACTTGAGGATATTTGTCCAATTATAATTATTACGGGGGAGCATTCATGACGATTGCAGGAGGTAATCCTTGAGGAATAATCATTCCAGGAGGGAGTCCAGGCATTGGAATATGACCAGCGCCAGCAATTGTTGGGGGGATAGAAGGGACAGCAGTTTCCATTGCGAGTTGTTTCTTAATTTCATCTAACTCAGCCGGGATAGTCCATTTACTTTCCTTTGTGTTGATATTATGATAATATTTTTTGCCAGTATCAGCAGTATATTCCTTCCAGGGACATTGAGACAGTAGTCTCTAAACAATCAAAGGGGTAATTCACTTTAAAAAAATTCAGCATAACCACTTTTTAATTTATTGTCATACCTCTGTTGGCGATTTCATTTCCTCTGGCTTATCCCATGAACTTTGCTTAGTTTTGTTATTGTAGTAATAAGTCCGACCATCAGGAGCGGTATGATCTGACCAGTCACAAGTAATGTGAGATGATGCTCCGTTGTTAGTTGCAACAGGAACAAATCCAGGCCTGCAAATTTCACATTACACCCAGGTCAAAATGTGGTTTAAGGTATATAATGAATATCAAATATCACGTTTACATTGTTGGAGGAGGGATTGACAATGGTATCCCTTGCGGTAAGGGCATCCCTGGCATAAATGGTGGCATCCCGAACATGGGTGGCCCTGGTGGAAGACCGGACATGGTTGAAATATTTTTGACACTCTGCATAATAAAACAGTTTAAATGCATAAATGTTTAATTTGATTCATTCGCCTAATCAAATCGGAGCCAAGGCATATATAGCCAAGCACGATTGCTTGACTTTAAGTATCTAGGTAACGTTAGTCTCCCTTAAGGGTAACTAGGCACTAAAAGTCAAGCAATCGTGATAGCCAAGGTTTATACAGCAAAGCGATAACCACAATTGAACCAACTTTGATTCGTTGTCATAACATAGGTACATAAATCTATACCATAAAATTCAGTCTAGAGGACAGACTGAAATAAGTTGATTTTCTGTCAAAATGCCCATTGAACTTCAAACAATTTTTTGCAAATAAATTCAATTTGCAAGTTTACTTTATTTTTCTTTGAGATTGAAATTCGGGTTTGTCTTTAAGTCATAATATAACCTAAAGGCGGAAGGCGTCTATACTTTATTCGAGTGATACTTATTATTAATAAGTCATAATTCTCCTGCTTGTTCCCAACGTCGATGCAAATTTAAAATACATATTACGAACTCAACTTCAAACTCTGGATCGTGCTCTCTCCCATCTTTTAGCTTTGCGGAATTAAATCAAAGCACAAGGTACTATTATTAATATAAATTTAATAAATGAATAATATAGTTTATAGCTGACAGCAATTCTTTGCACTCGGGCACAGCAGCGGTGTCATTAGTTAGCGATCTATATTATAGATTCTATAATTGAGGCTCAATATTTCCTGAAAACTTGGCACAAACAGGACAGATTACAGACTAATTTACAGTCTGTAATCTGTAATTTACAGATTAATGAAACGAAAAACGAAATGAACTCACGTCAGAACAAGAATGTGAGAAGGGTTGTCATCCGGCGGATTTTGTCAGTTTTTCCATTGAGCAACTTTTGCACCTTACATATCCTTAATTAAACTTATGTAGAATTATTTACTTTGAATGTTTTGAAAATTATCCTACGAGAACGAGATTGCAATTTTCAAGCCGGATTTTGAATGAGACTTGGGCGCCTGCTGGCACAAGGAAAACGTAGACATAGAGGCCATCTGTTTTTAAGTCCGGCATTTTATTGGCATCCATCTACCCTTCACACGAGGTCAAAATTTCGAAAACCAAAAAATAGACATTTTCGTAAAGCTTCTTATTCCACAAGGGAACAGGAAATTTAGTTTAATTTTGACAGGAAACGTGTGGGGGCCCCTGAATTGTACGAGGTGTGGTTTTTGTGTAGAGTAGAGGTCGCTGCGGCTGATCACAGGACTTGGCTGGAGATATTCTTCCATCACTTTTCTGAGTGAAACGAGAGAGAGAACCCGGTTGGCCAGCAGAAGAGACGACGAGAGGTAAGATCTTAACATCGGCAGCCATCATTTAAATAATTGTGTCCCCCACGACCTTGCCTCCCATTGACCGCTCGTAACTTATTGTTTTGTAGGTTACAAGTTCCCGAACATCATCATCACTGCCAACCGTTTATTTTCACTTCACTCACCATGTTGAGCACATTGCGTACCGGTTTGGGTGGAGTGTTGAGAAAGTCCTCGTCCCTTCTGGGTGCAGATGCCCCACGAACATCATCCGTCATCCTGAACAAGGACTGTAAGTTCACCAATACAACAAGCCTAATATTTAGTCGGCAAGTATAGTTAATCTAATTGAGTGGTCACAAGATTCATTTTTCGTGGTCAGTTCAGTAAGTTGGCCAATTTTCAGGTCACTTTGTTGAAATCATTTAATAGACTCTTTTGAACTTTTAGTTTCAATATATAAGTTGCATTTCTTTATGGGCTTGTTTGCTACACAACTATTTAGGAATTTTATTTCATGCTACAAATACAATGTAGATTTATAATAATTGGGGGTTAAATTACTTTACTTAAAAAGCTTTGCTTTTTTAAACAAATGTTTATTACGCATTTTCGATCGATCTAATTTCAATTTTATAATGGTGTAAATCTTTAATAACAACTATTATGAGATCGCAATAATTTTGCAAGCAGTGTATATACAAAATATAAAAGAGTAACAATTGTATTTTATTCATGATTTTACTATGCAGTGTGTTAGTAGTAGCTTTTGTGGGATTTGTCATTTTTATTTTATTTATACAGCTTATTTATTATTTGGAGTTCGAGATTATTCAGGACGATTGTGGTATGCAACCAGTGCCCCGCCTTCCAGCAAAGCCCCCTCACCACCAACGCCGAAACCTGGTAGTCCTCCTCCGGCTAAATCCTCTGGTGGCCCTCCATCAGGTCACTAACTACTACTAACTAGTACTACCAACATCAGCTAACTATCAACATTATCACTTTATTCGTGCTTGGGTGAACCTACTTATGTTGTTGAGTACTTTATATTATTTTTGCTTTATACTAATCAGACTAAAGACGGAAATTCTAGTCATCATGAATCGGTTTTCTCACCTGAAATTCTAAACAAGCATTTGTGTGACATAAGAAACCATTGTTGAAATTAAAGTCAGTTAACCATAAAGTTAGTTAGTTACCCATGCTGATTCTTAGGGCGACAATACTGCCCCGATATGAGTGTTAATCAACTTGGAAGCAGTTCAACTTTTGTATGTGATCTCTCTATTTATAGCATTAGTAGAGTATCGCTTTACGAGTTGTGTTAGTTTGCTTGTGACGCGACTGAAGGATGAATAGTGCAACTAATGTATGCAGATTCACTCTGCCCATGTGTGAGGATTGACGTAGCATAGAATAGCATTTATCTTATACAGTAAGGCCAGGTGAAGTTAATAGTTGTAAATTATCAAATTATCAACAATGTTGAGTTTTAATTTAAATGAATTGAAGATGAGATCAAATGAAGAAGTGTCTAAACGCTATAATTTTATGATTTGATACGTTTTAGGGGGAAAGAGTGGATTTGCTGCCGCTGCTCCCAAGGGCAAGGGTAAAGGAAAGATTACTGGTAAGTTCCATTAGTTTTAACAGTATGAATTTCTGTTTATTAACAGTCGTATTACATGATTTGGATTTTATTTGTAGCCGTTATTGGTGCCGTCGTTGATGTTCAATTTGAGGATGCTCTGCCTCCAATCCTCAACGCTTTGGAAGTCGCTGGAAGACAACCCAAGTTGATTTTGGAGGTTGCACAACATTTGGGTATGTTTGAAATACTGCTTACTTACCATAATCATCTAATATGGAAAATAACTGGCCTATTTTCAACTGTGTATTTTAGGTGAAAATGTTGTCCGAACAATTGCTATGGACGGAACTGAAGGGTTAGTTCGTGGTCAAAATGTTGCGGATCTGGGATCTCCTATCACCATTCCTGTTGGACCAGAAACGCTAGGAAGAATCATGAACGTCATCGGTAAATGGAGGGTTTATTTTATTAAGTAGTTAATTAATACTTCTTTATATAAAATAGAACTATGAAATGTTTATTTTACGTTCGAATTATTAGGTGAACCTATTGACGAGAGGGGTCCAATAAACACGGATAAATTCGCACCCATCCATGCTGAAGCCCCAGAGTTCACGGAAATGAGTGTAGAACAAGAAATTTTGGTCACTGGAATTAAAGTGGTTGATCTTCTTGCACCATACGGTAGGCGAAATGTATTCGAAGTTAAAATTCATCATTGAAACTCAAATTATCAGAATTGGCCATGAGGACAATAAGGGCACGACCAGTTAGAAGTTTTAAACACTTTCTACAAGTAAACTTAGTCTCGTGGTTCAATAGTATATTGATATGTTTATATTTCATGTTATCTTATTATATAAGGATGCTATTTTTGTATTGTTCCTTCATCTCTGCAATTACCAATGTTTTTATTCCCAACGCTTCTTTTTATGTGCAGTCTTTTTTCACCAAATTGAATAGTTCCTGCTGCTGATCAGTCCAATTTTTAAAAGGTTTTCCGTTTTTCTGTGTCTATGTCGTTGCCAATCGCAAGTTGTTCATCACGGGGGTTTGGTAGAGGACGCCTGATTTGAATGGGTCACTACTCTAATAGGATAGAAACATTTCAATAACATACCCACCCGTGAATTAACAGAATTGTGAATTTATATTTATCAACAATATAATGGTCTTTGTTTTTTTCAGCTAAGGGTGGTAAAATTGGTACGTACAGTCAAATTCCCTCAATACAAAAGTATGACTGGCATAAGTGTAAATTAAATTTTTATTTATTCATGTTGTAAATAGGTCTATTCGGCGGTGCTGGAGTCGGAAAAACTGTGCTTATTATGGAACTGATTAACAACGTTGCAAAGGCCCACGGTGGTTACTCTGTTTTCGCTGGAGTCGGAGAAAGAACGCGAGAAGGAAATGACTTGTACAATGAGATGATTGAAGGTGGTGTCATTTCACTCAAGGACAAAACGTCCAAGGTGAGTTGATACAAGTATAATTAAAAAAGGCACGAAAACTTGAATTTAAAGGACATTAACATGTTTTTACAGGTCGCATTGGTGTACGGTCAAATGAACGAGCCCCCAGGCGCTCGAGCTCGTAAGTAATTATTAGCGTATACCGTGCCTCATCATGAGGCCCTCATGAAGATCAATCGTTATGACTATGACTATTTGAAGGTGTCGCCTTGACTGGACTTACTGTTGCTGAATATTTCCGAGATCAAGAAGGACAAGATGTGTTGCTTTTTATTGACAATATTTTCCGTTTCACTCAAGCCGGTTCTGAAGTGTCTGCTCTGCTGGGTCGTATCCCCTCTGGTAAGATAAGAAAGACGCAATTAGTTTAAATTAGAATATGCATAAGACATCAAGTGAGTAATCTATTTTATTTATTTATTTAGCCGTCGGTTATCAACCTACTTTGGCAACTGACATGGGTAGCATGCAGGAGAGAATTACTACTACCAAGAAGGGATCTATTACATCTGTTCAAGCTATTTACGTGCCGGTTAGTAGTAAGGAATAATAAGAGTGCAGTTGTACATCAATAACTAGGACTTGATTCCATTAGTTCTATCGTAAAATTGTCATTGACACCTTACACTATTTGTTCTGTCTTCAGGCCGACGATTTGACTGATCCTGCTCCTGCGACAACTTTCGCTCACTTGGACGCCACCACTGTGTTGTCTCGTGCCATCGCAGAATTGGGTATCTATCCAGCTGTCGATCCCCTTGGTACGTTACATTACTAAATAATTGCTTATGACAATTGCAATAATGCTGCTTTGTACTTGTAGACTCCACGTCTCGTATCATGGACCCCAATGTCATTGGTGAGTAAAGTATTATACAATCACTATTTTACACAATCGGTAGATTACCAACTAAATTACGTAACGTAATGTTGTCTCAATTTCAGGGCCTGAGCATTACGGAGTTGCTCGAGGTGTTCAGAAGATCTTGCAAGATTACAAATCCCTTCAGGATATCATTGCCATTTTAGGTATGGACTATTTATTTTGAAGGTGATCGAAAAGTTTCTAAATGATAGTTACATAACCATCTTAGGTATGGACGAGTTGTCTGAGGAAGATAAATTAACTGTTGCCCGCGCGCGTAAGATTCAACGATTCCTGTCACAGGTAAATAAACAAAAATAGACTATAAATTTTGTGGTTAATTGATAAAGTATTCTCTTAACTTGTAATTGTGAGCAAAGCAAACTGCTTTATGTCATAGGCAAACAAAGTAGTCAGAGTTAGTTTATAGAACCCGATAGCTGAACCGATCGAGTTCAAATTTTAATATTTTAACCATGTTGTGCATATTGAGTAAAAACACAAGTTAAATTCGAAAACGAGTCAGAATAGGTTGCGTGGGGGTATTCAAGTTCTTCTAAGAGTGACACCTACGATCTGCACTGTAGGTTTTGTAATTTACATTAAAACACTAATCTGGGGAATACGCCAAATTAGATTGATTTTACAAAATATACTCTACGATAATTTAATTCCAATTCTCAGCGAATGTGTTTATATTTTGATTTTTTTATTTCAGCCCTTCCAAGTCGCTGAGGTCTTCACTGGTCATCCAGGAAAATTGGTACCTATTGAGGAAACTATCAGAGTAAGTCTTTCTTTGCATCCTTGCGTGTGTGTTTTTATCATATGAAACGTTTTTTGTGACATAATAATATTATTTTTTAGGGGTTCAAGAAAATCCTCGGAGGTGAAATGGATCATTTGCCTGAAATGGCCTTCTACATGGTCGGTCCCATTGAAGAAGTCGTACAAAAGGCAGAAAAATTGGCGCAGTAAAAATTGCAGAGTCCCAACAGTCTTAATTATCTAATTAAATAAAAAATGATAGTCAATTATACAGAATATTCGGCTCTTAAATTTGTTGATCTTATAGAAGAGTTTCTGTAAACGGTTTGAATAAGCAATATGACATTATGGTTGACTTCAATTTTTGTTAGATGTGTATTGGATCCGGTGTACGTTGGTGGAATGCGTGTGTATGTAATTGCTGGTGATGATTTTTCCCGTCGAGTAGGATGTTATTCGCTAGTTCAATACCCTTTTAGAGAGGCTCTTTTAATAGAACATTCAATTATTGGTTATTCGAAGCGTCAATCTGAGCAAAAGCATTTGTAGGTAATAAGTAACGTAGTAGTTGTACATTTATCGAGAAATTAAAATAAAGTAATATTTAATGTTTTTGGTACTTTTATGTCCAAACTTTTCTACTCGTTATGCATACAACATCATATTTGGATTGCATTTTTGTAATCTATGCAGTTTTCTGTCACTATCATGTTCAACTCGCATGCATGAGATTTTGTAAGTGGCAGACCATTCATTCACGTTGAGATTTGCCCAGTCTCGCACTAACTAACTCGCTCATTGGTGCACTACTGTTTTTCCCTTTCACTTCTGCTCACTATTAATAAATAGTCAACTCTTGAACATTCCTGATTAATCACTAATTGTTGATTAACCCTAATGGTTCGTTTTTTTAACCCATACACAATATCAGACAGGACAATGTGAATATCGGCTCAAAATATCCCAGGACGTTCCGCAGCAGCTGGGCAGAAATGGAATAATTGAATTTTATCACTTGTTGCAGCAGCTGTTCACCACAAAAGTGAGTTGGAAATTTGGAAATATTTCTCAAGATGCAAGAGAGAAAGTTCAATCCGTACAATTTATTAAAATAATTAAGCGTAATTAATTTGGTAATTTTGCTGTCTAATTGCAACTTCTTTGCAGAGTTTAAAATGTTCAACAACACAAATGGTGCTACATTCGCAGAAAAGCTCGGACTGGACTCAGAAGTTCGAGAATTGAAGTTTGGGTCTAGTTTTACTCCTGGAAATCGGGGACAATCAGGAGGCTTTCACTCTATCAAGTAAATATAGTTGTTATTATATTTATTATTAATTAATTAATTGACAATCACTTATTATTTTATCCTTCTCTTAGATATGATTTTAAACCTGCAAGTGTGGACAAATCCAAGACTGCAACGCTGGAAATGGGACCGAGGTAAGTACAAAGAATGGTTAAAGAATTGGTGAAATTACATATTTTCTCTGAGCGTAGTAGCGTAGACTATTTATTAATTATATATTACTTGATGGAAGGATGGACTTGATGCGGCATCGTTAAAATTCTGACTAATTTATAAATTTCATAAATTATGAAATAATATTACTAATGCAAATTATTTAGAAATGAAATGCTCATGATTGAATGATTTGTTAATGGACGGTATGATTTGACGGCTTTTTTATATGCAGTGGACAGGTCACGATATCCATGCCACATTACGACAATACCGGGAGCACTATTTTTAAAGGATCAACGAGACCATACACTAAAGAATGTGTACTTATTATTGATAAACAAACTGGAGAAATGGTTCTAGAGGTAACGTATAGTTTTATAAAAGAGTGTTATTAATGAAGGGCATGAGATCCTCAGTTAATCTTATTCTATGGTTCTAGAAACTATCACACAATGTTCAAGTAAAAAAGACAAGGTGAGTTAGAAAAACATAAAGCTTGTCGTTTAAACTTTTTGATCCTGTGTATAAAACAATATAAATATTACTTATAGGCAAGAGGGGAGTGGTAAAAACTCGTCCAAGAATGCTGGACTTTTAGGAGATGTGGAACCCAGTCCTCCTCCATCTGCTCCGAGGTCAGGCTCCAATCGCACTGATTATACTTCATCGTCGTCGAGAGGTCGCGAGGACGGTATGGGTTACCCAACTAAACGCCCAGTCCCACCAGCAGTTTCAAGCTTGAATCCACCAATTGCTGCTGGTGGTGGTAGTGGTACGCATGGACGACGACCAAATTCGCCTTTGCCTCCAGCAGCGAGTTCTTCGAGACATTCCCCACTCCCTTCTCATCATCATACCTCTTCTTCAGGGCGATCTTTATCGCCATCACCCTTTGAAACTACATCAGGAAAATCAGGCACGTCAGTTGCTGCCTTTGATACTCTAGTTAGCAAACAAAGCACAACAAACTCCACTCCTGCAATACTTTCGTTGACAAGTATTGAAGATCTATTAACGACCACATCTCCACAACAGCAGCAGCAACAACAACAACAACCTCCCCCACTTCTCAAGACATCTGCAAGTTCCAATAATAATAAAAAAGGAGCAACAGATCAATCACTTGTTGGTCCTCAACCTGGGACAAGTGCTTTCATGAAAGACAACAAATCTACTATCCATTCACCAAGTAGCAAAAAGATAGTTTCGGGTGAAATGTCAGATTCTTCAGATGATTCAAGTAGCAGCTCGAGTAGTGAAGATGATGACGACAGCAGTAGTGCATCAGACATGGAGGAAGTAGCATTACCACAAATTAGCATCGCCCCAGTGCCTATGGACATTTCTAATGGAAAGCATCCTCATACGCATAATGCATCACCAGCGGCCAGATTTCCTCCTGCAACCGTACCTGGATCCATGCCAAATTTTTCCGATTTGGGAGATATACCTTCCCATCCTCATCTATTGAGTGAAGATTTACAGCTATCCGAGTCTGGCTCCGACTCGGACTAATTATTGTTAATTACCACTATCGTCTGCCGCTAATTTGTTATGTCACGTGTAAATCAAAAAAACTGCCAATGCACATCAGAAATTTGCTAAATTGCCGAGTATGCAATAATATTCATTAATGGCACAATGCCAAAAATTAGCTTATTGAGCATTAATTTGAATATATATTGTATAATTGTATTGTATGTTTGTGCTAATTTTCTTTGACTGATGCTATTTTGCAACGATCGATTGGCCTTCTTAGAGAAGTGAAACGTCCAGAAGAAATAAATGCAAACAATTGCAATAAGTGCAAACAAGCCAATCCACCCTTGTGTCAAGGGTTGGTTGTTTTATACTTTTTTTTATTTAAACATTAGGGAATTTGCAAACTTTATAGTTTTGCATTCTCGTTATAGCGTTTCCAAAATCCGAAAAGTAGTAACAAAGTTGTTGGAGCTTTGTAAAATCAGTAACGTGAAGTTGAAGCTCCCGACTCAACCTTTGTGTTATCTATATAACTACTGAAAACATAAATACCGTATGCATCAATGCATATAAGTTGACTTGGAGAAACTATATATATATATGCTTTACAACTCTAGGTTTAGAGTTGGAGAAGTATGTACATTTAGTAGTATATAATATGGAAATGTAAGATGAATGATTCAAGTTAACACTTAACTGAGGTCATTTTCTACATTTCATTTTATGATTGCATCATAATTCATGACATTATAGACAGAGATGTGGTGATTCATTCTACCCATAATTTATATATCTGCATATTGTCTCATCATCACGCTGCTGCCTCGAACGAACGAAGCAAACTAATCCAAAACCGAAAAGTTTCATGAAAATGTAGTTGAAACTGTTGAAAGCTCCCTTTATGGAAATGGATCAGCAGACATCAACACTACTATTATGCTTTCGTTATCTAAAACGAATAAAAATAAAATAAAAATAAACTCTCCGCTAAGCTAACTGCGTCCTTCCAGCAGTCCCAACGAGGAAGATAAAATGACAAGGCAAGAGGGTGATATTTTTATGGAGATAAATACAGATGAAGTCCAACCAAACTAGGGAAGCGATAGCGTAAGACCCTAATACGAGAAATTTTAGTTTTAAGACAGTAAAAAGAATGTAACTCAACTTTGCCCTGCCATTTGTGACTAAACGAATATGGAAAACCGGAAAGTAAAGGCGTTGCGTTGAGAGAACTGTATGAGCGAGCAGTTCAAATCTCATACATGAGGTACTCGTACGAGAACAACCACAGTTGTCCTTCCTTATATTATGAGTTGTGTGTGGCTGAAGGGCTGTGTGGACTTTTGTTTATTGATGCAGCACGGGCGGGTGTGTAAAAGAAGGGGGACATTTCTTCCCTTCACGCCTTGTTTGGTGTACGACTTTTTAGAGGACTACATATCTCTTCTATCGCTGGAGGATGAACTATGAATGACGTTGTTCAACTGTATGCGTAAGTACACGTATCATCATCTTGAGAAAGAATCAGAGATCACATTCCAGCTCACCCACCATTGCCCATTGTAAATTGTAATGCTCCTTTGAAGAAATGGTCAAACTTTAACCAGTGATTGGATGGAATGTGCAGCAAGAATCTTTGGTTTCGAGTACCTTTTAGTAATAGAAGCTGTTTACGTGTGGTGTGTGTTGTCATAATCGTTGTGGGCCTGACCCCTAGATTGGTGACGAACTTGGTGTACATTTCATTTTTCGTTTCTTCTATTATTTCGTATTCAATGGATAAATGAATGAAGGAAGAATAGAAACTAATTTAGTTCCAATTTCAATTCTCACTTTTCTCACTTGCTTTTATATTATTCGTACTATAACCATTCGTCGTATGTTTAGGGTTTCAAAAATATGTATTTAGTCTGAACTCTGTCATGTCACAATTCCATTATAAATCGGGGATTGTTAGTTTTATGCATTACCAAGGCATGCATAGTACTTATGCATTGCAAATTGCATACTTGCATGTAAATATGCATGTAAGCAACTGGTAATTTCGCTTCTCTAATGTCATGTATCATGTTGATCTGCCATAATCATGCATTGTCCTTACTTTCCTTTATTACTACTATCGTATTGTAACATTAGTCATTTAACATGATGTCCGAACTCTGTAGTAACTTTATTCTATGTACATATATCAATACGCGAATAATATAGGATCCCGTCGTCGTCTCTAAAAATATGATTGTGTCGAATTGGCAAGAAATTTAATACTATCTTTGGTAAAAATTATGCGTTCTTAACCCGCTTGTCCATAGTTTGTCATGCATAAATAACTGGCAGTTTTGACATCTCAGAACAACTTGATTTTCTGGAGATTTGGGCTGAGCTGCTTTGTCGAAGGCAACTCTAGATTAACATATTGATAAATGTAGTGCACACACGGACATGTTGAACGGTTACGAATTACGATGGGACTATTACACAGTTTCAACGAATGTATACCCTAATTCTTCAATGCGTGGTTAAGTAAATAGTTAAATGGTTCATGTTTTCTTGTAGATTATGTAATGAGAACGACAGTGTTGTTCAAGTAATAAGAATTTGTTATAGCCTTCTTATTTATTAGTCAGCGTGTGAGCGTATAGCAGAAGTGGCAGTGAGATAAAGAGGCTTTAGGGGAGGAAATCAACGGACTGGAAGAAGGAAACCGCAGTAGCACTGCATTTCAGAATCTACAAACATTACACGTAATATTGTTATACTGTTTTAGTCAACTGATCTTGCCTCCTCTTGTTCAATTTATATTCCTTGTTAACTAATAATAATAATACCATTTATACATTTCAACAACTTGTTGCCGTACAACGATGTCTTATGAGCAGTAGTGGTGTGACGCTGACGAATTCCTCCATTTACTCATTCTGCTGAAAATCTGCACTGTTTAGTAGTCCATTTATATTAGTAGATTGTTGCTGTGAATCTGCTGTGATTGTGATTGGCGATACGACCTTTAGTCTTGTACACTTAAATGGAGACAAGTAGTACTTTCCATTTATTTTTGCAGACAAATGGTGAGAGTGACAAGTGTGGACAACTGGTTAATTTAAAAGGGAAGGCAGCAAGCAACAACTTATTACCAGATGACAGAATAGTGTGTGAAGCGAATTATTTCAGTTCAAACGATGAGGTAATCCTAATAATAATAGCTAGTTCCTAGTATTTAGGATTAGCACAGTGTATAAAATGAATTGCGGGAGAATGACAGGAAATATCTTATAAGCCCAGCATGCTCATTCACGACATCAAATAATCAACAGAATATGTAATGTGCTCATGGCATTAATAAATGGGGTGGTGCCATGCGGTGGTACTATGTACAAGTACTACTGCAATTTGCAAGGCAATAATTTCGCACATCAAACTGATAGTAGCAGTGTATTTTATTTTGGTGGTTTGTATCATCATCCGTGCTGACTGACTGGCCCTGGGTTAGGCCACAACATATTTTGCCAAAACCACATCCCAGAAGTCTGCATAATGCTCAATTTGCTAAAAAAAATGAAAACCTCCGGCATGTTATGTGGTACAAATACGTTGTACATTGGTGACTCAAATATGCACATTATTTATAACGTGCTGAATATTCTGTATTGCTGAACAAGTTGAATGTGGTCATCTCCATCTTAACAATATAGCCAAGCCACCATCACTAACCATAACCAAGTAGCCAACACAATATGCAAATTCTCAGTTTTATTTTCATCTATCACATCATTGTTTAAAGCATTACACACAACACAAAGCACGACTGACCATAAAATTGATCTCTAAAATATCTCTCTGGATTTCAAGTATTGGTTGGACTTGTGACTTTTTGTGTTCGACTCTATGCATTTTATGTTGACTCGACGATAAGCACAACAGGTAAACGGAAGGTAACATGTAAATATTTGATGGGCAAGTGTCAAGTCAATATTTTAGATTGCTTTTCATTAACCCCATTCATTGTTTGAGTTTGATATTGAAGTTTAAAATTTAAATGCCAGCGATAATTTGAAAAGGATAGTTTGTGCTATTTAATAATATTTATTTGACGGAAATATGCAAGTTGACTGACACGGCAAAAGCAATTAACTAAATTTTCCTTGTTTTTTAGTTCCTGTTTGACGTAATAAAAACCAGATCAAACTATTGTAAATGAAAAAATCTGGACAATAACTGATCGATCGTCTCGTCGTCATCATAATTTCTGCGACAATTGAGATTTATTAGAAGATTTATCATTTACTTTATCTGCTTCTCAATCTTGTCACAACGTGAGCAGTAGCGGTTCGGTGATAATTTATTTGTTAACTCGTTTGTGCCGCAGAAAAAGAGTGAAGAGGTCAAGTTGGTTGGTGATTTCTACTCGAAAGCTCAATTCACATTCAATTCCAGGAAGTGCTTGGCTCGGTGAATCATCATCATCGTCACTACTAGCATCAGGAATATAAGCAATGTGTGGCGATAAGAATACTTCACGCTACCCCGGTTTTTGGATAATGAAAATCTGTTTGTTTTGACGCCTGTTTATCAACAAAGAGAGTAGCAAGACTGCCTTGCCTTTCACCTTTTGATCTGATTTTTATTTTTTAAGTGTGATCGATTTTGAAGGATTCAACAAAATAGCCAGTTTTGGTACGAAACTCATTCGTAATAGTAGTTTAGCAAGTTAAAATTAATAATTAATAATACGTATTATGTGTGAGGTTTTTGTTAATTTGAATCAATTCTAGTCACATTTCCTTCCTCTTCTTCTGACACATATTTACTCACACTAGTACAAGTTTTACTGAATTATTGTTGAAATTTAAATATGTAGCATAACTAAACTACTAAATAGTAATCTGTGTTAAAGTGATTTATGGGAACTGAACTGTGCATTTTAGAATTGTGTTTAATTCCTGTTTTCACTTTTGATTCCCACAACAAACAAGTTATTATTAACAATTTCCGCCCGTTTAGTCGTCTGCGTAATCGCAAGTTCGCCATCATCTTCCTTGCAAAATGGGAAGCAGTCTCAGTACTTATCGCCGTGGCTCTGTTTCTGGTGAAAACCCAACTGCGTTGAAATTCAAAGAAAGCATTCGGCCCACGACAGGGATTGGATTAGTCACAGATGAACTTTTGCCAAAAGAAACCAACAAACCAAACCCGGGTTTCTCTACTACCAGATCCGATCTCCAACCAACATCCGGCGAACTTCATAACGGTGGACAACATTCCGGTGTTTTGAACAGTGACAACTTTTTAAGAAACCAAAAGAATCTAGTAAGCATGAGGTCATCCAAATATTCGCCAAAAATCCAGGCACCCATGCCTAATCCAGATGAATTGGAGAAGCGCTTTACTAAAGTCTTGGTGAGAATAATATTCAATAATAATAATGTGATATAATAAGTAATTAGCAATGCAACATTATTTTCAGACGTCCATGGATCTGCCTCCAGATAAGGCTAAACTATTGAAGCAATATGATGATTCCCGCAAGTGGGAAATTGTCCGTGATCAGGTAAATTATACTATTTACGATTCGGATGTTATGTTATACCATCTCATTACTATCAGAATTTATAATATTGTATATTGTTGATTTACAGGAGTTGGTACAAGTTCGAGAGCCGCCTAGAAGTTATCTCAAAAAGATCCAAACATATCTAGACCCAAAAGCATCTAGAAGCTTTAAGGTTTGTATACAAAATCGTATACTTTTTCATGGACAATTGATTTCATTATTCTGCTTTTGATTTTCAGAAAAGAAAAGCATTGGGTGAATCAACATCAACTCAGGTTATTATCAGCAATTTAACATGTGATATCATTTGCATAGTTCCAACATCCTACAAGTTTATACTGTGAGCATATTTCCATTTAATAATAATTTGTTACTCCTTGTCAGGTTTTAAAGGACCTGGAAATTTCATTGCGAACAAACAACATTGAGTAAGATTATCTATTAAAATAATACATATTACCGATACTTGTTTAATTGATACTTAATGTTACAGATGGGTCCGAGAATTTCTAAATGAAGAAAATCGTGGATTGGACATTTTGTGTGATTATCTAAATTTCCGTCTAGTCATGATGCGGCAAGTTTTTTTGGACTATAACAATTTTTTTGTGCTTAAGTAAACTTAACTCGTAGGGTTAATTGCATACAACTGTCTCATTGTCTTAAATGTTTTACAGTCATGAGCAAAAGTGCCAAACCCTTCCACCTTCAGAAATTGAGAGTCCGACTCATAGCAGTGGGGCCGATTATGGTCCATCGTCCTTAGCAAATGGTTCTAATGCAAGCCAATCAAAGAGCATGGATAGTCCTAGTATCAACAAACGAACGTCGAAACACATGATGAAATTGAATATGGGTGACGCCAAAGATGATATCCATGTGTGCATTTTGTGTCTTCGTGCCATCATGAATACGAAGCACGGCTTAAATGAGGTTCGCTCGTAAATAATAAAGAAGTGGCATAGCTTAAAAAAATTCTTTCCGCGGAACTTTGTTAATTTAACATAATAACTATCTTTAGGTCATCATGAAGCAGGACTCAATCAACGCCATTGCTCTTAGTTTAAGACACAAAAGTCTCCGGTAATACATAAATATTGTTTTTGATATGATTATGGTTTTGTTAATATATTTAAAAGATAATCACTTGTGTACTTCTATCATATAGGACTAAAGCGTTGGTGCTGGAACTATTGGCGGCAGTTTGCCTAGTCCAAGGAGGGCACCAAATCATTCTAAGGGCGTTTGATAACTTTAAGGATGTAAGTTATTTCTGTTGTTACATACCACTAACCTAAGCGTATGAAAATGGCGTTGATAACATTTTAAGCGTCTTTTGAATTATTTTTCTAAAGGTGTGCGGAGAAAAAAGCAGATTTGCAACCCTTGTCGATCAATTTGTGAATTACGAGTCCTTCTATGTAGAGTTTATGGTAATTTTAGTGAAGCTCTTACAATTTCTCGTTCAAATACTGTATTTCTAGTGAAAACGCCAAAGTCATGCCAAAACTTTTTTGCATTTATTCAAAACAGGTAGCGTGTATGCAATTTATCAACATTGTCGTGCATTCCGTGGAGGTAATAAGAAAAATCAAATCTACTTAATATATAATTATGAATATTTAAAACCTTGTATACTAATTATAAATACAATTACCAGCGTAGTAGTGGGATATTTCCAATTTTAAGCCCAAAGTATCCATTATGAAATTGCAAATTACATGTCATAAAAGTAAATGTTTTATTTTGTATGTAGGATATGAATGAAAGAGTGTACTTGCAATATGAATTCATGCAACTTGGAATTGACCAGTACCTAGAAAAACTAAAAAATACTCAATCTGAAGAACTAAGGGTATGTCCCATTATATTGATATATTTTTTATTGTATGCAAACTTAATTATTGTATTGCAGGTACAAATCTCTGCGTATTTGGACAATGTATTCGATGTTGCAGCCCTCATGGACGATTCCGAAATGAAAAATACAGCCTTAGAACGAGTGTCGGATTTGGAAGTAAGAATTTAACAATTCATTCATAAAGGGAGACTTGATTGTATTCAAGATATCTAATACATACTTAAGTTCTCAGATTTATGTGTTCTATCAAAAAATGTATTTTGGTACAAATCAAGTATTTATTTTTTATAGGAAGAAAATTCTCAACTCAAAGAAATTTATCAAAAGCTGGAATCGGATAGCATGTCTCGAATGATAGAACTAGGTGTCTTTTTTATCTTATTTGTCAATGAAATGTAGTCAATGAACACATAAGGAAATTACGGAATTGTATTATTACTAATATTTGACTGACTTATTACTATCTAGAACAAAAACTACACTTAGCTATCGAAGAGAGAGACTCACTTTTATCTAAACACGAGGCAATAACTGAAGAAGTGACGACCCTTAGAAGGTAAGAGGATTTCATTTAAAAAATGTAATGTATTATATTTTTATTATTTTATTACAGAGTGGTAACGCAAAAAGAAGAAGAGAAAAAAATCTACTTAGAAAGGCTTTCTCGAAATATGGATGCAGAATTGAAACTTAAAGACGAATCAGATTCCAACGACATTTCCACAAATCCAAACGTCAACACAGAGCGACTTATGAAAGCTTCAGTACCTGCTCCACCCGTTCCTGCTCCACCTCCTCCTCCACCCCCTCCATTTGCTCCAAGAGGCATGCCAGGGCCTCCACCACCACCACCAATGATGGGTCACCCCGGAGGCATGAATAGTGCAAATTCCAATATGACAATAAAGAAAGCCTTGCAACCAAAATGCAAGCTGCCAACATTGAATTGGACAGTCTTGAAACCGAGGGAGGTGAAGGGGACTGTTTTTAATCAACTTGACGACTCCAAGTACTACAGCGTGATAGACTTTGATGAGTTTGAACGAACTTTCCAAATTGGATCTGCTGGGTCTGTGGGGAAAAATTTGGATGAAGCAGACAGCGAAGGAACTCTAAACAGTTATCCTTCGAAAAGGTTCAAAAAGCCAGAGGCCGTATCATTACTGGAACATACTCGACTAAGGAATTTAGGTACATAAAATATGTCGTATTAATAATATTATGCTTTCTCTTCTTGCCTTGATTTGAATTTGTGATAAATTGTATACCTTATATTATTTATAGCAATCTCAAGACGGAAGCTTGATCTATCTATTGACACAGTTGTCCGAGCAATTAATGCACTGGATCTTACGACTCTGAAATTGGAGCATGTCGAAATTATTACACGCATGATTCCCAATGAAGTTGAAACTAAACTTTACAGAGAGTACGTCAATGAGCGTAAAAACCCTGAATTACTGACTGAAGAAGACAAGTTTATTTTACAACTTTCTCGAGTTGAACGAATATCCACAAAGTTGGCTGTAATGGCTTACATCGCTAATTTCAATGAAGTAGCCAACACAATTCAGCCTCAGATTCATGCAGTAATAATGGCATCCAGAGCAATAAGGACCTCTGAAAAATTTCACCAATTATTGGAAATAATTCTGGCATTTGGAAATTACTTGAATGGTGCTAAACGAGGTTTGTTTGTTTGTTATTATCTTATTTAACTGAATGTAATGTCATCCAGACCTATTATTTACTTGATTGAACGTATTAATTACTCAGGCCCTGCGTATGGATTCAAAATTCAGGTAAATTAAATTGCACACCTTTTCAATCATGTTTATATGATTATGGTAATTTATTTATTGGAATATATTTGCTTATCAGAGTTTGGAATGCTTGATGGATACGAAATCGTTAGATCGAAGACAGTCGCTGTTGCATTATATTGCAGAGACTATAACATCGAGATATCCTAACCTGGCTGGATTCGTCAATGACCTTCAGTTTGTCGAAAAATCATCCTGTGTTTCATTAGAAAATGTACTCAGCGACCTGCATGATTTGGAAAAGGGAATGGAACTCACTAAAAAGGAATCTCAGTTCCTTATGCAGAAAAACGAGCAAAATAATGTAAGCATGCAAAGGAACATTCATTTGTTTGTAGTTTAGTGCTATCCGTGTTTAATACATTTGATTTAATATATTTATAATTATTTAGGTCGTGAAAGATTTTCTATCTACTGCCGAGGACAGGTTGAACAAAATCAAAGTTGAGTGCAAAACTGCTGTCAACGACTTTGGCGAATGCGTGGAATTTTATGGAGAGGAAAGGCAGCAAACCGATACTAATGGATTCTTTTCTGCAATTGTAAAGTTTCTTCGCGCCTATAAAACTGCAGATAATGAAAACGAACAACGGAGAAGGTTATCCATGAGAAATCAATCTCCTCCCGAAACTATGAAAATTACCGGGAAAAAACAACAAGTAATTTATAATATATAATTTCTAATTTTTCAAAGTATTCATATAACTACTTGATCATGTAATAATGTGATTCATAAATAGGATGCTGTCATCAGCGAATTAAAGCGCCGTCAAGGTACAGATGGAAATAAGAAACCCTTTGAAGTAAGACACAAACCTATATTTCCATACTGATAGTAATAACTAGTATGTACTTAATTTTTATGTAATGCTATTTTTAGGGCCAAGACGGCATGTACGGCTCACGCTGTGAAAGAAAAAAGAACTTTTATCAAACCTTGGAGGATGGCGCATTGGAAGATATCTTATCAGATCTAAAAAACGAACCTTATAGACGTGCAGATGCGTTACGACGGTCTCAGCGTCGAAAAGTTAATGAACGCCTTTCAAGAAATTTTGACGACTTTGATGTTTAACGTGTCTTACATTTGCATAAAACAAAGTACATATCTCATTGTTCAAAGTTTCAAATCCATAACGTTTTTTTATTTATCGTTAGTTGTCAATGTGCCAATATGTTGTTGATCTGATCATGTATGGTTTGAAGATCTGTTGATTTTGATAGAATATGTAACATGTTAAAAAATATTTACTATGTTCGAATGTTTCTTGCTCGTACGCTCATAACCGAAAATGCCTTATAATAATTCAGGATCGTATGCACTCTTATTTACAAATGTCTATATATAGGACAAATACAATATTCAATGCAATTTATTTGGTGTGAAAGTGCTCTGGACCAAGAGAAATGACAATCGCTTGCAAATTGTGCTTATAATAACCATAACTAAATTATACGTGTAATGTCTGGAGGTAAGAGATCTGATTCTTTAAAGTGCCTGTATGATCTGCCGATATACTCGTTCATATGCAATGCAAGAAAATATATGTCTGAGATTTAGCCTGAATCCAAAGTATTACAACTCATTGTTACCTTTACCAATTAGTTAAATCGATGTGTATTTTTGTTATATCCTGATACAATATTCTATTTAAAGAAATCTTAGTTTAGATATAAGTAGGTGGATAGTAAAAAGTATATTTATATTATATAAATAGAAAATTACACACTTTTTAATAATATTTTATTACTATACAAGCAGACCGGATGAACTTAGTGATGCAATACATTGATTACAAGTACGTTGGAATTAGTGTGGAATAAAGACTTGCAACATTGGTTATGATCTTGATTATTATAAAGATTTCTTGTCATTCCTTAGACTTTGAACTTTTACTGATTCCCAATGCCAAGATCAGAAAGGGTAGTCTCCATTAGATAAATATGGATGCAGATATGACAGATTCTAGATAAAGTTCTGGATTCTGGATTTCATGTGTATATAGTACAACCGAGAGTTCGCCTTTTTACCCATTTGTATTTGTATGCTTATTTATTACACATTGCATGCACGTTACTATGAAATACATACGTATGCATGAATTGACTACGTTTAAATTGGTCTATTATCGCAAGTATGTATTTAATTTTGTGATGATGATAAAGTCGAGCGTCGAAATAGTGAGAGACTGATTATTATACGAGCATTAATTATATGTATGTATGTACAAACCACTACTTTTACTTCTCCAGCTAGCCATATAATAGTGGTGACTTCTTATCACACTTATGCAGCCATTCATTACATTTTTTTTCGTCAGCCCATTTTATAATCCAACTCCTCCAACGGGATCAAGTAGTGTCTATGTAGTTGAGAAGGATAATTGTGTGGAGTAGTAATTGGTGTATAATTTGAATTATTTTGCACTTTCGTTTCAAAAACATGGTTTCATCAACGAGTACAAATGGTGTGAGTAAAGGATGTGCTACAAAGAAACTGAATAGGCAAGTTTTTGCATCTAAAACATGGACCATGTAAAAAATGGTCTAGATATGTAGTTATGTACTTAAATTAGATAATAATTGTCACTTGCATAGTGAGTTGAGGAAGCCGCACAAAGTCCTAGGGGTGGAGTTTGCACCAATTAATATTCCTTTGGAGAGGAGAAAGCAGACGGTAAGGGACATGTTTTTCAATTAATTATTGCATAGAATTTATTTTTTATATAGACAAATACAAATTATTGTACGGGTTAGTTGGCCGTGCTAACTTGGACAGCACTATTTTTCTTCTCTGGTCCAGGAGGACCGGTAATTCTTGTCTATACGTTCTTTTTCACCAGACTCTGGCCACTTTCACTTTTGTACGCTATTTGGATCGTGTATGACAGAAACACGTGCAATGTGGGGTCGAGAAAGTAAGAATGCATCATCGATTCATGATAATGCGATACCCTTTAATGGATACATAATTCGTTGAGTATAAAAGTTATTACATATACTTTTGGATAAATTTAAGCAGTTTACTTTCTTTTCTTAATGTTTCGAAGGAATGGCACTATCACCAAATTCTTCAAAAACTGGGTTTTGTGGAAATACTACGTGCGCTATTTTCCTATCAAGGTAACTTTATCACAGATGGATTTTAATCGTTTTTAAATTAAACAATTAATGTATACATTAATTTTATTATCGCTTAAAGCTTGTGAAAACAGCCGAATTGGATCCCAAACGGAACTATTTACTGGTTAGGATAGGATTAGTGTGTACTTGCCAATTTTCTCATTCAGTTGATTTATTAAATAATGCTTACATATTTTAGGCTTCTCATCCTCACGGAATTTTAGCAAGTGGAACGTTTGCAAGTTTTTCAACAGAGGCAAACAAAGTGTCCACAGTGTTCCCGAATATTCAATTCAACATGTTGACACTTCCGCTTAACTTTTATCTTCCAATTTATCGCGAGCTTTGTTTGGGACATGGTAAAAAGTTTCAATCACTCATCCTCTGTTTTCAAAAGATGTCCATAAACTAATAAGATCATGTCATGGATTGTTATTTGCTGCAACAGGCTTATGTTCTGCGAAGAAGGAGAGCATGAACTATCTTTTGAGCCATCCCGACGGGGGTAGAGGAGCCGTTTTGGTCCCCGGTGGGGCTCAAGAGTCGCTAGAAAGTCATCCGGGAAAGTACGTGGTACAGTTGAAGAAAAGAAAAGGATTCGTGAAGGTGGCTTTGCAAAATGGGTGAGTCGCTTTTGACTAAGATTTTGAATAAGTTGGGCATCACATTTTTTAACATGGAGTCGTTTTTTTAGCTCTCCGCTGGTCCCGATTTATTGTTTCGGAGAGAATGATATTTATGACCAAGTTAATAACCCGGACGGATCATTACTTCGTGGGTTTCAAAATAAAGTGATGGAACTCTTTACATTTGCTCCGCTCTTCTTTACAGGTGCAGTGAAAAAAATCATATTTATTGACTAATCATGACCGCATATAAATATTTTATGGGTTAATTATTTTTGTAATACATACATAAATTTAAGGGAGAGGAATATTTCAATACAACTATGGAATTTTACCTAGAAGACATCCAATTTTTGTTGTGGGTGAGTTAAACTTCCTTACATGTATAGTCCACCAATTTATTACCACCTTGCTATGAATAATGGAGCAAAATATAAAAGTATAATCAATAATTTGCCTCATTTAAAATATTATAAGTCGGAGCCCCCATCGACGTGGAGAAAGTTGAGTCACCTACAAATGATCAGATCGACTCCTTGCATTCGAAATACATGCAAGCATTACAAAACCTTTTTGACAAACACAAAAGCGAATTTGCACATTCCGATGCTCAGCTTAAAATCATTTAATTTATGACTCTCAAAGAAACCTGACTGTTCATCATCAATTGTCCCCTCTCAAATCTCAGCGACTTGTTTTGCTAATTACAAAGTTGAAAATCACACAAGTGTAATATTTTTGTTGAAAACCATACGAATAAAAAAATGTTGACAATAAATGCAACTATTGAAGGGACTATGTAGTGTATTCATCACTTTTTGTCATATTTGCGATTCTCATTAATATTTAAGACCTCACATTTCATTTTTCATTGATATTGTCTTGTCAGTTTGGCAGTCGATGTAGAAAAATTGGCCATGCAAAAGTTTGCTCATACATACGTAATACATAATAACTTTCGCTCACACGAACCAGGTAATAAAATTGCTAATGAAATTCTGACTCTGTTCGTGCGAACAGTTTTGTCAATTCACTAATTTAGTTGAGTGCTATAATAATCTACAGTGGAGTTAGTGTTTTCCTGTGCTGAGGAGGATGGCCCAATTATCAAAAAAACTTTATCTCCGCCTTAAATTAATCCGAAGTGGGGATGTCGCTTTGCATGTTCAACGACGATAAACATTTGCATGCGGAAGAACGCTGCTCTAGCTCAATTTCGTAAACTGCGAGTTCATGTGTACTTACGTACCCGAGGGCATTTATATGTCCACCATGACGCATCCCTTGAAGATGTTTGCGACCTGCGATCGTGTGGGTGTGTCAAGTGGAGCGCGATCCCTCGATAATTATTTCACCACCTCTGAAGAAGCGGAAAGGTGAGGAGGGAAAGTTGGAGTGAGTGTGGAGAAAGTAGAGGCGGAGCGGGGCATTCAAAGGATATGGAATTTCAAGCGGAAGGAGAGCAGTGCACATGGAGTTTTCTCTGCATTTGGCTCCTCATTTACTCTGATTCTCCGCTAAAGAGATACTAAATAGCATTGCAATCCCAGCCCAGCTCGCAACTTTCTCTCCCACACTTTCACTCTCCCTTCCCACGTCGTCTCTGCCTCACACTGCGTGTTGTAGGGCTCCTCACTCCCACCCACATAAACTCTAAATTGTAGGCAAGAAGATACCCTCAGTCTGCACAATTACAATTCACAATAGGTAATCAAAAAGTGCAAGTAAACAAATATGCGAAGATTTTTCTAAATTTAGTGGGTTATATTTTATTCTAGCTACTAGTCAAGAAATAAAAGAAGGAGAGAATTCAGCTCAACTCTGGAACAGCGACAGATCTTCATTTAACTTTTTTGTCGTATTGTTGCTTGTTATTAGTGTAATTAATTCATATGTAACTGGTTGATGTGAGAGAAATATATATATTAATGTACTAATTTGATTTATTTTAGAAAATCACTCGTCGTCGAAGAAGGTAGTGAGGTTAGTTCGTTCGAGAACCGAAGGATTCAATGCACAGATTCAGACAACTCTTGAACAGAAGGCTCCTCCAGCAGTCGCAGTGCTCACTCCCCTCTCAATGCAGTGGGCTCTGCTTTCCCCTGCAACAATGGTTACCTCTTCAGCGAGATCTCTCAATTTCTTGTCCCTCACTCTACAGTTCTAATTTCAACAGTGGAAGTGGAGGAAATCGCCCCGGTGGGGGAGGAGATGGGAGTAATAATGATGGGGATGGAAGGTCACAAGGCCCTTCGGCTGCATACAACACCATTTCTGATATTCTGAACGTGACCACCAAAACGAGAGAAGAGGATTCCTGGGTGGATAAGCGAGCTTCGAATGATCTAAGCAATATTGATGAGACGGAGGACAATGAGAAGAAATTGAGTGAAAGTATTGACCCTCGGCCGGTTTTGAATTATGCGTCAGGTCCTGGGGGCACGACTAAGTCAGGCGTGATTATGGGGATTGAAACTAGCTGTGATGACACGGGTGTGGCTGTTGTAAACACAGAGAAACAGATTCTTGGCGAAGGTAACATAAATAAATCAATTTGTATACTTATTCTTAGTGTCAGAGAATTGGGATTTGTCGCCCAGAGTACAATCTAAATCATAGGATCTATAAGGAGCAATATCGTAATCGGCTATGCTAAATATATCTCTCGCTTGATAGATGAGTATATCTGTATTTTATTAATCAAGTCAATTGTGTTGTTTGTATTTAGCACTCAACTCTCAACTCCAGATCCATTTAAAGTAAGTTGGTGGACAACGATAATAACAGTAACCTGTTCTAAATTTGAGGTGAAACTAAAGACTAATTATTTTCTTGTGTGTACAGCCATGGTGGAATCATTCCTCCAGTTGCGAAGCATTTGCATGAGCAGCATATTACGAGGATAATAAAGGAGGCCATGACGGAGGCAAAAGTCACTGTTAAAGATCTGGATGCCATTGCTACTACCGTAAAGCCTGGTGAGCTTAGAAACTGAAATTGTAGTCATTTATTCACTTTTATATGTGGAGGTCAGTTACAGATAACATGTTCAGATTAAATTCTTATTATTCAGGTTTATCCCTTTCCCTTTTGGTGGGTTTGAAACATGGAAAGCAACTCTGTGTTGAGGGAAACAAGCCTTTTATACCCATTCATCATATGAAGGCTCATGCGTTGACGTGCAGAATGTTGCAAGATATCCAATTTCCTTATTTGGTTCTTCTCATATCTGGAGGGCACTGTCTCTTGGCTTTAGCAAAATCAATTGACGACTTTGAAATTTTGGGGACTACGATTGATGACGCTCCGGGCGAAGGTTACATTTGCTCGTTTTGTGTGTAGCTTATTGTAGGTTGGAAAGTGGACGTATTTATATATCAGATGATCCGGTACTTGTTTAATTGTTTTTAAATATTTTATGCTGGTTTTCGTGAGGTGGTAATATATGTAAACTATTATAACTACCACTGCAGTTCAGTAAGCACATAAAGTGATGGTGAAAGAAAAGATTTGCAAGTTGAAAATAAGAAATATTTTCACTGACAATCTTTTGTACCACATATTACTTTAGGTAGGTTATGTATATGCGGCGAATAAAATGTTAAAAATATCAGACGGGTGGTTTCCCCATATCGGGTTTGACAAGATGAGCCACTTCTAAATAGATCAATACAAAATACGTTCACTTTGTTACCTAAAAAGTACGATCACTTCTTAGCTCCGGTGCTGAGGATTTTGAAATACCAAGGTCGAGTTGATCTTCAACTCAGTGATCCTATTTATTATGCAATTAGTCTAAGCTACAAACAAAACGAACAAGTGTTAACCACCTATTTGCGTAGCATTTGACAAGGTAAATATATACTGACACGATTATGAATTGGGCGAATGTATAGATACTACGCAGATTAGCCAGTATTAATATAATTTCTGAATTCATAGACTGCAAGGAGATTAAAACTTTACAATCTTCCCGAGGGATCATCTCTTCCTGGAGGCGCTGCTATAGAATATTATGCAAGGCGTGGAAATCCCGAGGGCTTCAAATTTCCAACTCCAATGTATAAGTATCGAGATTGCAACTGGTCATTTGCAGGTACTAAGACACGAATTAATTATTAGTAAAATATTCATATCTGACCAATTCGATCTATAAATATGTTCGAATTTCGATTTTATTAGGTCTAAAGTTTATCGCGCTTCGTCACATTTTGAGGGAAGAACGAGCACATGGTATGATATTGACTTCATGTGAATATGCAATCAATATAAGCATATTAGACTGTATATAAATGTTCTAATATGTATGAAATTGAATTGCATAGGATGCGATGGTCCAGATGTGATCCCGACCCATGCAGACGTATGCGCTAGTTTCCAGTATGCTGTTGTTGCTCATTTGTGCAAGAAAATACAGGTTAGTTCGTTCGAGAACCGAAGGATTAACAACAATAAAACTTGAATTCATAAGAAGTAAAAAACATTTAAAACTTTGATCTACAGCGAGGAATGATCTATGCCGACATGAAACATCTTATTCCTGACAACAATCGCGTTCTGGTATTCTGATTCTTAAGCATTATTGTATACTCTATTCATAAACAGGTCGAAAACAATTATGTTATTCATTCTTCAGGTTGTCTCTGGAGGGGTTGCTTGTAATGAATCGGTGAAGAAAGGACTTGACCTTGTTTGCCAAGAGATGAACTACAAACTAATATGTCCTGAAAAGAAATTGTGTACAGACAACGGGGTTATGATTGCATGGAATGGAGTTGAAAAATATCAAGCTGGAATTGACTTGATTCCTCCTTCAGACCTCGACTCCATAGATATTGAGCCCAAGTATTTGACATTGAAATAGTTTTTGGCACGAGACTCATGAATGAATGTATACTTCATTAATTATATGTCTACAATTTCAGAAGTGCAATGGGAATTTCGCTTCACGAGGAAATTCGTCAGATGAACATTAAATGCAAAAGGATTAAAATGTTGCATTTATTTCAACCAGAAATTCCCAAAGTTGCAAGCACTGGCACTGTCGGCTAAATCCAGTACTTTTAAAATATTTCCTGGAACCTATGACTGAACTACAATTTGTGTCCCCTATACAGTGTCGGACAGATGTCTACGTCCACATAGTCGCGTCAATTTCATTTTCAAATTGTCACTGAACTACTGAACCAATTTTCATCATTGATATATCAAATTCTCACAAATTTAACGTAATTTCATAGCACATTATTAGTTTTCCGCTAAAAAATTTATTTTAGGCCAGAGATGTATTTTAATTCAAAATGAAAACAATTGGATGGACAAAAGTCAACGTCCAGTAAGAGAAAACATACAAAAAAAACTGTAATTTATAAGGAATGTTATAACAATTAATTTTTAATATTTGGTTGGGCCTCCGTTCGCTTTAAGGACGGCTTCAAGGCGTCGAGTCATAGAGTTTACCAAATTCTTGGTCACATCTTCAGAAATGGTTTCCCAAACTTCACGAATTCTGGATTTAAGGCCCGGAATTCCTGAAAAAGATTGTTTTCTTATTTCTCTTTCAATGTGGTCCCACAGATGCTCAATGGGATTCAAGTCTGGAGATTGGGGAGGCCATTCTAGCTTCGGAATTTTTTTTTCTTGAAGTATTCCATGGTGGACTTGGCAGAGTGTTTCGGATCGTTGTCTTGTTGGAAGGCAAATCGTCGTCCAAGTCCAAGTTTTCGAACAGATTCCTGGATATTACGGTCAAGTATTCCCTGGTACTTGTATTGGTCCATAATTCCGTCAATAAATTCCATTTTTCCTGCCCCACTTGAAGCCATGCATCCCCACACCATTACCGACCCGCCGCCGTGCTTAACTGTGGGGTTGAGATTTTTTGGATTCAAAGCTTCTTTTGGATACCTCCACACTCTACGACGCCCATCTGACCCACAGACATTGAACTTTGACTCGTCAGTCCATAAAATATGTCCCAGAATGTTTGTGGCTTGGAAATGTGGTCTCTGGCAAACTTCACTCGTTTGGTTGCATTCCTCGGTACAATAAGAGGCTTCCGGACTGCTCTGTGGGATTTCAAATTTCCCTTGTTCAGTGTTCTTTGGATGGTCCTAGGACTAACTTGTTTGTCGAACATCTCCTTGATCTCGGTAGATAGCTTTGGAGCACTAAGTGAGGGTGTAACGTTGACTTTGTTGAGCACGTGGCGTACTTCTCGGTGAGCCAAAATGGGTTTTCGACCACTTCTGACCTTGTTTTGGACTGAACCATTAGCTTTAAAGTTCTTAATGATTGTCTGGATGGTTGTCCTTGCTAATTTATACTTGGTCCATATTTGTCTCTGCGACAGCCCCCTTTTTGTCCACCCTTCCAGTCCTGAATGACAAGATCTCGAATAGCGATAGGAATTTCCTTGCGTGTCGACGCCATCATATTTTTCTGGAAGAAAATTATTTAAAAATTAATGCGGCATATGTTATTGATAGATTTATTAAGTTACCTGATTTTATAAATTGGAGAGATTTTTGTTGTTGACAATTAAAGTGAAGTGGACGTAGACTTTTGTCCGCTCAAATTTCATCCTCTCTCGCTCTGCACTATGATTCTCAGTTTTCCCAGAATTTTCAGAAATAACTCATATGTTTTATGAAATTACGTTAAATTTGTGAGAATTTGATATATCAATGATGAAAATTGGTTCAGTAGTTCAGTGACAATTTGAAAATGAAATTGACGCGACTATGTGGACGTAGACATCTGTCCGACACTGTACATACATAATTACATGTGTACTTCATTACGTGCGTAGAAGATAACAACAATAATTAGAAGCTAGCTCTAGTTCGAATTCAGATTTTACATTATTGTGAATTACCAGATAGCACAATGAACTTTTGCATTTATAAACGTTCCATCCAATTTTTATCCAGTTGTATGGAACCCGTTTACAGTTTGACACTTTTGGTTAAATTTCAGTAAGGACAACGACTCATTTTATGATTAATAATGATTATGCTACAGAATTACCACTCAAAGCAAATTTTATGTGGTCAATATACCACAGACTGTGATCTCACAACAATATTTCAACCGATATTGGTTATACCTGTTTTAATCGTGTTTATTCTGCGACAGTGTATTTGAATGAATACGGCTTAGAAGCAAAAAGTAATGTAGTCAACTACTACATATGACTCAGAAGATGTTGCAACTGTTGTATGCCTTTGTCTCCAGAGCTGGGATAATCCTGATTAAGGATTATGGATTTTAATCCCGGATTATGGATTATTAATCCATAATCCCTAATCCGGCAATGAGAGTTTTTTGTAGATTAATCCCAATCTATAATCCCTATTTTTCAGGAATTAGAATTAATCCGGGAATAATCCCATTTGATTTCATTAATCCATAATCGTGATTACGGATTACTAATCCTGATTAATCCCAATCATGATTACTAATCATGATTATTAATCCAGATTAATCCAAATCATGATTACTAATCATGATTACCTATTCATGATTAATTCTCAATCTGGATTACTCAGTTCAATTCCCAGTTCCATTTCATCCCACTGTGTAGCTTGAAGTCTCAAGTTCTCACAACTTTGTTCTGTCAGCTACCATTTGAAGAATCAACATGTTCTCGCTGCCTTGTGCTACATATATCAATTGAAACTGGCCTTTTAAATATTTTATGTGAAACCACATAGTTGAAGTTTTTGCGCTAGATATAGTGTAAAAATCATTAATCACCAAATTAATCCGGATTATTAATCCATAATCCATAATCCTGAAATTTCCAGAATTTATGGATTAATCCGGATTAATCCTGACATGAATTAATCTCACGAAAATAATTTAATCACAATCCACATTATTTTGTGGTTAATCCATAATCCTTAATCCACCCTAAAAAACCAATAATCACCCAGCTCTGTTTGTCTCACTATCAATTGTCATAAATATGTGTATTGTATGGTAGCCAAAAATATTTGCCATTTAGTGGAACCTAGAGTCAAGTCATACGCCAAACTGGTGCAATACTAATGATCCGAATCGTTCTTTTAATGAATTCAGATGACCGATGATTTACCATGTCTGAAACAATAATTCATGACAATAATAACCACATAGAATTTTTCCATGTGTATATACTTCAGTCCTATAGCATGAAGTCTCCTGTGAATTGTGATGTATGTATAATATTAATGATAATCTATTTGCAAACTGATTCTGCAACATAGACATCTGCACGTGCAAAAAGTTCACGTTGCATTCCTCACCCGGATATAGCACTTCTAGTCACAAAGTATATTATATATGTTAATCATAAACGTTGTAATCTCCCGTTGTAGTGTGATCACTTGATCGTGACAAAACATAAATAAATATTGAGCTCTTTAATACTAAAATTGAAAAATATTTATTTATCGTAATTATATTTTCGAGCTAAGGGCATGTTCAGCGAACAAGGGAAGGTGAAGATTACGCAAAAACTGGAAAATTGTAGATACGATTCACTTTTTGTTTTTTGACTTTTTCTGATTCTTCTTCGAGCTGGTGGAAGGTTTAGCCCCACCAGCACTGCCCAGACCAGCCTACACAAGTTATATTGTTTACTTGGTTTAAATTGATTTCTCTTTAGTTATTTCGTGTTACCTTTTCTGCGGGAAGGACGTCGTCGGAGGGAAGGATATGAAGCGTCTTTCCGTCCACCACCGCTTTCTCTCTCACGGTCGTCTCGTTGTTCTCATTGATGGCCCTCGTTATCGCCGCCCCCACCGCGTTGGCCGCCTTCTTACGCTGCGCAGGCCTGTCTTATAATTTAAGCAATGGATAATTACCACAAATATGACTCATGTCTAATAAGTATAAAAATGGGATTTTACTACGAATGTTGTTGTTCACTGCTGAATTAACTTACTTCTCTTTTGAACATCTTTCGCTTTGGCAATTGTCCGTTGTTTCACTTTTGCCCCTACCGGAATCTTGGCTTTCACCTTCAGCTTTCCCTGTGGCATCCTGTCCTGATAATTCCTTGTAACTTTAGATATTAGTGGAACAAGAAGCTGTTTGCTTGTTGATTTTATATTTTAGCGACTTAATGCACACGATTTTGTTTTGCCTGTAACCAAAACTTATTTACTTCATGAACCTCATGTGCAACTGCGAAAAACCGGGCTGAAAGAAGAGCAGCGTAGTGAGAATTTGAGACGACTCGCTCAAAAATATTGTATGCATGTGTGTTGCATTTGCATTGCAACTTTGCAAAAATAAAACCAGTGCTATCATGAAACTGCATATATTGAGTTTTATAAAATTTGCATCAAATCGAAATAAGCGTCACATGCGTACGCAATTAAAATCTCATACTGAGGCTGGATGGCATAATATCACGCTATGAATGAACGACGCTCCATTTCAGAAACTTTAAATGGGCCGAGGTTCTTGTCTGCTGCCAAACACTTTTGCACTTTGCTTACCTAAATGGTTTAGGTTGTCGCAACACGAAAATCTACGGAAGTTGTAGATTCTCAACAAGCAACTCCTGTAAAAATAAAATGTTGGCATCGATAATCATTCCTTTTCTCTCAGCTACGTTCAAATACGTTGGTAGATTTCATAGTAAATACACTTTCAAGGCTGGATTGATGACTTACGATATATAAATACATACATTCTATGTACATACATAATAATTTGCGTGCATGTGGCGTCTTGTACTATACTTTGTCAGTTTTTATTACTTTTAAGAAACTCTTAAGAAAATGTCGAGTTTGTACGTTTCCGAAAATATTACTGTGTTGTATAAATTAAACAGCAGCAAATTAAGAAAAGCTTGCAGTAATCTGTGCACATTATGTACTTATTATTGTGCACCGAATAATGGGTCCAACGAGTTTGTGGAAAATTGCCTATTATAGAAATGCAATGCATGAAAGTTTATAAAGTGATGGTTAATGCATATATTACTTGGGAAATTGAAACACCATCCATAATCACCGGCCTACCTCTGGGAAGATGCTTAATACAAAAGGAATAGGTAAGAAAGGCACTTATGTTAGTTTACATTATTGGTGCATTCTTTTGTGGCTCTCGTTGGCATTTTCAGGACGTACCTTTATTCTAGAAAGGAAATAACAATAAACTGTGTCATCATTTATGAGCCATGAATTGGGACACATGACCAATTATAAAAGACCCCTCCACTATAAATATTCAGTCAACGAAAGCTAACTCACGCCTATTTGAGCAAATCAATAAATTGTTGTTTCGTTTGCAATAATATTTTGCACATAGTATGGCAGACCAGCCAGCCGCACAGCATAAAGCAGAATTTTCAGGTTGTTGGTGCACCCACGAGACATTTCTATCGGAAGAAAATCTCGTCGCCACTGCAGCACCACACGATCACAGCATTTTCTCCAACTCCGTGCATACTTTCATCGCATGGCATAAGAAGCACAAGCATGCAGAACCGATGAAAGGGTAACTCCATACAACGAGGAGAGAGAAATGTAGCATAAAAAACAGGGAGCTAAGCAAATGGAACAAGGAATAATAGTTAACAAGGAAGGAACACGATACTAAAACTAATGTGGAGAAAGCACAGTGAAAGCAAGCTCCACGAGAGCAGAAAATGTTGGCACAAACACGTTCCGCTTGCCTTCCACCTGCTTTAATATTATGCTTATGTTCATACACGCTCTGAGAAAATCTGGACCATTTTTTGCCCTTCTACTTCCACAGACTTCCCAATGCCAATGCAATTTATTAGCAGAAGAAGAAGCAATAATAGTTTGCGGCATTGTTGTCAATCAAATTTTTATAGGTCATGCTATATCTAATTCGTCAGCATTACAGTACCACTCAAATTATAAGCAATTATTTGTCTCCAATTCGCATTTAATGAGTAGCATTATAGTTCTCTTTTTCCACATACTAAATATTTATACGCGACTTTTAGTACATACGTACATACAATAATTCAAGGCAATACTATATGGTTTCACTCTATTGAAAGGAGGAAATTGATGGGGATGGAATACATTTACATTTGCAGAAATGGCCTGTGCTATTTCTAGAGTTGGGGGTAATCCTGCACCAATCCTGAGAGAAAGAGAGTGTTCTTGAGAGTGGAGCAGGAGAAAGCTGAGCATGATGGTGCATGGTGGCCTTTATATTACACGAGTCCGTGCTGGAAGTAGACCATGGTGGATTTTCTATCTGCTTTCAAGAGTTCTGGATGGGAGGTTGCTACGATAATGACAAAAAGAGCGAGTTGCTTTTCACCACTGCTTCTCTAAGCCGAGCATTCTATTCCGGATCCCCGTGTAGCTCAAATGCCCAGGCTTGTGAAGAGTTTTTCGAGGAGGGATGTGATGGAGAAGGAAAACGGGCGGCTTTCTCCATCCGCATGAGAGAGAGAGAGAGAGGGAGAGAGAAAGGCAGCAGCAGCAGCAGAGGTCTGGATATATGGAGTAGTATTGATCTGACGACAAGGAGGACGGTGGGTTATAGTTGGGAGAGGCCAACCAGCGAGGCAGACCGGCCAACTAACTAACGATAGGCAGGATTCATCGAAATCAGCTCTGGGTGGTTTAGGAGGAGGGAGAAAGCAGTTCTTTTATACAGAATGGAGACAACGTGCCTGATCTGCCTTCACTCCAGTTATTTTAATTCACTACCTGCATCACGTCAGACAAAGAGCTCGTTTATCATGGGCAGCGGATATTAAGCAGTAAATATCCATTCCAAATCTGTTCTCTCTCTGCACACTCTCGACGAGGAGCAAGTGAGGCAGTGGAGCCATAGGAGGAGAAAGCTATAGGGGGGCAAGGTCGGCAGGCGAAAATTATTAATACATACATAATCGGAGTACGCATAGCAGCCTTCGTCTTCTTAATCCTTCTTCTTCTTCCTTCTTAACAGCGCCCAGGAGTGGTGGCCGTCTTTCGTTCAATCATGTGCATAAATGTCGATACTTTCATTTCCTTATGCCAATTTACCCCGTGCTTACCACTTTTAATATGGGACTCGCTTCCACTATTCTGACGATCACGTAAATTATAGTCAGATCTCCATCAGCATTTTAGTTGATATTACTTTCGGCTTCCCTCAGTATATCTGCATATTCAATTTGTCGCAGTTTGACTGAATTTTGAATCTCATTCCTTGTCGTAACTCGAAAGTTTACATGAAAACTTGAATGCAATAATAAAAGTCTGTTAGGAATAGAACAAGAAAAATTCATGCAAATGAATCTGCAAATGCAAGCGTTAGAGAAAGTTAGCGAGAACATTTACCTTCTTGCTGGAGCTGTCTCATCACTTGCGGTGCTCATCACTTACTACTTATTCAATGTCGCAAAGGTACTTCCGCTTGACATATATTTCACTTTTATACATGAATATTTAAATGGAACGAAAAGATCATTTTCCGTTTCAAATAATTTTTTGAGTAATTATATGTAATTCAATAATTTATTTTTAAAAGGAGCCCAGGATTCATACCAGCAATGAAAAGCTGCGTGCATTTTTGGACAAACATGTGCACACTCTAAAAAATAAATATTATCCATCGTGTTTCTGGGAAGGGAGGTTACAATCCGTGATGGGCTTGCGTCTCAGGTGACGACTAGTGACGATAAATTCCTTAAATTTATATTTTAAAATAAACGCAATGAAATTTAAACCATGACGTGAAAATTTGATTCGCATGATTTCAGACTTTCTCCAGCTTTCAAATTGCCTTATCGACGGGAAATAGTGACACTTTTGGATGGTGGTCAGGTCGGTATTGATTTTCTGGAACCAACCCAGAAGAAAGACAAAGAGTAACACCCCATTTATATTTACTTTATTTTAACTTTGATTTCGATTCGATTGAACAATTTTGATTGATAGTTGATTGATTATTTTGAAGGCCTAGCCTTAAAGTACTTATCCTACCTGGGTTAACTAGTTCGTCCCAAACTTCTTACGTAAAAACGCTAGCAATGACGTGTCAAAGTGCTGGGGCTACAGTCATTGTGCTAAACCATAGAGGACTTGGAGGAGGTAATGTCACATAAGCCTTGAACATTGACCAATTTCTCTTTATGGCCATTGTACATGTTTTTACTGAACATTTATTTCAGTTCCCATAAAGGTGATGCCCTCATTTTCTGTTCTTTTGGAGTGGAAACTCGTCGTTCGTAACTCACAAGCTAATTATTTATAACTAATATGATTTATTAATAGACACCCAGACTGTATTCTGCGTCTAACTGTGAAGACCTAGTCGAAATAATTCACTACCTGAAACGAAAATACCCTGGAGAAAAGATGATGACAATAGGAACGTCGATGGGAGGGTACGTGGTCATTGGCAATCAAATCACTGGGCATTAAGGTATTAATTTGTGACATGAATTTCATAGAATGGTTTTCTGCCAATATATGGTCAATCACCAACAAGAAGCACAGGAAACATTTATCTGCGCAATGGTGATTTCCATTTGTTGGGATGTGGTCAATGGGGTCAAAAATCTAGAAAAGCCATTTATTAACCACTACGTCATAAACTACGGGTTGACTCAAAATGTAAAATTTTTGTCAAAAATGTAAGTATACAGTTTATACAATCAAATCAATTTGTAAGCTTTAAATTTATAAAATATTGCAAACTCTACTCACCAACTTTTCTCCTACAATTTTCCTTAAATAGGTACCGACAAGTACTTGAGGTGCGTTGCAAGCATTTTTAGTTCCAAAATTATAAGTCGTAATTAGACCCTTATTATTTCAATTACCATTATAGGTTCGTGACTGTTGGGACTTTGAAAAAGTAAGAATATGAACGCATGTACGTAGGTGTTTTATTATTGATTTTCAAAAGGTATGTTCCGCACTGTTTCTGACCAAAGTTTTGATGAAATAATAAACTTCGAATACATTTAGGAGGCTGTGATTTTTTTCATCCCTGTGGGTTAACATAAACGCTGGCAATAAATCGGCAAACTTTACCTCGGCGGAAAAAATGTCAGATTTGCAAATTAAATATCGTAGTGTGATTTAATTTTTAATGCTGGATGGGTAATACGTGTCGCAGATTTATGATCGAATGCTTAAAATTTACGATGAAAACTGCCCAACACAAAACACAAATTCAATTGTGCCAATAATTTTAAATGATGGCGAAAAGAGATCTCGGACAAAAAGTCGCCAGGACGCTCAAAATCCGTTTCTTCCACAGAAAGGCTCCGGAAACTAGAGGAACCAATAATGAGAAATCCGTGATTGAAACTGTCCTATTTAGCAGATGAGATGGGGGTTCCAAAAACAACAATTTGTTCCATGTTAACTGAAGACTTCGGTATAAAAATGGTTTCCGTCCTTTGGGTACCAAAATTGCTTTCGGCATCTCACAAACAGGACCGAGTCGACTTTTGCAATGCCAATTTTAGCCTATTAAATAAAGACTTGAATCTGCTCAATATTTTATTAGCTGGATATGGTACTTGGGTATACTATTATGACCCGGTGACCAAATAATAACTCATTCAGTGGTAGCACGAGGGGTTGCCACCGCCCGTGAATTGAAAAGTGCAAAAATCTGACAAAAAATTGATGATGACCATTTTCAAGGATACCAAAGGTCTCCTCCTTATAAAATTTATTGCTGGAAATACTACAATAAACGGGGCTGTGTGTGCAGGAACCCCGATGGTGCTGCGTCCTGCGGTTGAAAAGAAACGTGGGGTCAAAATAAAGAGTTGGCCTTTTTTTAGACGACAACGCACCACCAAATACCTGGCTGTTTTAGAGGGCTGCTGCAGACGAAAATCTCTTTACCTGCACAAACCACACCCCGTGCAGTCCAGACTTGACCCTTAGTGATTATTATTCGTATCGAAACTTAAAGAAAGACATCAGGGATAAACGGTATTCGGATGATAATGAAATCAAGTCGTAAATTTTGGCATATTTTCGAGGTAAATTTTGATGAGTTGTTGCTAGCGTTAATGATAACTTACAGAACTGAAAAAAATCACAGCATCCTAAATGTATTTGAAGTTTGTTATTTCATCAAAAGTTTGGCCAGAAACAGTGCGGAACATACATTTTGAAAATCAATAATAAAACACCCACGTATGTACGTATTGCTTTTACTTCATTTCAACGAAGTACATGTGTGATTAGTTTAGTTATTGGTTGCATGAAAAACTACATACAAAACGTTACCGTGTCACTGGTCCTTAGTGTCTCAAAATACATAAACTTTTGCAGATTCTTCGCAGCACGAACCTGAGGGAATTTGACTCTCATTTTACAGCTCCTCAATTTGGCTTTGAAACTGTGATGGATTACTACAGGTAAAATATCACCAAACTGTCAATGAATGATGTGATGAGACATTTTTATTTTTCTTAAACAATAAAGAAAGTGTGAACTAAGGATTAAAAAGTTTATATTTGAATTCCATATACAGATCTGCTACTGTTATAGATAACGTTGACAAGTTTACGATTCCTGTGTTTGGACTTTCTTCTGAGGACGACCCTTTGCAACCCCTGTCATGTAAGTTCATAGTAAAATATTGTTTTAAAACTGGCATGTTAAAGAAACTCATCATCATTTTGACAGGTCTGCCGATTAAACAGGCGGAAATGGAAGGGAGTAATTTGGCGATGATTGTGACCGTCCGAGGTGGACACCTTGGTTTCTTGGAGGGCGTGGTTCGGAAACCTTTTCATTACATGGAACGAGTGGTGCATGATTTTGTGACGGGAGTTCGAAATCACAGGGAAAATCTTTTAGGCTTCAATGAGAACTAATTACTACAATAATCCGCAGTTTTGTCTGAAACATTGCTCTGTTCCACATTGATGACATCAAGCAATTCATAGTATAATTCCCTATTCAGACACAGGGAGGGATACATAAATAGCTCATATATGTAGCTCATTACATGTTTGCAAAGCGCAAAACAAAATTTACTGAGAATATAGACGATACATACAAATAACTCACCTGAATAAACCACATGGCTCATGTTGCGTTGTGTGCATCTCAGTCAGTACATATATTATGTAATAATACATGCAGTTCAGAGATACAATGACGACGATAATGTAATCAATAATGACGTGTATGTATATTTAGTATATGACATATGACAAGTTGCAGATTGTGGGATCCTGGTGATACATACATTGTAGTGTATTTGTTATTTTTTTCATCAGAATGCCTTCATCCATTAAATGTATGTGTATATACAGGAATAGTCACTCTGCACTTTTATTGCCTATGCAAAACGGGCTCATGTATAAATGATAACCATTTAAATCGTTTTCATGATTCCTGAAATGATAAGGCCACGTCTTTATTGCTAGAAATTAATTATAGGGACAGAGTTTTCAATATAGTTTTGAAAAGTGCAAGTTTTGTGATAATATATCAGTCAAGCCCATAAATATTAGCACAAAGGACTTTAAACCTACAAAGGAAATCAACTATACATACATTTGGTTAACTGTAGATCGATTTAGGTTAAGTATCTTACATATTATCGAGGATGAACTAAAGTTTGGGAGGTAACCGACAAAAAACTATATAATTTTAGATTTTCATGGTCCATTAAAAAATTCCAGCTACAATAGGAGGGTTGGTGGTTTTATATTATTCGTAAATAGAAGTACCTTATGTGCTCGCCTATAGTAATTCCATTGAATTTTTTATGTGTATTGATTTTCAATAATAAAGATTCAATTTTATTAAAGATTAATGATTACATGAAGTTTGATTTCCAAAAGGAATTTCTCCAACATAACATTACAATAATAATTATAGTAATACGAGACAGTATGCAAATAAAATTGGATTGCACATATGTATTTAAGATAATGCTTCAAAGCATATATGTAAATATATGCTTTGACGAACGTACGAACAAGTATATCGTACTCGTACAAGTATAATCATGAACATTTGCCTTAATAATTTAGGAGTACTAAGCAAATGGCTTACCAGCAGTAAATCTATTGATTAAATCAAATGCATACTTGGGTTGATCATATGGCACGATATGCCCTGCATTTCGTACCAAAAGATAACTCAAATTATCTTCAGCTTTTACATATCCTGCAATTTCATTGCCAACTCTCCAAATTTTCCGGTCAGCATTTTCCCAAGATGTTTGTCCATGCCATGATAATTTGTGAAGAAAATTTTCTGTCAATACGTTCGCAACTATAATATCGAGCTGCCCGTTGTAAAATAAAACTTTGTAGCCTTCCTTGGCGTCCAAAATGTCGATAATCAAGGGAGACACTGACTTGTACATATCTTCTCTCATAAATTTCTCAACCGTACTTCCGTCATTGTAGGTTTTATTGCCCACATGAATGGAACGTCGAACGTGGGGCTGTTGAACAAACGCATTATAGTATCCCATCTCCTTAGGCTCCGCAGACATGAGGAAATTGAAGTAGAAATCAAATCCAGTACAATTCTTAAAGTAGGAGGGCCCTTCTGTTAAATCCCCGTCCAGTAATTCGTCAATGACCTGTCATGGAATAAAACCTTTCTCAATTTTCTATAACTAGATTAATCGCAAATCTATCTATTTACCATGAATGCTTCCATGAATTTTTCGTTCTTGATAAAGTCTCTCGCTTTGGCTTCCATGCTTCTAAAATAAATTCTCTGGGTTTGATCCACCAGCCCAATATTGTACAAATAGTCCCCATAGTTCAACATGTTCTCAGGATCTGAGAACCCATCGCCAATCACCATTCCCTTCAGGTTAATTTTAACTTTGGGCGACTTTTGATTTTCTTCATGAATTTTGTGAACAATGGCTGGAACATACTTTCCTAATGATTCATAAAGGCATCTGTTTGCACTTACTGTAATTCTCAATAGTCTACATACACAATACTGCTATTAAATAAATACCTGCATAGGATTCCCCAGTTGCATAAAAATCTAGAGATTGGTACTCTGGAAAGAGCGTGTAAAATTGTGTCATTGCACTGTAGACATTACCAGCCACATCATCTTCGGATTGGGCGTACCCTTTATCATTCTCCGTGAAACTGAAGCCTTAAGAATTTGTCATATTTACTTTAAATTTGCATCACAGATAGGACAAAAAATAAATACAGCGAGATCTTCATACATACCAGTGCCCACGGGATTATCGATGTATAACACTGAGGACCATATCAATAATAAATACAGTAATAGTAAGTACAATAATAAATAGTTGGATATTATGCGTGATACCTGAGTGAGTCAAACTCCAAGAAGTCGTGCGGAATGTAATGTCGTTGTTAGCATCGATTATAAATGGACCATTTTCAACGAAAAGTCCAAACAGAGATGACCCCCTGGACCTCCCTGAAGCCACAACACCACAGGAGCTTTCTCGCTGTTGTACTGCAAAGCATATTCCAGTCACTTATCTGCGTAAGATTTTTTTGTATAATTAATGAGATGAACTTACTGCTGCAGGGAAGAACCAAAAGAACATGTTGGAGTTGTAAGTTTCGTTCACAGTAAAATAACCAGTGTAGCTCACAATTGATGTGAGATTAGTCACCAGAGATAGCTTTCGAGCTTCTTCGACCTTGCCAGAATTGAGTAAAGGAGTCACAAATAATGGTTCGCCGACGTCCCTTAATTTCTTATTACGTGAAATTTGTGCTGGCTTAGGGTACACTCTTTTACGTGAAAATCCATGTACTGTACATGCAGTAAGTACCAATAATAGCAAAAGCATAAAACACCGCATTATGAAGAAATGTTGCGAAAATTCTCTCTGAAATTATTGGGCTTGGTTGTTCTTTCTGTGTGCAGAAATCTTATAATATAAATAGTATGTAGCTTTATGGTAGGAATTGTCCGACTGAAAAGGGATTACACTATCTTCCTCATAACTTGAGCAGAATCTTTATCAGGAAATAAGAGACACAGAGAGAAGATAAATTCAAGACGACCTAACTACTTAAATTAAACTGTTGACTGCATGCATGTGAGTCAAGCTGATATGATTATACTATGAATATGAAAATAATGCAAAGCATATAACCAGAGGAAAGTAAATGTTGGTCTCTTTATTTGGATTTTGTTCCAAATAAATCATACAAAAGTCATCAAGTAGTAATACGCATGTACTTTATACTCTTTCGGTACAAAAATTAAATGAATTATTTGTGAAAGTATTTTACCATTAATACAAAAGTACTATTACGTATGTATAAATAGAAAATATGTAAGTTATAGTTTCACTTTATGCAAAAAATATGACATCTGAACACTATTTTATGTCTGAACTTTAGCCATATATACACAGAACTGCATAAAAAACACAAGTATTAAATCATCATCCTATGCATCTACTCTGGTTCCGCAAATAAAAAAGAAAACTTATTTAACAATTTTCCCTTCAGCCAACCCTACAATTCGTTTTTCTATCTCCTTAATTACCATATCGTACTTTGTATAAGCTCCAGTATGGAGCATACCACTTCGCATTTGTGTCAGTCTCTGAATCTCTTCTTCATTTGTTAGGGTCTCATCTGTTTGGTGCTGAGGTTCCTTTTTAGTACTTTCATGATTTTTTTCTGATCTTGCACTTGCTCCCTTCTTGTTCTCAGGAGCTGTTGCAGGCGGTCTGTGGTCTTGCATGCTGCGAATTTGCCGTGAACAATCTACTAGTACTTTTCTCTCCTTCTTCATTTCTTTATGTTGTTTATTAGCAAAAATCTGCAACCTAAATAAATATACCAATAAAAATCAATTGACTAGAATTACAACCGTTGAAAACTAAAGCGTAAAAGGAAAGTAACTACTTTAGCCTTAAATAATTATTAAATTCTCATACCGTAGAGCTTCATTTTCATCTTTTAGCTGGGCATCTCGCTCCTCTTGCAAACGGGAAAGTTTTACACATAAACTCTGAGATTGTTTCTTGTACTGGTCCCGTGATCGCTCTACTTCTATAACTTGCCTTTTAAGTAGTTTGTTCTGAATAAAATAAAAACGCACAAAAATATATTAATCCATGAAATTCTTCATGCATTCATGGGCATTTAAAGTACGTACCTCTTGCTCCAATAATTTCAATTTTTCAACTATGCGAGACTCAGGTCTCTCATATCTCTCCATCTTTAGTTTGTTAATATAATCTTCTTTCTCTTCTAATTTCAGTTCGAGGATCTCTAGTTTTCCTTTGCATTTCTTAAGTTCAGCCTCAAATTCTTGATTACGTCTACGCAGGGATGATATCTGGAATAAAAATATACACGCGACAATTTTATATCAATTTATAGTACTATAGTGAGTGAAACAGTGGATGACTTGCCTCGATTTTATGTTCTTCTTGCATTCTCAGAATACTGAGTTTCGCATTTTCCAAAGTGGCTGTACTGTCCAAATTTATTTTTTGGTTCAACTCAAATAGCTAAATAAAGTAATACAATTATATTTAAGGATCCCTAGCGTAACAAATAAATAACACGGTACTTACCTCTAACTCTTTCTTTTTAACCCGTTCTTCACGGTCAAGTATGCCTGCTGACAATTGGCGAACTTCTTTTTCTTTTTTTGATAGGTTGGCCAGTTTGTCAGCCATCAACTTTTCTCTTTGTGTGTCTCTAGAGGCAGCTTCTTGAGCAAGTATATTTAAATATGCCCTTTCTTTTGCTTGTAACTGTAAAAAATATTAGAAAGGCTAATCTCATTTAGCTAGAATTCATTGCTATGTTGTTAAATTTCAAAAAAATATGAACAACCTTGTGCTTAAATGCAGTCTTTTTCTCTGCTTTCCACGTGCGAAGGTCATCCGTTGTTTGAAACACCATAGCAGGTGGGACGTATAAATTTTCACCTGCCGAGAGGTCAGTACACTCTTCGATCTGGGTAATTTTATTTTCATTGGTATACTTGCTTCTCCGTGAAGTCGAAGGTATTGGTGGTGGTACACTTTTCGCAGTATTAAAAAACCCACGAGTATCATCCACATTTTCACCTTCCGAGAGGTTAGTATAGTCTTCGGTCTGGCTAGTCCTATTTTCATTGGTACTTTTGCCTTTTCGTGATATTGGTGGTGGTGCACTTTTCGCAGTAGGATAAAATCCATGAGTAGCCTCCACATCTTCACCTTCCGAAAGGTCAGTACAGTGTTCTTCAGTCTGGAAAATCCTATTTTCATCGACGCCCTGGCCTTTTTGTGAAATAGATGGTATAGGTGGTGGTACACTTTTCGCAGTAGGATAAGGTCTAGAAGTAGCGTCGACATTTTCGCCTTCAGAGAGATCAGTACAGTCTTCTTCGGTCTGGCTAGTTTTATTTTCATTGATATCTTTGCCTTTTTCTGGACTTTGAGGAGATTGTGGTGGCGTAGTTTTCATAGTGTTAAAAAATCCATTAGTAGCGTCCACATTTTTACCTTTAGAGAGATCAATGAAATTTTCTTCGGTCTGGATAACTTTATTTTCGGCGATATCCTTGGGTTTTAGTGTAATCGAAGGTACTGGTGGTGACAAACGTTTCACGGTGTTAAAAAATCCAGGAGTAGCTTCCAGTTGGAAAACAGTACGAACTTCTGGCTTCTCGCCGGGAATGATTGTATTTGGATACCCCCACTCAGATACGATATCTAAAGTGGTACGTAGCTCTGTGATATCTGCCTCAGCCAAATCTTTTAATTCTGCAAAACTAACTCCCATAACTTCTTCATTGATTAAATCTTGACTAGAAGAAAGTTCGAATCTAATGACATGAAATTCAACTGCCGTTTCCTGAATATAATCATAAAAATATGGAGCAGAAGCTCTTATCCGAGCAGTGGCTTTGTCCCCAATGAATGTTCTTCTACTTGGATCGGAAGTGCTAAGAACAAACGGATCCGATTTGATCTCACAACCATAAGCTTTGTACCGTATTTGCCAGACATAATTATCAGCTTCTGCTGGTTTCTTTGGGCTTCTGCCATTCCATAGCTATTCATACCATAATAATAAGTTTAATATTAAGCAATACATGAACATTGTAAGACTAGAAGAAAATTTATACTTACAAATTGTAAATTGTGAGCAGAAATTATAGTTATGTTGAAAATGTACAAATCATCACCATCTGCTGGTTCTCCTAATTGAAAGCACCCATCTGTTTCACTAATTCGCCAGGTAAACTTATCCACAGAATTCTGTAAAGTCACCATAAATTCAATCACATAGATCAATATGTGCACGGATTTTTTTTTATTACAGTATCGTCATAATACCTGAATTTCTGAAATAACATCCACTCGAGGCGTTTTATCAATAGACTCTATATTTTCAAATCTTGGCTTTTCTGGAGAAACTTTTGTCTTATTTGAAATATTGACCTTCTTTTCATCAATAACTTTTCTTTGTACGTTAGGGCTAGTAGTTAGTTGTTCAACTGAGTAGTCTTCGATATGCAGTTGCATTAAAAGTTTCGGGTGGTAATTTTTCCATTGCTCTTTAGTTCCAAGTAGCGGATATGAGTGCTGAAATAAAAAATTTAAAAATCACATAATTTGGTAAGTTTTTGCAGAAATTGTTTCTAATATCTTATTTCTAATGTTATTAATATTTATTTGCGTACAGCCTTGGATGCTTCAACATCGCCTCCAGACCATGGGAAGGCATCTTTGATGTGTAAAACCGTATAGCCAAGCTCAGTATGATGTTTGCTAATATCATTAAGCAAGAGACACCGTACTTTTATAGCCGTTTTATTTGCCCGGAGACTGCAACATAAATTTCAGTTTTATTAAAGTACGCTTAATAATAAACACCAATAATTGAATATTTTTCCTTACTCTTTCAACTGACGTCTCGAGAATTGCCACGCTAATTGCACATTGAACGCAGGTTCTGTGTTGGTTGAAGATATTGGGAAAAACCCAGAACGCAAAACTTCGTCACAACCTGCAAATAGAAAATCCCATTTTCCAATTACTTGTAAACTAAATTTATAAATGACATTTAAATAGTTCTATTATTTTTTTTACTTACATTTCGCCTCAATTTTACACCTTACACCGGGTTCTTTACAGACGAAATTCTCTCCTACCATTCATAATGCAATATTTGTCGTAAGAATTTTTTATTCAAATAGATGAATTATCTCTTCATATCAGGTAGTAAGTAATGTATAAAGCATACCTTTGAAAAGAGTGAGGACCAAAGATAGTTTTTCTTCCTTCTCTCTACTGGCCATATTTTCTAATTCCAAATATTGTTAACTTGCATATTATTGAACGCGTTTCACTGGATGAAAAGTAAAATCCGAAATCAAAAAAGTTGAACTTTTTCAAAATACCGACCACACCACGATTGCTTGACATTTAGTATCTAGGTAACTCTTGGGTCTTTTAAAAGACCCAAGAGTCTACGAGTCTACAAGCCCTACGGTCTCACCCGTTGTCAAAATTGTAACTTCCTACGACAAATTTGGGACTTTTCTATGGCATTTAATTTTTTCAGTCAACCCCTAACCACTTAAAAGTCCCCCACCGACCTAACCTATCACGTCTATCTTCGAACCTATCCTTATTTTTGACCCGAAGACGAACTTCGCAAAATATCAGGTCGCTAGCTTGTGTTTAAGGAGAAGTATCATGTATCGAAATTTTATTCCATCTACTCCGATGATCCCCACCGGTCAACCACTTGACCGATTTCGCCCATCTTCGAACCCGTTTCCTAACTTTGTCCAATATGTACAGGATAAAAATTTCAAGTCAATCGGTTCAGCCGTTTTTACTATCGTGTTTACGGACGGACGAACATGACGGTTCCGTAAGCCCTGCCTCGGGCTAATAAAAATGAGAATTTATTTTATAACTCGGCCATTTGTCGTAACCTTATAGATTGATAAAGTGTCAAATAATCTTGCGACCACACCAATAATTATTAAATAAAGTTGTCATACCAAAAAAGAGATTCGCTCGCACGTGTCGAACGGTGAAATTAAAATTGTCCGTTCGAGTCTCCAGTGTTTTGCTGTGATAGTGGACGGTTTTTTTTTGCTGGAGGTGTTGGCGGGTGCGTGACTCTGCCCATTGTGCCCCTACACGTGCCTCGCTCAAGGATTGGCAAATATACGTTCGTCTCATTTGCTTTCTCACTTCACAAGTTATTCACATTCACACTTTGAATTTTTGTTGTTATTCATTTTTGCAAATTATTATTATAATCATAATAGTCAGATGGGATTGCTGCTGTAAATGTTCAAATTCTCTCCATTTGGATAATTTAATTTGCTGGCAAGCTGGTCAACCTGTCGCCTTCGTGCAGTTTTGCTTTTATGGAGGAGTTCAGAGTAAGTTTGTTCAATTGATATATTTTGTGAATTTACCACTACTTAAAACTATTCAACTTCAAGTTATAATTAAGAATATTGCTAATAATTGATCATTCATAATAAATCCATATATTCCATATAATATAATATTCCATATAATCCATATAATATTGGAAAAGTTTTTTATTTGCTTATATCATTTTAAATTTTTATGTATTTCTAGCAAGCTGACCGAGCTCTGCTGGAGTCAATGACAGGAGATTTCGAAATTGGTCAAAGTGCTCCCTCTCCTCCGGCTAAGCCAACTTGACACTCTCTGAAAGCCCTAATAGACCAGAGGACTCTTCTATTTAAATAACATTATGGATCGTTGTCCTGTCACTTCGACCGCTTTGAAGCCTGACGGTAAGGCACATAGACGCTCCAACGTGCCGTCGCGTACATCCCGAAGCAGGAGTAAAAGCAGAAATCCCAGTCCAAGGAAGCAAAGTAGTAAGCAGACCACGACCATGATTTTGGAACATCGAAAGTCGAAGGAAGAGCGCAGTCAAAGTCCACGAAGGAAAACTTCACTTGCTACCATAGAACTTGATCAGAAACTCGCAAGTACACGGACATCATCAAAGGAAACAATTAGCTGCACTTCTCAATCTTCTCGTCTCAACAAGTACAAAATTCCTAAAAAGTCAACCGTGTTAGACAGTGCAAGCGAATCTAGTGTTTCCAAATCAGATCAAACAGTAGAAGCGATTCTCAAGGCAAAAATGGTAAAATCAGTTTCCACACCACAACCACAGCTTTCACTTATAGCTTCCGAATCACAGCCGAGTCTGCTAAACAATAAGGAAAGGAAGGAAGCTAATGTCAGGATGGGCAACGTTAAAACGTTGGAGGAAAGAGATTCTCAACGAAAGCAACGGCAGCCGCTGCAAGCCAAACGACGACTTGCTCAAAATTCTGCAAGCAATCTAAAATGCAAAAGTGAAGATGACATCCTTCGCATTCCGAAGAAGGGCGCAACCAACACCACGAAAGTTTTTGCTGATTTACCCGATTATGAAGATTCTCTGGACCAGGACGATGACGATGAGGGGACGGATGCGGATTTGAACAACCCAGTTAGTACATTTATGTGTTTTTGTTCAAATTGCATTCTTATTTTTTTTATCAATGACAGATTCCTAAAATTCTGAAAATGGTGAAAGACGATAATAATAATGGCGTTGGAACGGAACCTCACGGACCAGTGGTATCAGAAGTAACAGCAATGGACGTGGATATTGATGTACACATGGATTTGTCACCGCCACTTGCTTCTTCGAAAATTATTGTAGTTCCAGATACCAATATCTGGATTAGTAAGCATTTTATTGATATTTTATTCTGTTCAATATATTAGGGAAATAAATGGGATTTATTTGTTTGTTCAAGATAACTTGGGTCTAATTGAGACCATCGTGAATAAAGACTTCGCCAAGCCCGTCATCATTGTAATACCTTGGATGGTTCTGCAAGAATTAGATGTTGGTCTACACCAGAAAGCAAAACCTGGACAATCTTTAGCGCAAATGAGAAGGCCTGTCCAATACATACATTCTCTTCTGGCAAGCAATCATCCCAAAATTAAGGGACAGAAGGCATATGAAGCAGCCATTTCCAAACTCAAATTTGATGAAATAGTTGCTGATGACTCAATTTTGAATTGCGCAGTTCAAAATTTAAAAATCAATACTACTGTGGTGAGTTGCTTGCTAATTTGCATTCAAACTTCTTGCAAATTAATTTGTCATATATTAAAAAATGACCATTTTCTTTTAGATATTCTTATCAAATGACAAAAACCTACTTAACAAAGCACTTGTAAATGAAATTATTGCATGCTCAAGTGGGAATGCAATGGACAAGATTACTGAGGCCGTGCTAGGTTCTAATCTTCAGCCAAGAACTCCATGTCTTCCATTTTCACCGCCATCGTCATTCTTAATCCCCTCTGCCTCGACAAATTCCGTACTGTATCCCCCAAACTTGGCAGTCAAAAGACGTTTAGAGTCATCCGACAGCAATAGTAGCAACGACAGTTTGGACTATATTCTTGATAATAATAATGACGTTGAAATGCAAGAGGAGGCTTCAGATCCTAGTCAACCTTTATGTAAGGTTAGAGCTGTCGGAAACACTTTCTCGTCATCCTTCAAACCCGAAGAAGCTGATTCTTTTCAAGCGTTGGAAAGTGCACTTTTAAAAGCATTCAGCTACGTAAGCATTTCCATCTTAATTGTGTAATATTATCTACGCTATGCATTGAGTACACAATTTGTATTCTCGCAATCTCGCATTTACAGATTATTAGGAGAAAAATGATTGAAGATTATGGGATGGGTGGATGGGAATATGCACTCAAAATTAAGCCTCCATGGACTTTAGTGAATGCCGTCAAATGTATGTTGGTACACTGGATAGCCAACTTTTCATATGTGTTCTCTAGGAGGGGACAAACACATTTGGAAAGTCTCAAGCCACTGGTTGAAAGTCACAAGTATGCGCGATCGGATAGTCGCAAGCGCTTGGAAGAACGTATCATTGATACCTGCATCTCCCTCTTCAACTTTCTGCATAAAGATTTTGAAGAGGCAGATACAATTGTCGAATGCAGACGCATTTTACTGGTACGGCCTTACTTCTTTGTATGTATATATTTACTTCATCTTCAATTAAATTATTATGTGTATGTAAATATATTTCGTTTGATTTTAGGAACTCTCTTTACCGGGCGCGAACAACTCATTTGATGTTACAAATCAGAGCAATCAATTATAAACTTAGAATTATTCGTCCTTGCAAGAGCTATCTAGTCATAGCCCGTTTACTACAATTATGACAATTAATAATTACTTACGACTCAGCTATACCGTGCCCGTCCAAGAAAATATATACAATAGACATGTATGCATTTTGCATACTACGAAATGAATGTTTCGTATATTTATTTGAAAAAATGTATTTTTGTACTTTGCAGGCTTACATAAATGTTTTGTATGCTATTACTAAAATGTCATCAGTTCATTATTATCCGCAATTCCAGTTATTGGATCGGCTGGGGGTGGTTTGCAGTTGTTGTAGTTGTTCCAGGTCTGTTGGTAAAATAGGCAGAGGTGTCATAATTTATGACATGCAGTCCAAGCCCAGTCACAACTAGTAGGTCAGGTGAAACAAACTCGATTGCAAGGATATTTCTTGGCAATATTCTTTTGCATACAATCACCCATTCAGGAAGTATTTCATCCATATATTTGTAAACTAAAAGTGCCTAAAATGGAACCGATAATAATAATTATTTTATTTTTTAATTGAATTGAATTGAAATTGAATAATTTATATAAGCAGTTACACTCACACAACCAAAAGTTCCAATAATAATTTCATTCTCTCCATCCCTATCAACATCTTCGACGCAACAACACTCGACAGCATCCCATCTTGAACTGAATTTAAGGGGACTCCCAGCTCGAAAATGTTCTTCGATAACATTTCTTTAATAATTTGTAATTATTTTCATTATATTATGTACTTATTGTTGGTTAAACTTGGATTACTTATTATTATGAAAACGCTTATGACTAACGTGTAAACGTAAGTAGGAGAGAGAGCAGAAGCAACAATAATGTTTAAGCTGAATCCATCCGTATATGATTTAATTGAGGTGATCAGTCCTTCGTAGTAATGTTCAATGGTTTCAAAGCTCTCGTCTAAAGATTCCAACATGGAATCTGTCATACATTCCCCATCCTCTGCACATGCACTTTCTGGCGAAGACTCATCAGATTTTGTCACATGATTCGTTGATTTATTACTCTTCTCCCATAATTGTATGATGTCCCGTGCTCTAGATGTACTTGTGGTATCTTTAGTTTCGGAGATGGACATTCCTTCAAAAGCATCATGAATCGACTTTGAAGGTGTAATGCTTCCTGACGTGACGGTAGTTTCTGAATCCATACGTCTTCGACGATGAAATTTTGATGTAACAACCCAAATCAATAAATTCCCTGATTCCAATCCACACATAGTTATTCTTCTATGATTAATTAACAAAACAACTCGTTTGTATCGTTCGGTATTAAGTTTAACATAACCATATCATTATTGTACCTTGTGAGCTCGTTGACTGGCTGAATTAAAATTCGGGTACATATGGAAGGGAAGGTTTGTGCTACTGTAAGTTGTAAGTATGTACGTATGCAAAAATTTGGATATACATTAATGATTAGTTCAGTAAAAAAAATGTTTTTTTTACATTCTGGGAAATAAGTTTTCACCGGAACTTCTATAAACGTCAAGTTGTCCTCGTCTGCTTCATAAGAGTGAATTTTCTTATCAGATCCACTTATCAGTAGAATGTTTCCCTAATCATGGCGATGATAAAAACCATAAACATTCACCTAATTCATCGTTTGTATGTAAAATGCGAGTCTTAAGTATCTTACAAAGTTTCCATTTTCCTTTACGACTGGAATATGGTACAAATGATAGGGAATGTAATCGAGAAGAAAATTAGTACAGTTTTGTGCAAGCAATTCAAACTGACTAGAATGAAATTCTTCTTTGGGATGAAAAGTTGACTTGATTCTAGAACCATCTGAAGACGTCGAAGAGGTTGACGTTGGAGAGTCTTGATCCACGGAAATCCAAGTTGAGTAGATGTTTAAGTGCGACGTAACAAATCCTCCTTTTCCCATCCCATCTGGAATTGCACCGTTCGTGGACGCATTGCATTTCTATAAAGATAACCCAAAAATGAAAGAACCACTAATTACAAGAAATATGCTTATAAAGTGATTATTCTTAAGAAACTCTACTGTTACTTGTCTTACCTGGACATATGCCACCGCTAACACTGGAAATGCGTCGATGTATGCGTCGATTGAAATAATGTCACACTCATCTGAATAAAACAGCAATTATATATATGCAATAATGCGCATACTAAGACTTGCGATCTTTGTGTAGATAACTATTGATTACGTAATTATGTGGTTGATTATTACAAGGTAAGTTTTGAAGGGGCAATTGTTGCATGATCGAGGCCCAAATGTGGGCGTAGATTTTCCCATAATTACCCGTCCCGATTATGAGATGACTTCCCAAACGCCCCACTGAGTAAATTGTTCCCTGAGAAGGTAACTGGTTGAACTGCTCCTCCTTCATGTTTTCCTAAAAATCATCTATGTTTTCTGGACTTGCAGTAAACTTCTCAACTGGAACGAGAATGAAGACAAATCGTGGTGAAAGTCCTTGCCGCTTCAAAATCAACAACAAAGGCAAAGTGAGACTGCTCTGAGTGAAAGCTCCCAACTTTCTCTCTGTATGTGAAGCAAAAACGAGGTGAGGCGACAAAATAATAGCAAATTTGTGCTACGTCGCATTATATTTGGTATTATGGATATGCTAAAATTTAAATGGATTATGATGTCGTGTGTGGCGTGTGCAGTAAGACGATATGGAGATATGGACTCGTTGTTTATACATAGAACATTATGGAATGCAAAAAAACGAGATACGAATTTCAGCGTTTTACAACGACTAAATGTTTTTTTTTTTGCTTTGACAATTTATTTTCTCTTTCAACATAAACTGACGAGACTAATTTCTAAGAATTTCGAGGTAATTGTACTTATAAATTGATCATCCGTGATCAATCAAGAACAATAAAATACTATTCAAGTACATTAAGATCCCAACGTATTTATTACACATAAGATTTAATTAGTAGATATATATATATGTTAGATATATGAATATATAGGTAATCGTTAATCATCATAAATATTTCGGACATACATAATAATCATAATAATAGTAATTAATGAACTGAGCAAAAAAATCCACATTTTGTTACATTATAAGTACGAGTACTGCTTTAGTTGGTGTGGGCATAAGAATATGAATAAAAGTACATAAACTCCCCATGCAATAACGTTGCATTCACAACTATCACATTCTACCAGGGTCTCCAGACTCCATCCTCCTCCAGCCGATACATGACCTCATGTTTGGAGAGATTGAGAGGTTCCGAGAATTCCTCGTCCATGGGCTCATCATCACCCTCCTCCTGTCTGGCGGACCGGCTTTCTCCGCCTGGACTCATGTTGTAGTAATTATGATTGTAAGAAGAACTACCAGTGCTACTCGTATGGGTGCTCAGGTTGAGGACGTAGGCGTTATTCGCATCGGTGGTCCTGGGCGTGGGCCGTAGGAGCATTATTGTACTGTCGTCAAGGAGTTGGACGGGGGGACTGCTCATGTTTGTAGTGCTCATAATTTGTTTGGAGGGGTGGTGGTGGTAGTGGTGGTGGTGCTGGCGGTGATGCTGAGGACGGATGACCCTTTCGAATGACTCGACTGACCCTGGGTGATGATGGTGAGGATATCCACCACCCTGCTCAGTAATGATGGTCCTTCCAGAAGGGGGAGATGAGTCACCGTTGTCACGAAGAAAGCCATCGAGCACGATGCTGGGAGGGAGGACGACGGTGGTGTTGTGGTTGTTGTTGGAGTCGTTGGAGAAAGCGGAGGGTGAGAGACAGGAGCTCTGGCTGTGGGTTGAGCTCGGAGCTTTCTTCGCCCGGCTAATAATAGTGGTGGTGGTGGTGGAACTGCTCGTGGGTGGTGAGAATGAGGCTTCCCTTCGTAACCGAGGGACATTGAGGGCAAATGTGGCAAATTGGGTATGACTCGGCTCCACAACTACCAAACCTTTGGTGGATGCGATGGGGAACAATTTCACAGGTTCTTCTTCCACGGAGGAAGGAATGGAGGAGGATGTGACACTTGTACTGCCACCTCCACCATTGCTGGACACAAGCATTACTGATGATGGCATGGCCACTCCGGCCTGGCTAAATGAGGTTGGTAGCTCTACATTTTGCTGAAATTGCTTCATATGCTCTGTCAATTTGTGCACAATGGTGCTTCCGATTTTGGATTTTTCAAGAAATCGAATCGTTTCAGAGAAGCATTCCTGGAATGAATCAGATTTACTTAGGATTAGTTTACTGGGACTTTTGTGAAATACAACATAAATACATGTCAAGAATTTGGAATTTGTCCCTGTACATGTTTCAAGGAGTAATCTAACCGGGCACAATCAATGCCCAAAGCAACAACTCAACTCCCCAGAGTCCAAATAAAATGGGAGTGCATTTAAGGCCATACAACTATAGCAGGTGCATTTATATTGTGTGGACACAGTCAAAGAGTGGAAGAAATAAGACTGTTCCGAAACACGAAAGGGCAAACGATATGCATACGCGGACCGAAAACACAATTTTATGTGATCTCATAATTAATAATTTTGTAAGGAAAGAAGGTGAAAATCAAAAGTTTCACTTTACCTCAAACCCCTCCATAAATTTTTGTTCGTCAGACTTTTTAACCGACTGAACATGCTGAAGCGTCAGTTCCAAAATATCTGCCTGCACGATGAGTTACACAAAAAAGAAGATAAGTTCCCGACTTATTTGTATAGACCATTCCATCATCATGTGAACTTACCTTCTCAAGAGACCTCTTTTGCGACCCCTGTGATCCCTGTTTAACAAAAAGACAGTCATATAACACAAATTGTGCATATAGAGCTGGCATATGTAGCAACCATGCAACAATTTGCAAAAAAAAGTCGGTGGGGCAACCTTAGCTAACTCCACGCGTGGTATACTTTTTCTGCCCAAAAGAACTACCCAGCGAATGGCTTATTGCCTTTTAAAACTCGGTTATTGGGACGACCAGTTCTATTCCATTGTTATTTAGAGGATTTAGTTTTGGGCAATTTTAAACAGTGAGAGCAATAAGTCGGCAAAATTTTATTACATGGCCATTGTAATTTACGTTTCCTTTTTCCAAAATGACACTTGAGCCACTTAACGGCAAAGTCTTAACCACCAAATTCTACTATATAACTAGAACTACACTACTATACAAAACGAGCGAGCTCCTGGAAAGGAGCACAAAGAAACGGTGGCCGACAACCAATTTAAAGAAATGGAGTCTGGTGGAGTATTATTTTTCTTTATGAGAGTGGCAATAATGGGGTGGGTGGTTCTGTTGTGGGCAAAAGAATAAATGAAATCAATCCATTTTCTCACCTCAACCCTCTGGTTGTCGACAATGAGACTCTTCAGAATCGCCAGACTTTGATTTATTCTTGCACGACGCCGCTTCTCCATCAGTGGTTTCGAAGCCTACATAAGAACATATTTATACATACATGTTTTCCCGGCGTATGGATAATGTAAGGTTACAAAAAATCCAACCACTCACCCTCCTTGTTTCCGCAGTTGTACTTTTATTGTTGGAAGTTTTATCTCCATTTGTGAATTTGGTGGAGTTTGCGGAGGCAGTCATTTTGTGTGTGGGAAAAGGTATACTTTTTTTGCACTGAATTTTGCACGTAAACTCTCCCGAGTTTTACGGGAGAACGAGGGGAAATGTATGTGTATAACAGCTCTGATGGATAGATATCAACTTTCCCTGGTGGAATGCAGAGAGAAAGTTGTGCTTCTCGCTAATTACTTGGTTTCCTCGGAGTTGAGTTCCGTAAAGGTGAAGGACAATTTGCAGGCAGTTCAAGCCGTGGTGGTGGAACAGTGCAGACGACGACGACGACACGCCAATTAATGGGAGAGATGGTTGCCTGCTATGCTATGCAAATAAATATTATCCCCGACTGTCCACTAATTCACCTCTTGACTTGCACAGGTCGGATCGGACTCTGTCCAGCCAGACGTATACGTACGTACACACATTCACTTTACGCTATTATAGCTTCCCCCCTTTGATTATGGAAATAATGGAGGGTACAAATAAACACTGCTGGTGATGATGATGATGATGAGAAGCTTTTGGCTGAATCAATGGATCACAAACACACACACACACTCTCGAGTCGTCTGATAAAAGCTAGGTCAAGCCACCAATTGAACAAGTCAGACAGACGTCGACTGTTTACTCACACTTCGTAGTCAAACCACATTCAGATGAGGAATGGCATTTCTGTGCAAATCGCTCCATTCAGCCACAAGATATTATCTCTCGCTCTCACAATATATACACAGTGCTTAATTGCTGTATAGTCCTGTTGTATATATGGTTATCAACATTTGTCCAACGCCAGACCAAAATGTCGAGCTCTCGTTCTTCTCGTTATATGTATATGTACCTGCACAATAATAATGCGTAGCCCTCGACTGCTCTAATAACAATAGGATAATAACTCCCCTTCTTCTGCACGGACCGTACGTACCTCTCCGACTGATGAGGATGAGCTGATGATGAGGTGAATGATTTGTTGAGGTATAAATGTGATTGGTTTGCGAGATTTGCGACACGAGCGAGAGTTGAGACTGTTTCTTCTACTGCTGGAGAGACCACAATTTGGCTATGTAGTTAGTTAGTTGGTGGTGATGTACCTACATACGAACGTACCAATAATACGTGTATGGATGTATGTACAAGTTATTTCTCTGATAGTTGGCAAAAATGTTATCTGTTGCAGACAGGACAGCGAGCGATTCTATGTACATGTCCAGCTATTTACAGATATTTGCACTATGTCTGCAGCGTCCGGTGCTCATTCCAAGTTTATCTATTAGTCAATGTGTCACAAAATCCAGGACTTGCTTCTTCTTCAACTCTTGTGTCTCGCTCGAGTAAGGTTGAGGATGAGTAATGTGCGGCTGCAAGTTTAATATTTTAACCCAATAGTCCATTCGATGGGTTCACTTACAAACTCTTTTTTTAAATACACAATGCTATCACTTTATACTACTAAAGGGTTGACTCATGTGTCAGCCAGCATGAGACGGAGTAGGTAGAGATGTGTACCCTTTGTCATTTACTACAAGACATTACATATTAAAGGTTCGGTGCATGCATGCTAAGAAAAGTTTGAGTTGGGTTGGCCGAGGTCGGGACTTTTTTTTAATTGTTTGTCCCGTATATAAACCCCACAGCACAGCATTCACTCACAAAAGTCACAACAAGAATGAATTTCATAAAAGTTTACACAATCGAAATATTTTTTGTCTCAGGTGGACAAGGAAAAATATCTAGTTGTTGTCCCGAGAATGGAATCCTATTCAGTTTTAGGCTTGAATTATTCTTTTGCTGCACACTTGCTCAGTTTTTTAGCTTTATGGCTTCTTGGTTGGAGTGGAATACTTGGAACATAAACTATAAAGTATGAAATAGACACTTGTTTGGGTCAAGTCAATCCAATCCTTTCGCAGTGACAGGAGTAGATAATGGAAACGAATGATAAAACCACTTAAGAGGAATATATATGATGGAAAACGGACACGCAGTGCGGCGTTCGGGTTGAGGTTGTAGCGATTTAACCAATTGTCAAGTCAAAATTGGTGAGAGAATGGTTGATTTTACTGTACATAGTGATCACCACGATCATATATTTGTGCATACAAACACATATGTAGGTACATATAACACACCACCCTTTTTTCCTTGCACATTTTTATTCGACTCGTGTAGAGAGGTGACACAGACAGGTAGCAGACGGCCAGTCGGCTTTGCTTAATATGGTCAACACTTTAGTAAAATTGTGTATCATTGATGTTTTGATTTGCTCCCTGTTGCTTGTGCATAGGCAGCCAATTGTATGACAAAAAACCAAGCAAGGGGAAGTAGTGGCTGTTGTGCAGGTATTCAGGAAACGAATTGTGTTGTGATTGTATTGTATCAAGTTTCAAAAAGAGATGAGGATGAGTAATGACATCAAGTGAACACGCGGACAGTGGTAACCCATTGGGGTGCACTTTTATGAATTTCACTCAAGTGTGTTACTTCACAATGCGTGACCTTTTTCCAGTTGACCACTATCGTCTCTCCTCCTGTTGCGGAAATCACAATTGTATTTTTATTCAACGCTTGATTGTCACGTGATCTCACAGAAACCTATTGTATTTGCTATTCAGTTCATATGTAAATTTGTCTTATTTCTGTGTGTTATCCAAAATTATTGTATTATAAATGGCTCAAAATGTTTCGGAAGTGTAGTTGTTTCTCTGAAACGGAACTTGTTGGCTTGAAATCTTGACTTATTATGGTGACATCAGTGTAGGTTCGTCATCTCGAGGTATGATAGTGATCACGTGAGCCTATCGGCTAGTGTTAAGGTCATATACTATGTATGTTAATCTATGTATTCTGCTTGCAATACTACATATATGTCACAACAGGTACAAGTGTAGCGTACTGATGAGAAGGGGACAAACGCAGGTAGTTCAACCTGATTGTTGTGTCGTTGGATGGTGAAGTACAGACGGCGGAGAGACTGGTAATAAATAATGGGAATGGGCAAGCACTTGTCACTCTACGTCTTAAAGGAGGACAGGAATATTATCGACATTTCCTCTGTGACTGGTGGTCGTAGCGGTGGGAGTACACGCGTCGCATTCTAAAGGCAGACTGAGACTGAGGCAGACCGTCGTGTGCCTTTCATCCAAGAAAGAAAACCCAACAAAATCCGACGAGCCAGCAACTTATTGGTCTTCTTTCTAGTTACCTTTCTAGACCACCCTATAGCATAGCAACTCACTCGTTCGTGGAGTTTTCGATATGAGCGTGTAACTGGCGGAGGAGGATGAGAATGGGTATCGAAAAGTAAGTGGGTGACGTCTCCCACCTACGGAAGCTTAAAAGGGATATTGCAACTTCACATCAAAGCGCGTACTTTCACCAAAGCGCGACTTTATACCAAAGCGCGTACTTTCACCAAAGCGTGACTTCACACCTAAGCGCGACTTCATACCAAGGCGCGTACTTTCACAAAACGCATACTTCCGCCAAAGCGCGTAGTAAGACTTAAGCGCGAATTCACATCAAAGCGCGACTTCATACTAAAGCGCTTGCTTTCACCAAAGCGCGTACTTTCACAAAAGCGCGTACTTTCACCAAAGCGCGTACTTCCACGCGCTTCTGTGTGAGTACGCGCTTTGCTTCTGCAAGTTTAACATACAAAGCCCAATGTCCCTTTTACGTACCCACTTCCAAAACTTGTACTTTTGGAAAGCTCCGTCCGATCACACTTTTGTACTAGTTGCATACATATATAACCAGAACCAAGGCTCAAAAGCAGCCACTTTTTTAGCAGGAACAAAACCTAAAAGTAATAAAACTTTCTGCTCTCTCACTAAAATGGCTTGATCGTATCAAACAGAGAATCTCTCGCCTGGCTTCGCATGCATCTGTAATCACACGGTGCCATTTTGCCCACGTACATATCGATGGCGATTTTTATTTATGAAATTTCTCACCTGTAAGAATAATAAGCCTTCAAGTGCAACATGAAATGCGCCACTCCAAAAAGACGATCGGAGTGCACTACACCCTTTCATTATGCATACATCCACTATTTCTACAATTATTATTATTACTGCCGTCGATCCATATACATAGATTTGGCAACACTATAACCAGCTATATCTTCTACCCACATCACAATCCATGCACCAATTTATTTGAGCGTACATATGTCATTCTCCTTGTCCGTCGTTCTCGTGCCTCCGCACACGAATCCAAGAGCAACTCCTTTTACGTCATACGCAGATCTCTGCCGCTTGAGACGCTGAAAAGTCAATATATAATGATTGCATGTCCATTCTCATCTCAACGTGCCGATTGTTTTTGCAAAGTTCCGAAAAGGAAATCTGTCCGTCACACGTAACAACTAGACATGAGTATTGACCTGCAATTGTAGTGTGATTTGTTCAGTTTATGCAATTGGTCTCGACTGACCCACGGCATATGACAATGGCATTATAAATAATACCAGACATTCAATAACAACCAACAACCCCAGAGTGTGATGGTCTTTCTGTCTCTCTGTTCACGTCTTTCTTGGTGTTTGTTCAGGCCGTATAATGCATAATATGAAGGAGCGACGTTGGTCCTAACTGATGATGAGGTGCTTGAACAGGTTGGTCACCCATCCAAACAACTGGCTGGCTGGACGCGTGGATGTTGGTTGCATTGGTTCTTGTCTGCGTGTGTGTATTATGTGTGTGTGGGGTTAAAGGCGAGGCTGGGTTAAAAAGCGAACCGCATATCGCATAATAATGTGCATGTCGTGTGGTGTCGCGTGTGATGCTATTTGCTCTAATTCCACTACATTTACATGTTGTTGTGTTGTGCTATATGTATTATAACGTAGAATCAGTACAAGGATGATTCCTATCGATATCCCACGAAGCAGTCACCTTTGAAGCATTTTCATGTCCTGTATGCGTTTGAGCATTTCAGCCCATGCAGCAATGACCAAATCACACATGACAACCACTTGTCCATCGGAATTCCCATAAAAAAATCTCATCCGTGGGTATCTCCCTCCTTCATAACGACCAAACAGGCACACACCACACGACGAGGAGTGGAAATGTAATTCGTAGAAAATATGCCTTGTTGTTAATGCCAGCTTATATTCTTCTCGCGTTATTACTCTGCTGCTGCTGCTATTGCGTTATGCCATGTTTTATTCATCAATTGATTCGTCAGTGCTCAAACCAACAACCTGCCCACAAACTGTTTATGCTTCTGTATAATGATCTACTTGCAGTGTTTCGTGGACGCTATTAATAAATAATAATATAAGCGTCAACCACCACACGACGTAGATGAACTTACCAACGTGCGAGAGCAGTGGACAGCAGCCATGAAGGGAGTTAATTTATATGTAGGTGTAGTAAATGGTGAAACCAAATATTGTGGGATGGATGGAATGATGAGATTATGAGATTCATGGGCAAAGAACGAACGGACACGGACCGACGGACAAGGAATAAATGAAATGCTAATAATATCCATGCCGTGCTCCTCCTGTAAAACTCACGGTACGACTTTTCTGACAAATAAAGAAAATCATGAGACACGATTCATGCCTGCTGGTATAGATTCCAATCCTCCGTGCAATAGAGGATAATGATGATGACGACGATGTAATAGTCGTGAAAATATAATGGTTCGTTGGTTGGTTATCTATGTAGTTGGACGGTCGCGAGTTTAAGTCGGAGCGTGGTGTCGTGGAGAGAACTGTCATTTTTTTCGTCTTTTTTTCATTCGCTCACCTCTTTTCGCAGCAGCAGCACATGAATTATGAATCCGTGCACCAAGTCAATACCATGATGAGGAAGCTGCATAAGTTTGAAAATATATATATTTCTATAGGGGCTGTCACCCTTATGTTGTGCGCAGTCCACACAGACATTATCACACAGGTGGTGTTTGTGTTGTATTGTTAATTATGTATGCATGTATGTATGTGCTCTGAAAATACTTTGCCATGTGGGCATTATAAGCGAAAGGAATATTTTTAGAGAAGCGGCCAATGTTAATGAATGATTTGGTAGCTAAAAATATTATATTTTTATAAATAACATAATTCAGAGTTAGATTTAGCTTCGAAGTTCACTAAAATTTTACATACAAGCATTTTTATCCTCTCAATTAGAATTCAAAGCTGTTCATTTTCATCAATTGAAAAAAATGTGTAACCTTCATTTTCATCAGTATTGGAAAGTAGATACATACGAACTGAAACACTTTTATGCACTTGTTAGCTGTTGTCAAAGATGAGCCAGTTCGATATACAGCCTGTGGAATAGAGGTTCAAATGGATGCCGTGGTATAATAGATCGAACCATAAACGAGATAATCCCTGAGATGTAGTAAACTGCATGAACTTGTTCCTCGCTTCCTTCGTGTGTGCGTGGGTCACTTATTTCTCCCTTTTCACTTAACAGCAAGGCAAGTGAATGACTGACTGGAGTCATTGTTATTGGAGAAGAAATGAGGCAAAAAGTCGCTGGGCTGCCTTTTTGGAGTATTGATGACGATGGTTGTGGATTCGAAAGTTAAACCCAAAGACAAATCCTACCAAGAAAACGCTTCAAGTTTCAGATATTTTCAAACTGACTGTTTTTCTTTTGGTGTATTTTTTACATTTTTACATTGGAGCCTCCTCTTGTTTCAAAATTCAGTGCTGCATTTTACTTTTGAGGTTTTGACTAATGCCTGTAGATTCGACTTTGGCATAATTGTTGTTGTGTGTGTGTGCCTTTGAAAGGATTATGCTGTCAGAGCGTGTGAAGGCGAAGGCTACTCATCCCCTAAGGAGGTATAAAGTCCAGAAAGGTTTCGTTAGTTTGCCGTTCTTTTTTCTGATGGAACACGACCAAGCAACCCAGTAATCAGTATCATTCAGGACGAGATGCTAGCTGATGTCCTCTGGCACTCGAGAAGGGATTTCTCAAAAACTTTTTTTGCCTTCTTCCTTGAGAGGATCTCTTCTCTCTCGACCAGCTTGTACCCTTAATTCCTTCCTTCTCCGAAGGTTGGGCACATTATATTTCAACTTCAAATCACGGCGAGGACGACGACAACGTGGTGTAGCATTACTTCCTCGTAAATAGCACACAAAGCAGACCCTTAGTATTGCCTTTGTGCATATACATATGTATGTCTGTACATATCTGAGTATATAACTGCATATGTAGCTGCTTCCATCATCGTCCCTTCCTCCTCGTTTATTTTATGGCCTCTTTCGTTCATCGGTGCACTTGTAATACAATTTTATGTGATTCTTTTTATCTTTTACTTCAAGTTTTGTTCTTCTAGAGTTCCACTAACAAACAACAACTAACAAGTGCACTTGTTTCGTTTCCCCTTCGGCTTCTAACAGCCAAACACTTGTTCTCCTGAGTTCTCGCCCTTCTTTCCTTTCCTCCTCGTGGGATCTAGCCCTGAGTCAATTCTCATTTCTCATTAAATAATGCAAGGCGTGCATTTATATATATATTGACGCGGACACCTGTGCTGCTGTGATGACTGGATTTTCCTTTCTCTCAAATTAATTTTGGGCTCTTATGGCCACCCATTTAAACCCATGCGGGATTCATGCATTATAAATGTGTGTATGCTTCTACTTCTATGATTATAAATACGCATAGCATATAATCTCATTGATTCCGGTGGGTGGATTACCTGACTGATCCCCTCTCTCGTCTCAATGGAAGGAAAGGAATGCAAACCCACACGAGGAAAAAGTGGTAGGAATAATAATCATCAAGGAAATGTTCTTTGAAAGACACGCGAACCAAACTTCCGAATCCTTTTGCCACACGAATGCATGTTCTCTCTCTGGCTCAACCTCTGTGGCAACAACTCAGTACGTACGTACGAAAAAAGTAGTTTGCAAAAAAAAAAACTTTTCGTCTTTGGATTCTCGCAAAAGTTGGTAGAGTGGGCCGAGGGTGGGAGTATTGGGTTCTTTCTGGCAGCAGAGAACTCCCAAATCACTCGGATTAGTGAACCGGGTGGAATCCAGCAGTCCTTCAGTGTCACCCGTTTCCAAGAAAGTCCATTTTCTCCTTCTCATCCTCAGTCAGCGGCAGCATGTGCAAGCAGTAACCCACAA